GTGTGTACTATGAACAAAAACATAAGACCACAAAGTAGATAGGTGCATCGGATTTGGGAATAGTGGTTCACAGCAAGGAAGAGGGAGACCAAAAAATAGTAGAGAGGAGGTAATTAGTCATATTTTGACCCACTCTGCGGTTGTCTTTGACATTACATTAGATTATGCCCCAACGAGGAAATTTGACTGGAGGATAGGTGTTATTTCTCAACCATATTTTCCATATACATTAGTATTGGCAAATAACCGAATTGGTCATGTATGAAAAGCAAATGATTGAAAAGAAAATGCTTGAATACTGTATATTGGCAGTGTTCTTTTCTAACTGCATATTTGTAAAAATGTGGTCCTATGGCCTGTTCACCACTTTTTATTTTAGAATTATGTCCCATTTGCTGCTTGAAGCACTCCTGGTTGCCTATGCTTTCTGTATCACTTAGACGAGTAAAAATCATTTTGGGGTATATTTGCTGTAAGTCTACTTTGTTGTTTTTTTTGCAGACAGAGCATGATGGAACAGATGTTCAGGTAGAGCTCAATGTAACACATGATCGTGGAGCTGACATAATTCCAAATATGACAAGGTCACCTAGAGTTAAATACATAACATACTATGAAGATTCTGAGAGCATTCCTGGAAGGAGGACAGCTGTGTGGGAGCTTGATAAAGGTATAAAATCCCTGGACTGGACTTTAGTGCGACAGAGAAGCTAGACGCCTTTTGTCCAGTTACTCTTTCAACTGACTCTAAGCTTCCCTGATTTCTGTGGGAGTAGGTTGCTATATTCATGATCAGTGAAACTGATAATCCATTACAACAGACTTTGGAATAGGGTACTACTTGCATTTTCCGGTTACATTATTATGTGTATTTATCATGCTTGGATTTTCGTGATGAAAATCTTAATTCTAGAAGTAGATGTGACAAGAGTTGAAACTTAGTATGCTGAAAGTAGTTCTTTTCTCGAAAATGACTATTGAGATTTGATTGTTGTCCCAGGAGGCATGAGTCCTTAGACCTATGGTTAAAGTTTATTTTCAGTTACAGTAGCTGAGTAAGGTCTCAAGTTTAAAAACCCCCACCTATCATTCATACTTTTGAGTTTTCAGCTCTTTATCATCTATATGCAGAAAAAGGACTAATTTAAGTGCTTGTAAACTTGAGGCATAATTACTACATCAGATATCAGAACTCTCCTTTCCTGTTATCCATGCAGGACAGCGTAGATATTTCTTGTTAGATACCCAATGACATAGGGTATGTTCCAATGTGTCAGAAATGTCAGTTAAACAATTAGGGAGTATAAGTTTTCTAGTTATGCTGGAATACATGAATTCGTGTCTAACAGAGCTGGAATGTCAGACACCTTTCCTTTCTGTGGATCATGACATCATATTTTTTAAAGAGGTCTTTTCCACGTGAACTTTTCTCATGTAATATGTTGTTCTTTCCATGTAGTAAATCACAGGAATATGGTCAGATCCCCTGCATTAATGAGGGAGTTGTGGCTTGAGATGTGGCACGATATTAATCCTGCAGCAAAATCAAAGTTTGTCACAAAAGGTGATTTATTATTATTTTTTAATTAAGTTGGTTTCTTAGATATATGTTACGTGTTCCTAAAATATGGTATCAAATTGCAACAGCGAAGCGGGGACCTTTAAGAAATGATGACTGTTATTGGGATTATGGTAAAGCTCGTTGCGCATGGCCTGAATATTGTGAATATAGGTATTTCCCTGTCCTTTTGTACATAATTATTATTCTGATTGCCACTGAAGCTATGCCTTTTTATTTCAATCTCAAGAATTTATTCCGTTGTGATGCAGGTATGCATTCGGTGATGTTCATCTTGGACAGAGCTGTCGGTTAAGGGATTCTTCAGCAGATCTTTTGCTACATTATATATAATATCTGGTAAAGTACTTGCAGTTAATTTAGTGTTTGATTTGATTGCACATTTTTGGATGATTGCAGACGTAATGCCTTTACTGTTTCAAAGAAAACTACCTAGCTTTGAGCTTGGACCTTAGGGTATAGAAAAGCGTTTCATTTTGATATTACCTTAGGGTATGAGCTTACGGCATGAAACAAAAGAAGAGACCATAGAGCAAAAACATGAAACTCAGAAAAACCGCTGCACCTATTTAGGAGTTGGGGACTTGAGGCACCTTGTAGGAACCATCTATTGTACATGAATCTTTCATGCTTCCACAAGAGTCCCATACCTTTATAGTCCCTCGGTTAATTACTTAGGATTTGATCTTAAGTTTTACTTTTCGTACTACCAATATAGAAGATTACTATATACTATGATAGTTCAATTGATTATCATACCCATACCAAGTTTTGGGTATTGGGTACTTGGATATTATTTTGTACTTTTTTCAGGAAAAAAAAAAAAAAAAAAAAAAAAGGAACCAAGTTTTATTGTTTTTAATATATTCATTTTTGGTTTTTTTGATTTTTTTTCATCTTATTTGAATAAATGAATGACCAAATATTATCAAAATATTCATAAAATCTTCGTTTTAAGATTGTTGTTATTATTATTATTATTTTTATTATTGTTATTGTTATTATATTGTTATTATTATTATTATTGTTATTGTTATTGTTATTGTTATTGTTATTGTTATTGTTATTGTTATTGTTATTGTTATTGTTATTGTTAATCGTACTTGGAGAAACCATGCAAGTCGTACTTGGAGCATACATTTATGGACTAAGGGAGTAATGGATAGCAATGGAAGATTAAGTATATAGCAAGGAAGATGAAGTATATAGCAATATTAGGATTTACTTTATATCATCAGGAGTGTTTGGTACATTGGTACTTTAAATTTGGATGTGTGATACTGTATAGTGGCTTGTGGTAGATTCAAGGGTTTTTTATTGTTTAATCTTAATTGCAAATCTACTCTTAAATGTGCTCTTCTATTACGAGTAACATATGGGGGGTGTTTAGTATAGAGTAGATTGTGGCAAATTAACCCCAAGGATTTGACTATTCAATCTAGAAACTAGAATTGTACGTTTGCAGGTAGAGTAAGTTGAGGCAAAAAGAGTATATTGGATGCCTATGACCAGTTTCAATCTACTAATCGGTTTGCTTAATAGTAGATTGAGTTCAATTTATTCTCCTTCAATAGCCTTGCTTGTCAAATCATATATAGCAGTTGACAAATTACGTATAAGCCTTGGCCCTTCTGAGCTTAGTGAGTGTCAATTTAAATTATAATTTCGGGTTATTAAGTGTTTGATGTCTGCTTATAGGTTATATTTTCCCCTGTGCTAATCCCAGATTTTCATTTTCAGCTGACCAATGCAAGAATTGATAAAGAAGGCGCTTGTTTGTTCCCACACAAATTGACAGTGTAGTCCAGAAATTAGCTGTTGGGAGTTGCACCCATCTCATTCTCTGTTGTATTTTTGCTTAAGCTTCAGATTGCTTAGTGATTCTTGACAACTGCTGTGCATCGTAAATCTTCCACGAAGGCAAAACACAAATGTTATAGAAATGAAGTAGACATGTAGGTCAGTAGAATCATATAATTCATTTCTGCTGTACATAAATTCATCTTTGTAATATTTTGCTGTGATGAAGTTTTATTCAATGGATTCATGTAATTACATCTGATATCCATTGTCTCCGTAACTGTACAATTACTTGGAGAACTAATAAAATTCCAATTAGAACTACTATATGTTTTGAATGCTTTGAACAAATTCCGATTAAAACCAACAGTATTCAGCTCATATGAATGCTTTGAACAACAAACTTGGCGTATATGAATTGCCATACAAAGTTGATTGTCGTTCAAAAGAGTCCAAATCATCATTTTTGTACACTCTAAATAAGCCATATCTTGAGGGAACTAGAAGTCAATTGAGGAGACAATTGGAGCTGTAAAGGAAAAAAAATCGTGGCTATTCCAATGACGGTAATGATTTAGTTGCTAGCAGCCTAGCAGGGAGCAATAGGATATCAGAGTACAATTACTTGTGTCTGTACAAAGGAAAGCTTGCATGATTATCATAATGATATAACATTAGAGGTACCAACTGCAGTTCGTTGCCCAACTCATCTCCATATTAGGCTGAGTTATTGGTGTCTCCATTTATACATTGTATATAAACCCGACCTGACCGACTCGATTGTCAGGTCTTAGTAAAGAGTATGGTTCACTTGAGATTTAGAAGTTGGATAACATGACATTGGTGATTTGGTGGTGATGGTGACAGTGGTTGCTGAGTAATTGGTGGTTGGTCCGGCGGTGATGGTGGGGTAGCAGCTATGGTGGTTACAATGGGGTAGAGATGGGTCAGTGAGAGTGGAGATGGGAACGAGAGCAGCATTCAAGCTCAGTGATTTGTGTGTTATCTTGGGATAGGAGGGAGGAGGGAAAGGAAGAAATTACAGGATAAATCATATGGAGTAATCGATGAATAATTACTTAACAGTGTTTAACAAACCACTTTTTAAAACTTTTTTTTGACAGAACATGTATCATAGAATATGAGGATGTCTTCTTTCACAAAGTGATACTCCCTCCGTTTTTAAATACTTGGTCCAATTCTATTTTTTACACTATTCATTCGTCCTACTTTAACTAATGTTTGTGATTTATACATAATCAATTAATAGATTATTACATTTCAATTGTTAGAATTTATACTTATTGATAATTAAAGATATTATTAATTAAAGATTAGCATCGGCATTCGTGCCCAAGAGAAATGGAGCAAGTACTTAAAAACGGAGGGAGTATTCCATATGCAATTTTATTTTGGGTTCAAATTAAGAAAGCGAAATAGCGAATATTATCTTATAATTCTTTCTCTTTTATACACAAAGTAGAAAATAACTTGTGACATAATTAGGAATTTATAGTATGTACAATTATTGTACATGACATTATATTAAAAAGAGGGGGAAAAAAGAAAAAAAGAGAGAAAAAAAAAAAAGAAAAAAAAAAGAAAAAAAAAAGAAAAAAGGTAACTTCAAAGTAGTAAAACTATCTTTTCAATTTCTTTAATAGATTGGAGCTAATAATGGCCGAGTTCTTGTCAATGTTTCAGATTCATAGGTATTTCCCTTAACAATGGAACAACGACTTGAGTTGTAACATTCGGAAATTATCATAAACCTGTTATACACACGATAATGAAAGTAACATAACAGACATGTGCAATGAGACTCCCAGAGAGTATGAGCTAGCTTCTCCTTGTAATTTCATAAGTGTAACTTAGCTCCATGTGGCATTTCTTGTCATCATCCACAAACTGCAAACAAAGGCAAATGCAATCAGGGAAAAATCCTCAATGAATGAAAGTACAGAAAGAAAGCTGATCTCTTTTTCCTGTTGTTATCGCGTTGTGATTACGTGTTTCATTATCTTGTTGTCGATGGCCCTCAGATTGACAATGACGATTTCAGCTACAACTAAGGGTTCTTACCCAACTTTTTCAACTTAAACAAATTCTACAAATACAACTTCAATTTCGTAGGCCATTGGTTGCCAGCACCTTGTCATATTTGATAGTGGGATGTATAAAACAGGACAATAAATTAAATAGGCAAACTATAAATCCTGTGGGTCTGTAGAACAATATATAACCTTCATATGTGTGTGCACAATAGTGGAACAAAGCATGAGATGTGGGGTAGTCAATGTGTGTGCAATTTTGCCACAGGCACAAGTCGAACAATATATAACCTTCATGTGTGTGTGCACAACAACCTGTGTCAATGTAACATATGTTGTACTAGTGCAGTTGAGTTTTTTTAAAAATTGCATTAAGTACTGACCCTCTTCTGCTTACAACAACAACAACAACAAAAAGAATAAAATCTTGGTAAATAGTAGTGGAATTTAGCAACTTACCCTCAGTTTTGCCAAGTAAACTCCTCTTGCTAGAGCCCCAGACGGGGTAATCTCCTCATCTAGGAGGTGTTCATAGGGTTGCTGTTGTGGAGCAAAGGTGCCTAGCATTCCCTCGCTTTGATCCACTAAACAAATGGAACAGCTAATGAATACAAATATACAACGGTAAAGGTAAGCTGAGAAAACCATGATAATGACAAAGTTCTATGTACAGACAAAGTTCTATGTAAACTAGGACAACATAATGGCAATTGTGCATAAAAGTGACTAGCTTCCTAAAATTATTTAGACCTGATGAATAGCCTGAAACATAGAGAAAATTGCACAGGGCATACTCTCACAATAACCCACCAAAACAAAATCAATATCTAGTCAAATTCTTCCAACATAGGCCACATTTAAAAGAAAAAACACTGCGCTTCACATCAAATTACATTTCATAAAGTCTACTCAGGAAAAGATTTTTCCAAGTCTGTAATGACAGTCACTCACCCAATAGTACATTGGCAGGTTCAAACACATTTTCCCTTAAAAAAAAGTTTACATTTTATCAGCTATGCCTTCTCATTGATGTCATTCTTGTACAGTAAATTTCCACTTGAGTTCACTCAGAAGAGAGCACCCAAAAGTTTCTTAATAGAGTAGCAAAGTTTCCATGGAAGATAACAACAGAGAAATACACAGTTAGGGAATCAAATCAGAAGGAGAGTTTGAAGCTGTTACAGAAATCAGAAACTTAATGCAAGTTCAAGCTGTTACAGAAATGTACAATTAACCAAACCAACAGCAACAGCACAATGATCTCTTTGTTTAATCCACGGATGAGTTCACTAGTAAAATCCATGGATGAGGCTTGTGAAGTGAGCTTGGTCAAATTAAGCATAAACATTCTGAATTTTGGTAAAAATAAATAGGCAGCAGAACACATTTGAAGTGAAATTTTAATAAGACGATCAATTTTCAAAGTAACTTATGAGTTGAGCGACTAGTTCCTATATTACTAAATCAGTTTTGAAAATTTGAAATCACATGCTGCTACAAAACAGCAAAATTTTACTGCCAATGATCTCAACTAAAGCTGAAGTTCAGAGACTAATTTCGTACTTAAACAACAACACTCACCCTGAATTCCTGCTCTCCATACGGTATTAGAATAGGTGAGACCAGAGACAATGTTGTACTTGACGGTGAAGGCTAGCTTAAAACGATATTGAGAACCCTCTTTGAGTGAAAACAGAACTTTGCTGGCCTGGATTTCGTCCAAAGGCAAAGGAGTATTATTTTCTCCAAGCTCATCAGATATAATTCCTATGGAGTGAAATGTAACTTCAGGTTCCACTTGGCCTAACAAAGAAATGCAAAAGGATAATATTTATAATTAGTATACAAGAAATTCAGTGCAAAGAGGCAAAAGAAAAGCATCAAAAGGTATCCGAAGGCCAACCATTTATATCTCCTTCAACACAGCCTAGTAGCTTCTCTTTCCACCTCCTTAAGCTCTCATCATCCTGGGACAAAATGTAAATTTAACACTTACACTGTTACACATAATTTAATCCCAGAACACATGGATGTATAAAAAAAAATATAGAAAAAGAGCAAAGAAATAGTAGATACACTCTGTGTGTGAAATCTCCTTCCAATACCCACAGCAAAACGGATAGAAATTACACATCTATTGCAAAGGATCGTTTTATAAAATCATGTCATATCTTCAATATTAAAGGTTAGGACTTAGGACAATGTGACCACTACCTCAAAACATAGGGAGTATAACAAAGAATAAGATATAAAGTTCAAAATCCACTGATTGCAGTAATGAAGTGTGTTCGATTTACCCAAAGCTATATACTTAACACTTACAGTATATAGAAGATGAAAATTGAATTATGCCTATAATTTCAGGACAATTTGAGATATTCAAAAATCGAAATTGCAAAACTACTTATTCAACACAATAACTAAAACACACCCAAAGCAATCAATTAGGGTTCATTGTACATCATTCACTTAGCTCGTCCTTGTCCCAAATAGTTCTTCTTTTACACAAAACAAGTACACTCAAAGGTTCTTAATAGTAACCATTTCGCACATCGAATTATGAAGTAGCACAAAAACAATATAATCCTAACACTCGTCCATTTCTGTACTTGATTATATCCAAGTAAACTTAATAAAATCATAGGTAAACAGAGCAAATTAAACCCTAGAATTGAGTTTTAACACACTCCTATATCTTTCATCATTATTGAACTGTACACTAATTTAATCCAAAGTTCAACACAATTCTTACAAATCAGCAATGATAATTATCGGTTTTATTTTATTTATTTATTTTTATTTTTTTTCTGATTCTATTGAAAATGCTAAACAAATTGCACAGAATTATAACAAAAAAAAAAAAAAAAAAAAAAAAAAAAAAAAAAAAAAACAGGATCAAATTATAAACCCAGAACTCAAACAAAAACCCAGAACATAATATTAGAAATTTCTACTAAAAAAGCATAATTTAACAAACAAATTAGTACCCAAAAATTGGAAAAAAAAAAATCAAATAAAAACCTTGTCTTTCTCAAGATGGTGTTGAAGAGGAACAAGAGGGGGAGGAACAAACTTAGCAAAAGACCCATCAATTGCAAACTCATCAACTTCTTCTTCCACATTCTTCTCTTTGTGTTCTTCCCCAGAAATTAAAGATGACCCTGCTTCTTCTCTTTTCCTATCTGCCATTTTTGACTCAATACCTTTCTCTTTCTATCAACTACTCTTTCTCTTTCTAGGATTAAAATGGGAAAAAATCCAAAAATAATAAAGTTTGGGGTTTGATTTGGTGGGGCGGGAATGTCCCTCTTGTTTCTGAATTTTTGTGTGTTCTGGGTCTATGATTCAAGTGTAATGTGTCAAACTTTTTAAAGTGGATTTGTCTGCGTCACTATATTTTTTTATTTTGTCGGTCTATTCAAAGTTTCAGACTGTGTTTTCTACTAACGACTTGTTTGGTTGGTGCCCATCGGCGGAGGCTCAGATAATTTGTACGTAAATTTGTAAAGCAATAATTCGTAATACTCCCTTTATTTTTAAATACTTGCTCTATTTTCCTTTTTCAGCCGTTTTTAAATACTTGCTATATTTTTTTTTTTGAAAAGTTTTTACAATATTTAATTCATTTAACACATTTAATGGACCCAACATAATACTCTCTCCCCTCCCATTCATCCACAACTTTTGTTTTTTACAATAATTTTTGAAAAATGTTATACATAGCATTTAGGGCTACATATAAGCATTAAATTTACACTTGAAATCGTAAAAAATTAAGAAATCATCAAAATATAAACACTAATAACACTGATTTACGCGTGTTTTGTCATGAATTCCTAATTTTATACAATTTCCAAGAGTATATTTAATGCTTATATATAGCCCTTGGGGCTACATATAACATTACCCATAATTTTTTATTCTCTCAATTACCCCACCTCCATATTTTATTACTTTCTCCAATTTCTCTTAAAACTCCGCGCATGGTATAATGGAGCAAGTATTTAAAAACGGATGGAGTAACTATAGTTCATGTATATTTTTTATTTGACAATTTAAAAACAGAAAACCACTTATGAGACTGTTTCCTAGCTATGAATCTATGATCTCTAAATTAGGAGCCCCATTTATACAATTTTTACTGACTTTTCTAATGATAAGAGAACTTAGAGAAGTAAAGAATACAGGTCTACGTTTCCCATTTGCTGTAGTGGGTTTTGATCTCTCTTTTGTCTCCATTGGTCATTTGAAAGACTGGAAAATAGATTAGTTTGATGCTCTAAAAAGTTGTACAATGGTACATCTTTCACCAATATGTACAAGGGGCCAAAGTTTAAACCGATCACTAATTAACTATCGCGGTTCATTATTTTACCTTCATATTTCCGTAAAACTTTGTATGTCAAATTGATAAATAAAAAATTATAAGAGATATGAGGTCTCTATGAGTCTCAATGAAAATCTTCCCTAAATCTATACTCTATACTAGGGGTGAACATGGTCTGGATTGGTGTGGTTTGAGTCTAAACCAAACCAAACCGCAAAATACGGTTTGGTCAATTTTCCAAACCAAACCAAACCAAACCATATTAGTGTTGAAACCAAACCAAACCAAACCGTAATAATGCGGTTTGATGCGGTTTGGTTTGCGGTTTATGATGAGACGACATTTTTTCCTAAAAATTGTCAAATATTAATAAAGTTCAAATAATTAGCCCAAAGGGAATAAATTATACTACAAATTTTTGATAAAAATAACAACCAACTAATCAAGTGCTAAGTGCTGACACAATAACACATAATAAAAATTATACATAACAAATTAACCGTGGAAAAAAACATAATACATTTGTCCAAAAAAATAATTCATACCACAGGAAGCCCCAGTTAATCAATTTTATAAACAAAATTTGTTTATCAAATGGCAAAATGGTAAATAAAACAACATAAATGCCCAGTCATCATGACTTTTTCGTAAATATATCAATAATAGTGGGACCCAAATTTACTAAAAAGTTGTTGATTGATTTACAATTTTGCCATTTGATAAACAAATTTTGTTTATCATATTGATAAACTTGGATTTTCTCCTACATCATACTACATTATAGTTACATGACCAATTGAATTTTAAGTATACTGACCGTTAAGTCTTCAAATGATTTTTCATGTTTTTTTTTTATTTTTTTATAATATATAATAACTATTTTAATTTATTTAAAATTATATAAATATTAAAATACAGTTTACTGGTTTACGGTTAGGTTTGGTTTATAATTTTTGAAAAACCAAACCAAACCGCAAACCGTATTTCTCAAAAAATCGAAACCAAATCGTATTTTTCCAAACCGTAAACCAAACCGCTAAAATGCGGTTTGGTCTGGTTTGGTTACGGTCCAGACCAAACTGTGTACAACCCTACTCTATACTTAGTATTTAAAAACACAAACCACATATTTTTCACGTGACACATGTCATCACAGGTCACTCATTACCCCATATGCCACATCCACATGTCACTTCCCCCTTTTTTTTTTTTTTGTTCAAGTCTTTATGCATTCTATAACTTGGAAATTCAAGAAAGAAAATGAAGTGTTTCATTTCCACCATAATTAGTACATAATTACATAAAACATATGAATTATAATCAAAATTGTCTTTTTATCTCCTACACTTAAAATATAACTTAAACTAATACGTCATTTCATATTCCACAATCTTCATGTATATATACCTAACCCTTCATCTTCTTTCAAAGCTCTACTCTAACCATTTTTTTTTAAGTTTTAGCAATGAAACAATTACTTCGTATACTATATCAAAAGTTTCAACTTATGAAAAGTATACCTTTATTTGAAAATAATTTATCTAAGTAACAACCCGTACATCGAACGGGTCAAAAAGCTAGTTTACATTAAAATACAAATTACTAGCATCATGTGTTCTTTTGACATAAATTTTTTTTTTAAGGAAAAATTGATTAAAAAAACATCAATTCTTGTTTTACAATCAATATCATAAGGATTAAAAAGTGTTGGATGAGATTTTAGATATTTCAGATTAGGATTTTAAGAATATATCATTCGTGGATATATTCTTAAAATCAGATTAGGATTGATTTGTTAAAGAATACAAATATCATACATTATTATGATATTATTTACTAAATCAGTCCTAATATCAATATAAAAAATATATCACAATTTAATGATATATTTTCCTAATTAATATCCAATATTTCAATATTGTGTCAAAAAAAAAAGATATATATATATATATATATCAATATGAAAAATTTATTAAAATTCACTAATGATATATCTATCTATATATATTAAACTTCATGGCAAGAATTGCAATCATGCCACGTGTCATTATTCTTGCCATGTGTCGTCATAACTTGATAAATAATGTGGGGTCATGTCATATTAAAAACGATCATCAATGTTTCCTCATAAAAATTTTATGTTTATAAATTTAAATTTATATATATATATATATATATATATATATATATATATATATATATATATAATCTCATTCTTTTATTTACCCATTCATAATTCATATGTATTTAAAATATGTAACACAAAAATACATAGCAATTTCAAAACCACAACCTGCGTTTACCTTGAAGAAATTTTTAATGATAGATAAAAATTCCTTTAATAAATAAAACAAACTAATATGAAGTATAAAAGTTCCCTCAAAAAAAAATTGTATAAAAGTTAGCTTACGACATATTTCTTAATGAATTTTGATAATTTTTAATAATATTTATCAAAAAAAAATTATTTTTTTTAAATTATAAAACCACCAATAAATTTCACTTTAATTTATTATAATTTTTTATATACAAAAAATAACCCGGGACATCGCCCGGGCCTAAAATTAGTTTATTATGAAAACCGTATGTATGTATGAAAACTAAACAAATTCCCCATCAATTTAGTTGACATTAATTATCACTTCATGTGAAACACTCACTCCCAGAAAAATTACAATATCTTTATGATGAAAAACGTATGTATGTATGAAAACTAAACAAATTCCCCATCAAATTAGTTGACATTAATTATCACTTCATGTAAAACACTAAAATATTATTTTAGGAAAATGATATATATAGCCCTTAGAGCACTCACATCAGTGAGCAAAAAAAAATTTGCTCATTTTGGTGAGCAAATTTTAGCCCACTAGTGATAAAAAAAAATGTTCATCATTCTATCTCCTACTTTTTCACATACTCCACCAACATTTCTTTCTCTTACACATCACCATATTATTATTAATTATGTTTTGGTTAATGACATTTTAGTGCTACTAAATTACAATTATACAATTATTAATTAATAATTACAATTTTTGTGAATTTTGAAACTATACCAAAATATGTCAAAATTGATCTCTATTTGTAGGGAAAAAAAATTATAATCGTTGGTAATTTTTTTTTAATTACAAGTCGGCCAATATAGCCGTTTAGAGTTAATAACTTTTTAAAACGGTAACAAAAATCTGATTGGGTGAAGAGGGCTGACAGGGACGCGTGTCAGCTCCCCAATGGCTGGTCTGACGCGCCCTGTCAGCGGTTGTCCTTAATTTTATTTTGCTTCTTAGCCATCCAAAACGACGTGTTTTGGTGTTGAGGTGTTGTGGGTGCTTCCCAAAACTCGTCATTTTGGGGTGTCAGAAGCAAAAAAAATGGCGCCACTTTGGAGGAGTTGTGGGGCCCCACTTTTAATGTTCACCTTTAATTTTGCTCATCCTATGAGCAAATTCTAAAATGCTCATGAGCATTTTATACTTTGGCATTGATATAGTAACTTTTTACCTATTTTTGCTCATCAATTTTGCTCATGAGCAAAAAAAATGCTCACTGATGTGAGTGTTCTTAGGGCTACGTATAAGCATGAAAAACACTCGATAATGGGTGGACCAACTAAATATCAATTAAAATAAATATTAAACAAAGCCATTATTAATAATTTTTTTTATTTTTACATTGACAAAGCCAATATTAAGTATATATGAATACAAATTTATCATGTAATTATTTCGTTAAAGACCCTGTCCATTAAAAGCCCTTTAATTTTATCCTTAACTCCCTAAACCTATTATAATTGGACTACCTTACCCAATAACTAGTTCTACATGTAACTAAAGAGAGTATAAAGATCAAATGTGTCAAACTAATAAATTATAATTACATATATTTAAGATCAAACTAACATTTCCTAATAAATAAAAAAATCAACCTAATAATACAGGTAATTTATAAACTGTTAAGAATGTTCAAGAACGGAAGGAGCATACTATACCATTGTCTCTTTAATATGGGATATCAAAGTGACATGAATTAGCCAAATGATCCAAAAATCATACGTACTTGGGTTTTTCCAAGTCCACGCCTAGCTAGTAGCTACCTTGTAGCTAATGATCACTCCGTTACTAAGTGTAGGGAAATCGAGAAGGTGTCTCAACCCACATAGCTGGTGCATTTCGTGCATAAGTTGCTCTTAAATGTGATGGACTAATGTAGTCTTGAATTTTTCCACCGGAGGTAGAGTTGTAATCATAAACACCCATGAACTTATCGCTTTCATAAACAGAATCATCGACATAGTAAATGCAATTAGGCTTACAACCACGGTCGTCTGAGGATGCCTCCACAAAAAAAGATGATTTACGACTCAAGAAAAGAGCTTTATTTCCTAAACTATTGACCTCTTTAGTATTCCCGTTATCAGTATTCACTTCCCACATCCTGAAATTTAAGCACCATAGCGAGAGGGATTGGGACGCTTACAACGAACTAGTACTAGCGCGTCACCTGATGCCACCAAGTATATCTTTCCCCTGTCCTTGTCCTCTTCCCATGGAGGTTTAACGAGTAGAACCCGAGTGCATATGGCATTGTTGTTTACGACAAATCCAACAATTGTTTTACTTCTCTCATCACAGATATAAAATTCCCCCTTGTGAAAAGTGACAGTAACGCGTGTTCTTGTGTCATCACCGCTTAATTCCTTCACCACCCAATAACTTTCTTTGCTATTCCAAATCGCGACAGTGTTGACATCCTCGCTATCCTCAGCTTCGAAGAAACAGGCTAGGAGATAATGAGAAGTGTTTGAAGGACTTTCGGACAAAGCAAAACTCAAATAACTGCGAACATAGCATTCAAAGTCTTCATAATCTTTGAGTTTCCACGTTAGATCACTTGGGAGCTCAGGGGTTCTAATTGCCTCCTTGGAAATTGGATGGACTAGACTAATCACAATATTCATTGCACCCATATCGTTTACACAAACTAGCCACCCACGACACGAAGAAACTATGTACTGCCACATGCCATAAGGATCATCCTCTGGAGTCGGCAAGTCTAGCTTGCTGATCTTGCGGCTGTAGAAGCTGTATAATAGTTCCTTTGAATAAATATTGCCGCTTTCAGGTTAAAGCATTAGCCAAGGGTTTGACGTGATGCTGCTGATCTATTAGCACGTTTCATAGCTCTTCTCCAGCACGTACAGACTTTACCAAACGTCTCAAAATCTTCATAAAACTCAACGTGTTCAGCTAGCTTCGTTATCAATTCTAGATCAAGATCGTAGATCATTGCTTAATCGGAATGTGCAGCTACTAAGATCTTTGATTTAAAGAATCAAAAGTAAAACAAAATTCTGAAAAACTTGGAGAACCCTTGATACTAAAGTCTCTTTTTTGATACCTGAAATAGAGAAATAGATAATTAACATAGATAAATATTTTTAGGAATCTGTTAGGAGATAGAAAAGTATATTGATATGATTTGCACTCCGTATAATATTACTGTGAAAGTATTAAAAGATAAAATTAAGTAAAAAGATAAAATATTTACCAAAATTCCTTCCTTTTCCTTTCTTTCCCTCTAGTCTTCCATCATTGCTATCCAAACAACACTTTTTTCACATGCCACGGCCCGAGAATTCGGAACAGCAAAATACATGCACGGCTTATTTCCTCTGTTTCTCAGTTTCATGTGACCCTGTCAAGCTACAAACAGTTTGCATGTATAAATATACAATGGTTCATGGTGTATAAAAAAAAAAAAAACTAGGGAGAGATATCAGATATGATCATTGAATGAATAACAGCTGAAGTTGAGCTTTACAATTGCATGTCCACTAATTCTTAAACCATCGCATGTAATTATTCACAGAAGCATACTATCCATTTTACAAAGTATTACAAACGTATACTGGGAAAAAAAATTATCATTTCCTTTTATTGCTCTTCCAAAAACTTGCAGGATGTAGAAATAAGAGGGTATCCATGTATGATGCTATGAGCAGTATATATAAGCACTACACTAACACAACAAGGTTCATTATTATATTAGGTCATCTAAAGGGTTCCACGGGAGCAGTCTCTTCAAGAAATGCAGCAGCTTCAAAGCATTCTGCAGCATCAGAAACCGATGATTCACTATCTGCTTTGCAAAGCAGGCCTAGGTTATACCAAGCAACATGATTAGTCCTGTCAAGCTTGAGTGCGTTCATTAGGTAGGTTCTAATGACTGAATTATGCTTACAACTGAATCGTCTAAGTACCATAGCTAAGGAGATTAAGCTTGGGACATAACAAGGATCGATATTCAAGGCAGTGTTGAAAGCATCAAGAGCTTGCTTGTAAAGGCCTTTTGCTTCGTGATATGAACCTGCGCACAAATATATACAACATGAAATATATCCTTATTTACTCATCATTGGACTAGTCATATTTTTTGAAAATGCTTTCAAATACTCCCTCCATTGGGAATTAACAACCACATATACTTCATTAGGATGTTCCAAAAACAATTCAGCTTTCCTAATATAATAATGGTTTATGATCAGATTCCCATTAGTGATATAAGTAGTGGGGAGTGAATTAAAATGATCCACCTATTAAAGGTCTTCTGTTATCCTTTTCTGTTTCTGGCTATGAGTAGCTTTGGGAAATGGAAACTGTAACAGTAAAGATCATTAGCAGGATATTATCTTGCACAGCAGGATAGGTAGTTCTATGCAACACCTTTTGGTTTTTTAAGAGAATTCCAATAGTTCAAACAACACGAAGTTACACTCAAAAGCAGCAATAAAGCTAGTACTCGCATCATAATCACAGGAAAATAAAAAATAAAAACATTTTCATTTCTTCCATCATGTGAAATTCATCTAAATCCATTACACTAGCTTATCGGAATATACATAGGCCTAAACACCCATACTTCCTCACTAACCACAATGAGTTGGTTCCTATGTCACCCTATGACAGTAGTCTACTATCTCCAATTCTCGATACTGTAAGAATGACAAGAAACTGGTTCAGTATTGAAGTTAATTACTCTTCTGAACACCAAGCCTTTTTAACAAGCTCTAGCGCATTTGCCAATGAAAAACTTGACAAGAAGAAAGAAGAAAAGGTGATAAAAGGAACCAGCAATCAAAAGGGACTTTCAAATAGTTGTATCAGGGAGAGAATTCTTTCAGTTCAAAAGTCATATAAGGGAGAGAATTTCTTTCAGTTAAAAAGTTGTATCAGAAAGGACTTGACATAGAACATGAAATTCAGGTACAGCACACGATAAAGCAACATTTCTACCCAGAAATAAGACCTGTCAACTGATCCTCGGGTTTTTAAAATTCTATTTTAAGGCTCTATTTGGTTCAACACATTTTGTCTGAAATTATTTATCTAAAGTCACTTTGTCTGAAAAAACTTATTTGTCTGTAATTGTCTAATTTGTGTGTTATGTCTAACTTTTTTTTTAAAAAAAACTAATTATTTTGAACTTATTTTGTCAAAACTTAAGAGCTAATTTAAACTTATCTGACTTATATTGTCTGAAATAAGTCTATACAAGTTAAATTAGATGAAGCAAACAGACCCCAAGACTAATACATCACTAAAACCAGATAAATTTTGGCTTCTCTGAGTATTAAATTTTACAAAATAAATCTCAGAAGAAATTATACAATAGCAAGTTGATTAAGCATATCCAAGTTAGTATAAATGACTGCATATGTACCTAAAATGTGCCATCTGGAAGCACTATTAGGACTGATGGCCTTGGCTTTAGACAGACAAATCTCGGCATCATTCCACTGTGACAAGCTGATATATATACATGCCAGATCATGCCATGTTTGCAGCTCTAACTGCCGATCGTGATTATCAAGACTCTGTAAAAAAGAACAAACTTGTGAGCAAAAAAGACTAGTTAGACTGTTAATGATCGATATCTAAAACAAGACCGGATTGCCATTCTTTATGTCAGGGATGTAATTCTTTACATAGTATAGTATCCTTGAAAAAAAAAATTCCTATTTCACATTGCACTGATGTAGATGGAGTAAAAGTAGACATACTCACAATACACAGCACACACAATTCTAAGGGCATACTGAAAGCTTCTAAAACGTATCCTTTGCGAAATATTCCTATTGTATCTTTAGGTATGTATGTAATAAATTCACACACGCAAACAAGAGAGTGCGCACAAAGAATCTACGCATGTAATAAATTCACACACGCAAACAAGAGAGTGCGCACAAATAATTTTCTCACAAAGTAGATCTCCTTATCAATTTTCATCTTCATGCAGATTTAAGCATAATAAGTAAATACATTAATGCAAAAAGAGCCAGTTAATAGACCTTAATGTACCTTCCTAGATCCAGAGCTCTTCTTTTTTACTTGTAAAAGGGCAAGAATCTGCATATATGTCTCAATGGCCTTTTTTAGATTGCCCTGAGCAGTTTGGATCTTAGCTTTTGTACTCAAAAGCTCTCCCTGATCCCACTTTCCAATTTGATCCAAAGCAGCATCAATAACTGTTTCTGCATCAACATAACATTTTTGCCCAGATAAAATCCGTGCTAACAGCAGCCATCCTTTAATGTTGGTTCCGCCATCCAACTTCAGCAATTTCTTAGAATAATATGCTGCAGCATTCAACTTTCTTTGCAAAGCATATTGTAGACTTAGATGGTACACAGACATGGAATCACTAAACTTTGTCAATTTCCCAGCAGATTCCAGAGCCAGAACAGCTTCTGTCTGCCTTGTAACCCGCTCGGAATCAGAGACTGCGGATTCATCATACTCTGAAAATGACATGCCCAGAAAAGAGTACATACGACCAGCTGTATGATTACATCGATCCTCCTTGTAAACTAGAGCTCTTTGAGCATATGTAATCCCCTCCTCAGCCAAACTAGGGCTTTCACTGCAGATTTTTGATGCCATTAGTAGGCCAGATAAATGATTTGGATCCTCAGAATGATGCAATAACTTTTTTAAAAGATTCAAAGCAGCAAAATTGTCACCATGTGCATTATAACAAAGCGCTAGAGTGTGATACAAATCCTTTCTCTCAATTATCCCAGGAGGCAATGCTTCTATCACCCAGGCTAAAGCCTGCGGTTGATTAGCAACACTTAGAGCAAAAGATAAATGTTCCACAATCGAGGGATCCCATTCAATCTGTCGCATAGTCACTTTTATTAACAGAAGCAATAACAGCAGAGTAGCCTCTTCTATATTGGTTTTAGGTACAAATGAACTATCCTTTTGAGAACGCAAATTTGGTGGACTTGCCTCAGCACCACTAAACAACAGATAAACAGCAAACTCTTTCTGTATTCTGGCAGAAGTATCAGCGTCAAGGTTCCAACGATGCAGAAGGGCTTTTCGGTACGACAAAATTGCATCCTGCGGACAATCAGCCAGTTTCCATAATTCAGGAAGCAACTCTACAGCCCTGATTAGAGTCTCCTGTAGTTTAGACTCAATACCAAAGTTGTCAGGCAAGCCAGCTGGTAATGAAGATTCAACAATGTCCAGAATAATTTTGCATGATTGAGCAGCTTCTGCATGGCAACGATTGGAAAGAATGTTAGCGAGAAAATGATGATCCAGTTCCTGCAAACCCAGATATAATGTTCCCACCAATTATGTTGATTTACGACATCGTGAATACAGAATACATGTCCACACAACCAATCAGCAATACTGCCAAAATCAGACGAAAAATACCAAAACAGAAGCATATAAATGACAAATCAAAGGCAAGCTGAATTCATGGACACCCAGTAATACACCTAATAGTTGTTTATTTGAGCTTCAGGTGACTAATTTCATGACTAGCAAGACAATGAGGCCAATCATCATATTCAAACCTTCCAACAATCCTTTACCTATTGAAGGAGAAGGGTTTGACCAAACACATGTCAAAAAATGGGCAGATTTAAAGCAACGATACCCCTCTCCTCCCCCAAATAGAGGGTAAAAACCATTCATCTCGGTCCCTTTTTTTCACAAGATTTAATCTCCAGAAAGAGATATAATTCTAGATTTCGACAAATAAATCAGCATATAACCTGATTATTATTTAACACTCTATCAGATAGGATATAAAGTAACAGACTTAAAACAGGATAATGACCACGTACTTCACTAAGAATGTGTCCATAAGGTAATAAGCTGTACAGCTCATAATGTTGGCTAAAAACAGCCATAGGCAGAAAAGAAAGTATTTCCAAGAAATACCTTTAAACTTCCCAAGGGACTGCAATGATTTTGCTTTTAGTAACATGGCCTCAAATAATAAATTAACAGCATGTAGTGACATTGGTGGGGCCGGATCACTTTGAGAACGCCTTTTTGGACGATCTCTAATTCTGGCAAGAGTAAGTTTGATCTTGGGAGTAACTGAGGTGACATTAATCCCTTCAAATACCTGTACAGCTTGCTCAATGTTTCCTTTCTGATACTCATATTTTCCTAACAACGCTCTTGCTTCCTGAAAAGTGGAGAGTTCATTTAACAGATTCAGCCATCATCTCTAAACACTTGCTCCTGTATTAATAAGAAACACTTTCACCTATTTTAATATGAAATACATCGACCAAACAAGGCAGACCCCTAACAAACTTCCTTTGAGCTTGAATCTACTAAAGCTACTTAACAAGGCAACTCATGCAGTTCAACAAGTAGTTGATCTCAATACATGGCACCATTCTCTTCAACTCAGATATGTTACAAAGCAAGTGTAAGACTCATAAGATAATGTAAACAAACATATTGGAAGACACTTGAAGACACAGAGGTCTCTTATCATCCATCTCATAATCATTTCATGCAAACCAAGTTACACAATCAACATTCTAACAAAGAAACCAAACGGCAGACAAACCTCATAGTTAAGACCACCACTTTCACGAAGTGATGACTCGGCTTCTTCAATATTCATAGTATCAGGCCTAAGTTGGACATCATCAAGTGAATCAGACCGCTTCAGGATCTCATCCACTCTCATCGGTTCTCCAGAACAGAAGCACTGCATTATACTCTGACAATTCCAACAACCACTACTCTTCTTCGGAACTCTTACAGAGCTCCTGTTACTCATATTGCTCGAAACAACGATAATTTCTGCCACAAGCACATCAACCAAGATCAAAACCAATACCCAGAAAAGTCTCTCATTAACCACATTGCATAGAAATCATTATTTTACAAACTAACTACTCAAAAGGATTAAACTACCAAACACCCAAAGTCAATAGAGCAACAGTACAATTGAAATTGAATTCTCAAATAAGTATAGCAATTAATAATACAGCACATACTAGAACAGAACATTCAACATGATCAAAATTATGAATACCCATTTTCCACAATCATCAAAAATCCTCAAACCCCCATCACAAATCCTCAAAACCCCATCATTAATCCTCAGAAACCCATCATAAATCCTCAAAAACCCATGAAAACACCCAGAAGTTGTATCTGTAAAACCAATCCAAAACCCCCCACAAATGAATTGAGAGAAAAAACACAAAATTGAGCAAGAAATCAACTAATTATACCTAAATTATAAGATAGATAATCATAAAACTTCTTTCAAAATTGTATAAACTGAGATTAAAGAACTAACCTATTGTCGGAAATATTGAGGAAAAGTTTGGAAAGATGAAGAAAAGAAACAGTGGTACCCATCATTGAATTGAATTGGCCCTTGAATTAAATTTTTTTCTTCATTTATACTGTTTGATTGTCTTTTGAAGGGTTCTCTTGTTTTGATCAAGAACCATGAATTGTTCTACAGTGCCTTTTTTTTTTCCAATTATTTAATTTGGGAATTTTGATTTTAACTCTTTTCTGGGTTTAGTTTAATTCAGGTAGCCTCTTTTTCTATCCTTCTCTAGGCAGTACTTTGGTAGTAGAGTGGGTATGTTTTGGGAATTGTGAAATTGTGAATTGGAGTTGTTGTAAGTTTGTAACGTAAAGGCAAAGATTATGTGACCTCAGCATTTTTTTATTTATCTTGTTTACTTTACTTTAAAATAAAAAAAAATTGTAAAAATAATTTTAGTTCAATAAAAATAATTTTAATTTAATAAAAATCAGTAACTTTAATAAAAATATATAACAGAAAATCAGTACTCCCTCTGTGTTTTTTTTTAAGTGTTACAGTTTGATCGACGTTTTAGACAATTTAATTGACTTAAATAAAATAATAGGTAAGTGGGGTAGTTGGAGTATTAAAAAATTGTAAAATAAAAATAGTGAGGTTAATAGTTTATTGAAAAGTAACGAATGTAAGAGGAGAGATATAATAAAAAAATGTAGTGGGTTTGGATGGGGACCATGAGAGGAGAGAGATATAATATTTTAATGTATTTTTTTGCCAAAAAAAAGGAAGTGTAACACTTATTAAAACAAGGTGAATTTAGTAAGTATAACACTTAAAAAAACACGGAGGGAGTAAAAATAATTTCAGTTCAACAAAAATAATTCTGGTTAGTAAATTTAATTCCAGTTCAGTAAAAATAATTTAAGTTTAGCAAAATTAATTCAGTTCAGTAAAATTAATTTTAGTTCAACAAAAATAAGGTGAAGTCAACATGGCCTAAGGCTTGATTTAATTGGAGTTTGATTATTTTAAATAAAGTAAAAGCTAATGAACGTCCTAAGAGCGTTGGATAATAAGATAAGTAAAAGATATTAAATCAAAATGAACATTAATTACGACGTGTGATTTTGGCATGTATTTCCAAATTAATACCATTAGAGAATATTTTGAATGCTTATCCAACGCTCGGGGGATATTCGTTAGCAAAATCCTTTCATTTAAAGTGTTCCTTTTGATTCTTAACATTTATTTGTTTCTTTATCTTTTTAGTCATAAATTTTTGGACAAATTTACTTATATTACTTTATAGTATAAATGCTCAATTGTCCTTACTTTTTCATGTGCAATTGTACTTGAATACTTTCTCTCACCACTCTCTTCTCCTTTCTTCCTACTTACCTTCGTTTTTTTTAGTTAAAACGTATTACTCCACTTTTTAGATATTATTAGCTGACACGTTTCCTTTTTGAGTAAGTTTTATACCTTTTTTAGTGTACCCTACATGCTTTATTATTCTCTCTCATTCTCTGTCCTCTCCTTAATATGTGTGTCTAAATTAAACGTGTCAACTAAATGAAAATGAAGGAAGTACTTTTTAAATTCAATCATTGATAAACCGTCAATATACCTCAACTCTATACAACTTTTTAATAACCAGAACGGGGCGAGATATAAGTATAAATTATGGGATAAAATATCTACTTTCAGAATTAATGCTAATAGATATTTAAACTTGTTGATGTGCTCAAAAGGGATAATATATATTGAGCCAGGATGAGTATAAAATATCTTGTTGTGTAGCTTTGTTATCTAATATCTATGTAAAAGAACATTGATGCAACTGAGATATTCTTATGCATCATGTCATCAGAAATTCAGAAGTCAGGAGTCAGAAGTCAAACCCATACCAATCCAAGAAAGCCAATTGAAAGTGGCAGTTGGTATATAATACAGTATTAATGTTATAATCAGTGCCCCCCTAAAAAATCAACTCATATTTGTACAAAACAATTAGCTTTGCATATTCTCGAAAAAAAATTAAAAAAAATCATTTGATTCCACAATTCACACAATCACACTATAAATGTTTCCTTGTATTTAAACATGTTTTTACCATTGATTTACTTAATCATGTTTTAACCATGTTTACAATAGAAAAATGTAATGTTTGTTTGTTTGTTTGTTTGTTTGTGTTCTCATTTCCATATAGAAAAATTGTCCATCTATTCATACAAATCTTACCAATAAACCATACAAGCTCTTTACTGCAAACTACAAAGCCTACAATCGCAAGATGTGTATTTTGGTGAAACGTTGTCCGGAAAACCAAAATTTTTCAACTGAAGGATAATACAAGAAAAGAAATCAAGAATCATCAATTAGTGACCGCAACTTTTCTCGGAATGCTGGTGCTTTGTCTGCCTCAACAGCCATCACTAGTCCCATTAGTCGATAATTTTTTAACTGCATCCACAATTATCAATAAACAAGCTAAAATAGTCAGCATTTCTGCCAGATTGTCCTTGAGAAAACACCTTCCAAGACATTTAGAGAACTTCTAATAGGCTAAATAAGCAAGCATGCACAGGTCGATAAGAAAAACATGCGATGTATCACGATATCCCTATTTATCTAAAGTAATTTAGATAACTGAGGCAGTACAGGAATAAGTAGGAGAGTGAAGAAGAAAAAGGTGAATGCCAAGACAGAAAGAAACTCCCAAACTAACCTCTTGACTTGCTGGAGGCTGAATGTGCAAGGGGAAAGTAAATGACCATGAACAAAGCTGAAAAATCCCATACAGAAATCATCAATAACAAGTGGAGAAATTTCATATATTTTAATTAAAACAAAGGCCTGGGATTGACAAAAAACCTCGAACAAAAGTTCATCTTCTGGTTTTACATATATAATATCCTCATCATCGCTACTAGAAGATGCCTTCCTCTTTTGTCCTATCTTCTGCTACAGGCAGAACAGCAGGAGAATGCAAAAGATAAATGAACATGACAGCTGTACACTGAAATGAATTGCTGAAAAGTTACCGAGAGAACAAAGAAGAAACAGAATTGAATTACCTTATATATTCTGGTTACCAGTAAATAATGTTTGAAGCGAAATGATTCACGGAGATCTTTTGTTGGCTTCAGTGATTGCAAAACAAAATGATCAGTTTTTTTAGATCACTAACAGTCAATACACATAGAAATACAAGCTTCAGCAGATAAAATAAACTTCATCTAACCTCATCTTCAGTAGCCCACGAAATTTCATCAAAAAGGGCATTGTAAAGATGTGGCAGAAGCTGGGGAGGAAGATTTGTAACACGCTGAGAAACCACTAGACCAACATGGTCAGCTTGGTCTCCTAGAAGTCTTTTTAGATCACCAACTACATTCTTTTCCTCACATACTTTTAGCAAGTAGTCTCTTACATCAGTGATACACTTATTATCCTGGCATCACAAGAACTCAGAATCATTCACTTAGTTGATTGATCGAGAACAATCATATTAATCAATATAGAAATGGTGGCAAACTTTGAGTTTTGTTACACGTACTAGTGCAATTTGACTGATAAAGCAATTTAAAGGGTCTTTAATGAAATTCTAAAGGGACAAGCCACACTGAAAATTGAAAATGAGACACCTGTTGTACCTTATATCTTCCTAAGTTCAAAGCTGTAAGAAGTGCAAACAATCCCTCATCTTCATCATCTTCTATCTTGACCACAGAGCCCACTGTTGTTTGCGCTAATATTAAGTCTACAAACCCACTCAAGTCCCACACCTTATCATCAAGATAGCTCTGTAGCAACATCTTTACTCCATGAAAGTCATCAGGCTTGGGGTCAAAAAAGGCAAAATCTGCCTGAATTACTTCCTTTGAGAAGAAATCAAAAAGGAGAAAATATTTAGAGTAAGTAAAGACAACTTGAATGGAAGCATTCAGCTAGAATCATTCATAACAACCAACAACAATTATATGCTTACTTCAGGAGCTTCTTCTTCTTCAGAAGATTCAGATTCTGAACTGTTCTCCTTCAAATTGTGCTTCCTACTAGATCTATTTGCTGAAAATATACAATAGCAAAGATTTCCAAAAGTCATGTTAGATCAGCACATGAACTGCTAATCATAAATAGAAAAAACAGGGCACCTATATAGGACAATGTTTTTAATAGAAAAAACACCTATTAACTTTGAAGAAGTTCTGTCAGATTTTGAATTAGAAACTTTATTTTTTGATGAGCAAGCTGTGGCAACTCTAGTTACTGAACGAGCAAATGATGAAAACGCAAAAGGTCGAGGCACCAGCTGGCCACTTCTTCGTGGTTTTCGAGGCATCCCCTTATATCTACACATAAGTAAAATTTGGTTAACATCCATCTTAAATCATCAGACTTTTTTCTCCCTTCTTTCCTCTTTCTGAATGCAAATGAAAGGGGGGAAAAAAGAATCAGGCAAAGAGCATCAAAGCACTCCAGCAGTAAGAATTTCAGATGAGTAATAAGTTTAATTGATACAAAGAGAAAGTACTATGCAACAAACACAACTCAAAAGTCAATCTCATATGCATAGCTACACATCAGAGAAACTCAAACATCCATAAGACACAAACAATTGCCTAAAGCTCATCATACCATTTACGATATTTAACAATAACCTTTTTGAATTTATTTTTTTTTTAAAAATTTTAATAGTTAGAATCTAATACTATGAAAGGACCTAAAGCTCATCATACCATGAAACCGAAACTCATAACACCAATGGATGTGAAACCAACTACACCTCCATACACCCAAACCGCTAAAATCCGCAACACCCATCTAGTTAAAAATCAATAATCTAATCAACTAGCTACAGTCATTGAATTGGAAACCAATTACACCCTTTATTTTGAACCAAAACTAATCTCACAGGCACAACCTCTCAAATAATTAGGCTCATCCATGAATTATATTTATTACTACAACAAAATGCATTAGAAACCCAAAAGTACTCATTGCCTGTCAAACAACTCAACACCATAAGGAACGAACATCTAATTCAAACACCCCCATCAAACCAACTCCTCAAAACCCCCCTCTTGATTCCCAAATTAATATAATTTGTAATGCACAAAACAAACGCACATACAACTATCACAGAACAGCTAGTCTACCATAAGGGACGAACATTGAATTCAAACACCCCCATCAAACCAACTCCTCAAAACCCCCCTCTTGATTCCCCAAATCAATATAATTTGTAATGCAATTAAGCAAACAAAACAAACCCACATAGAACTATCACAGAACAGCTAGTCTACCATATTCCTCTAAACCAACAATCCCAATTCAACCAATACGAGCAGTCAAGCAGGCCCGTCCCCGAGCGGGCAAGAGGGGCGGCTGCCCTTAGCCCCAGGAGAAAAAGTTCATTTTTATAGTTCCGTCCTAACAATAAAGGGTTATAAACAGATTCCTGCAACACATTAGCAACCAAATTTGACTCAATTATCAAATTACTCCCAAAAAACCACACAAAATTCTTCTCATTTGAGCCTATCAACGTAAATTGCACACATCAAAACTATAGCAACAAAATCCCACATTATAATCAGTCATAACTTGAGTAGTTATAATCTATAGTTCAATAATACACCTTAGAAGAACCCTAAATTGACTATACTAAATTACTAACAATCAAATTACTGATAGGGAGAAATTAATAATCGTTGATTAATGGAATAAAAGGGAAAATTAGGTTACCTCAAAAGCTGCTTCAATGGAGGAGAGAAAGCTAAGAAGCCGCTTCAACGGAGAACTCAGAGTATGCTTCAACAGAGGAGGAAGGGGTGTGCAGCGCCTGAGTGAAAAACCACACGCTTAGTCGCTTACTACTTCTACAGTTCGACACTTCGACTCGACGTTAGAATTAATTCTCATCTTAGGTTTTTTTTATTAAAAAAAAAAAATTGAAGGAAATTTTTCATTTTTTTTTTTTTTTTTTTTAAGGAAAAAGGAAAAGTTCATTTACGTATTTATTTTTATTTTTTTTAATTGTATTTTATTGTATTGGAAAAAATTTAACACTACATATTACCGCTTGCGAACAAATTAGGTTTAGATTTGTCAATTTTGATCATTAATATTCTTAACTTAACCGGTGGTAGTGGTGTTTATCGGTTCAAGATCGGATTAGATCAGACTAACCCGAGTCGGATCGAAGACCAAAAATTAAAATTTTAAAAACCGAAATTCGGATCGATTAAGTTGGGACTGAACCCTGACCGGACCGAAAGATTCTATCCAAACCGCAGACCGGACCACTTTGGACCGATTTTTTTTATAAAAATTCTAAATTTTAAAAAAATTTATGGAAAAGTCGGAAAAAAAAGTAAAAGAAAAACTATATATTAACGTCTTTTTTTTTTGTATGTTTAGTACAAAACAGCTCATAAAATTAAAGTTTTCTAAGCTTATTAAGGATTCTTAACCATTATTTAAGGTTTTTACGCATAATTTTAGCAAAAAAGCGGTCTGGTCCAAGACCATTTTTTATAGGGTTTTGGACCGGACCGTAGACCAGAAAAATGAAATTCTAGACCCAAAGACCGGACCGATTAATTCAGTCTGGTCTGGTCCGTTTTTAGGTCGGACCGATTTATGAACACCCCTGGGTTTCCGGCTTTCTGCTGCTAATTCCAAACAAGGATAAAAGAGGGTTATGGTAGGACAATGACAATTAGTGAAAAAGTTGATCACATCGCTTGACATGAGCCACAAAGCCCACTATGATTGAGAGTAATACTAGGATGGTTGACCTCCTAGGAAGTCCTAATGTTGGTTCACGTAACCGATTCTACTTATGGGATTAAAACGTTCAAGCAAAAGAAGAATAATATCGATTAATTGACAGATTAATGGTAAAATATCAAACTAACTTTATCCATATCAAATATTGTCAATGATCAATAGTTGTGGTGATTTCAGTATGGGTTCAGTTGAACCCAAACTGAACTAAACCCATACTGAAACCATACAAGAATTTGGGAAAAATTCATAAATCTAATGGGAAAAATTAAGTTAAAAGCAATTGCAACCAATAATGTTAACTATACAATTTCGTGGTTCAATGGTCAAATGTAGAAAAGAATTGCACATACTAATGCATTCAAAAAAATGTGCATGAATAGTGCAAAATTTCAAAAGTTGTGAATAAAAAAGAACGGATGAAATATACGCCATCTAATGTTCGAAACTCCGAAGAATTCAAACCCATATGTCCAAATTTCTAGAATTACCACTAGTTAATACTTAATAGTGTGCAGAATACTAAAATTTGATTGATAACTATCAACTAATATCATTTTTAATTGCGTTCTAATAATAAAGTTTCCAAAATTTTAAAAAAGCTAGTATGAGTAACTATAACTTTTGGTTTTTGCATTGTTAAAAGACTTTTACCCATAATGAATAAACTAATCAGGGCTAAAAAAAAGTCATTTTATCATTGTAAGTAACTACCACTAGCCTTTTTTTAATTTGGCTTAAAAGCCAACTTTCAGCCAATCAAAAAACCATTAACCAAACATGTTTTTGGTTGTTTAACACTAAAAAAAGCCTGAAGCCAACTAAAAAGTCATTTACCAAACAAGATTAATAAGTTGTTTACCAAGCATTCAAATAGACTTCAATAAGTTATAAGCTCTCCAAAAACCTTTTTACCAAATAAGACCATTATACTACGTATATTTTTAAATGCGGAAAATTTATTATGAGACAAATTATCAGTATAAATAAAAAACATCCAAATTAATCCCGCTAGCAGTAACTCCAGTTGGCACTATGGAGGAACTGAAAATCTCAACCTTCGCTTCCATTTGTAAACATTACTACTTCAATAATCCTATAAGATCACTGCTTAGTTGAGATAAATCATGCATATAAAAATTCCTGCTATTTAGCATTTGCCAGATTGTTGAAGGGTTCTTTTTGATTTCATCTTGGCACCGTGTACCGTCTTCCATGGCAGCCAAAGCCGCCTTTTTCGCAACCCCATAGGCCTTTACATTCAAAGATTTAACAGCAGCAGGAACATCATTGTTATTAGCTAAGGTATAGAAGTGAACACAAACACCAACCGCCGTCTTCAACTTGGGGGGGCAGGCCTTTTGCAAACCCTGAATATAGGTCGAAGTTTCCTTTGCATGAGCTTCAAGCTTGCCAAGGGCTATCTGGGCTAGCCCTTGGACACTTGCTTTGGCACTTCTTGGATCTGATCGGAGGGTGAAAACACAAAAGCCGAAGTCAGATATCTTCCGACATGTTAGCACCACTGGATCAGTCTCGCTGTTCAACTTCCTCATCAGCCCATTGCATAGAGTTGATGGTGAAGCGAAGAAAACAAAAAAGAGAGCAATTTTTACAATGATGGAATGCATTGTGCCTAGTTGATTGTATATAGTACTAGACACACAGAGGGATGAGAATACTCATCATGCAACAGACTTATATAGACAAAAAAGATTAGCTTGATGCAGGTAATCAACCAAATGCCTGCAGATCCGCAGTATCCGGATGTTTTTCTCACGCATTAAATTTCTCCTGATTTTGTCCAAATATAACAATATTGATATCTGAAGTGATATAGTTCTCCTCATTTGTCCAAGTATAACAATATTGACATTTGAAGTGATATCCTCAAGATATTGTGCTAAAACCCAATAAAGAAGCAAATAACAAGAATCAAAATAAATTGAAACCTTCTAAATAAGCACCTAAATTCATGTCAAATAATGCAGCAAAAAATTTATTTCAGCAGATAGAAACTGAGATAGTCAACATAAAACTAGAGGCCTTATTTTTCTTCCTTGTTAACCTCATCCTTCGGCTCCTGCTCATAACGGCGCTTGAACTTGGCAATCTGCCCCAAGCTTTGAGCCATCTGACGTTTTGCTCTGAAGTGATAAACTTTGGGTTCTCGGTGGATTTTACTCATCATGACATTAATCAACCTACCACTTTGGGTTACATAGGATATCCATTGCATCTGAGGGTGCAATCCTTTCTTCATTTTCAAACTCTGCAGATGCCGAACAAAGCTAAATAAGAGAAGGAAAATTTGGAAAATATAATTCTACAGCTCATTAGGATTTAGGAGTAGGTCTTATAAATAACAGGGCATGCAGAGATCAGTAATATCCGTAAACATTATTTATTTTTTAATATTTTAATATCGTGTCTGTGGTCGGGGGGGGGGGGGGGTTGATCATACATGCAGCAGGTGAAGCTCCAATTCTTTGATATAAAACCTAATATAATCAATGAATTTTATTCAGTCAAACTACAGGTCAAAGAAGAAATCTCACATGCATCGCCTACATTTTGGAAAATGTAAGTCTATCAAATAATTATCAGGCACTTGAAATGAGATAAAGTGTGTTGAAAGACATACACAGAACAAATTTTGCTCAGTCAAGACCACCAGTCCACCACCACCTCAGAGCTTTTGTGGTAGACAAAGAAAGTGAGGATGAGAAGTTCCTATACATAACAGTGATTGAGAGCTAATTAAAGGGGTATAAAAGAGCAAACTTTATAGCTCAAAGAATTTTACATTTTTCTTTTACTTCTGCTTCCTTAATTTTTTACATAATTATTTTTGGCCCCTTCTTTTCCATAGTTAATTAGTGTGATAACAGGCTTCTGGCTCAAGGGTCAAAGTAGTATAGCACATAACATAAATAAAGAGCATGAAGGGTATACATACTATAAAACTTGGGTCACTATTATGGGATGTGAGATAGTTTTCAGAGGTGAAATTATGAGGAGAAACCGAGATATGACCTTAGTAAAATATGAGGTGACTTTGTCAAAATTGAGTAAATTGACCACCCTTCTGTTTGAATTGATAAACCAAACTATAACACACACATTTGTGAAAAATGAAAGGAAATTTTGTCTAAAACCACCCGCCAAATACTGTATTTTGTCAAAAACCACCCAAAAAAAAAATGTTGTCTTAGACCACCCAAATACAAAATTTTGTTGTGTAAGACCACCTAGCTCAACTTTTCGACTTTGACCTCAAAATCCGGCGTTGACTCCGGGCACGTGATAAACACGTGACCCCCCTCCCCCTTTCTTTTTTTCTTTTTTTTTTTTCCCATTGATTTTTCTGGTTTCCCTTTCTCTCTCCTCTCTTTCCTCTTCTTCTCTACTGGTCTTCTTCTCCTTCTCTTGTCCTCCCTCCTCTTTCTCAATCTTCTAGCTTTTCTTTGTCCCTCCTCTTTCTCAATCTTCTAGCTTTTCTTTGTCCCTCCTCTTCTCTCTGTTCCACCACCAACATCAACGATCATCAACAACAACAACGCTGTAGCAACACCTCCACCAACAACCACCAACATCGACCGCAACAACACCTCCACCAATGTCAACCAATCACCACCAACATCAACCGCAACAACAAAAACGGCGCAACACCAACAACAACAAAGGCAACAACCACCGTCGCAATAAATTTGTAGATCTAATGGTGGTTTTTTTTTTTTTTTTTTTTTTTTGTGTGTTATTTTTGATTCTTGGGTTAATTTTCGGTTTTTTGGGATTGATTTTGGTTTTTAGGGGGTTAATTTTCATTTTTTGGGCTAATCTTTGTTGTAATAGATTAATTTTAGTTTTTGGCGTTAATATCTGAAATGGTGGTGGTGTTGCCGTGTTGGTGGTGGTGTGTGGTTGTATGTGACGGTGGGGAAAGGGCTGGTGGGAGAGGTGGTAGGAAGGTTAGTGGTTGGGGCTGTTGTGTTGGTGTGGGGTTGTGTGTGACGGTGGGGAAAGGGCTGGTGGGAGTGGCGCGGTTGATGTCGTTGTGTTGGTTGGGTGAGCCGGTGGTTATGACATGGGGCTGGTAGTGTGGGGGGGGGGGGCTGGTGGTGTGGGCGGTGCCGCGATGGTGGTCTCAATACCAGAAAATTCGAGAAGAAAATAAAAGAAAGGGGAGGGAGGGGTCACGTGCCCTGAGTCAACGCCGGAGTTTGAGGTCAACGCCGGATAGTTGAGCCAGGTGGTCTTACACAACAGAAATTTGAATTTGGGTGGTCTTAGACTATTTTTTTTTCGGGTGGTTTTTGACAAAAACAAGAATTTGACAGGTGGTTTTAGACAAAATTTCCAAAATGAAAACATAAGATAAATATATTTCCACCCTCAGGAGGCTCAAAGTGCACTGGACTAGATGGCGATGGAATTCCATTCTGACCATGGACATGGCAGGTAGACCATGCCAAGTCTTTTGGAGTATAACTAGTTTTTCTATGAAATTCGTTTGGAGTATTACTATATAGTAACAATGGACTGATTACAGGTTGTCAAAACATGAAAGTGTGCAGTTCATGGATCGATACTTTCCTATACATATACTACATAAGAAAGGATTTTAGCCTAAAATTTAAGTTTTGAACAACTTGACAATAAATCAATAATGCAGTGGATCTTTATGTTGTTTAAGTTAAAACAATCTTCTGTTTATGGCAATTATCCATTAAGACTCAAAATGAGAGGAACCACAGGAGACAAAATCACAAAAATTGTGAGGAATCAGGAAAAGGTCAATTTTAAGCATGGCAAATATGGAAGGAATTGCTCAAAAGATCAAGAGTCACAACACAAGAAACATCTATAACTGTGACATGAGTGCTCTTTGAGCTTTGAAAGGACAATGGAGTAGGCCAGGGAAAAATAAGATAAATTAAATTAGGCAAGAATACTCATTCAACAATAAAAACACATGAAGAGGTTATAGGTTGACAATCTACAGTTCTTGGATAGATGCATTCATGACTTTTTTCGCTCACCCTCAACATAAGGTGTACATGTCAACATAGCACACTTGTGTGGTTTTGTCACAGCTGAAACAACTGAACAGCGAATAAGTCGATTAAAACATGAAGTCGGTCAATTCCCTTTTTTCCCCCTTCTTATTAAGGGTTGGGTCTTCCACAGGCTTTTCCTCATTTCTGTTATATTGGTTTTGGGGAATTCCTAGTATGTGTAAGGCATGAATCGCTAAGCTAATCTTATTTTAACAGTCATATTCATAGTACAATATACAACCTCCGTTTCATATTATTTGGAACAATTAGACATATTTCCTCTCTAATTTGTGTCAAATCATTGCAAATAATATGAAACGGAGGTAGTACCAGTAATAGTTCGTCAATTAACAATCTGCATTAAGCAGTTATCAGATCAGATTTGCCGATTTATCTAAAATTTTGAGCAACAGCAAATCTAAAGATGACGTTTCGCGTATTCGTAGTTTGGCTCTGGCAAATGTATGGAGCTATAGCTATTAAACTCAATTAAGCTATATATATATATATATATAAAAACTGCTAGTGATACAATAGCATTCAGAAAGCAATTCAAGGGTATATAACTATGTATTCTTTGTAACAAACACTAAAATTAGAATATTAACCTAACTAGACAATTTACTAGCTCCAAATTTGCTAAATGCTCTTCAACACACCCTTTATCAAACAACCCTAATCAATAATTTGAAACCCTTATGGCTTCATTCGGCAACAATCGAGTCAAATTGCAATGTCGGGTTTCTAAGTAACGAATCGCAGGCAATAATCAATAATTACATTGACAAGTAAGATTAGCAAATCAAGGAGTGCAAACAAACAACTGAAAATGGCGATTACGCCAACATAAGTTCACCACAAATAACACACAATTGAAGTTTATATTCATAGTTTCATCCAAATATTTAGCATTTTGCAATACATTAACAACTAAATTAGACTCCATTAAATTATTCTCGCTTAAAAATATAATATGAATAGAAAATTTCTAGTAACGAAATTGCAAGTTATAATATTTCATTGATTCAGTAATTATAAGCATTGGTTCAATAATCCGTTTTAGAAGAACCCTAAATTGACTGTACCACAAGTGACAATTTAATTAACGAATAATACTAGAATATGAAACTAATATTCGATGATTAGGAAAAATTAGGTTACCTCAAAAGCTGATTCGATGGAGGAGAGAAAGCTCAGAGTACAATAAAGGAGTAGAGGAGGGTGATGGGCTTTGTAAACGTCAGAAATCCCTGAGTACTTGTTTTTAACGTTAAACTGAAATATTTTTAGGAAAAATACACTTTAATAATCCCAACTTTACTCAATTTAATTTAAATAAATCCAATTTTTGATTATTCTACAATGATCCCAACTTTCATATGTGTTTTCTTTCTTCAATTCGGATTATCGGTTACCTGAAAAAAGGGTTAACATTTAAAAAAAATTATATGTCACGTGTCGCTTTTCTAATTGGTTCAAAAAATAAATAAATTTAAATTAATAAAATTAAAAAAAATAAAAAAAAACCAAAGACCACCTGCCATCCAACGCTGGTGGCCGCACTTCCCCAACCGGCAAGACCCACAGCCAAGCCACTGCCTACGAAACCCAGCCACCACAAACTCCCACCACCCACGAATCCCGACCACCCCCGAAATGCCAATTTCATTCACGAAACCCACCAACCCCGAAAATCCCGACCAACCCACAAAACCCAAACCATCCACGAACCCCGACCACCAACGAAACCCAAACCCACTTTTTCGACCTACCGAAAACCATCCCCTCACCAAAAACCCTCTCGTCACTCCTTTTGATTGCGATTTCCGGCGATTATAGGAGAGAGAAAGGGTTGTGTTTTTGTATTTCGGGGATGGGGAGGTGATTTCGATGGTCAGGATTGGTGTGACAAGTGGTTTCCGGGGTTGGGGGAGGGGATAGGGACGGTTTCAGGGATGTGGGCTTTGGTTATGGTGGTTTTGGGTTTTATGGGCGGCGGTTTCGACGCAAGAGTTTTGGCTATGGCTGGTTTAGGAGGTGGGGAGAGGTAGAGGGGGTCGGTTTTGCGGTGTAAGGACGGTTTTTGGGGAGTTTTTGGTGGCTGGGGTAAGGGAGGTGGTGGTTCGAGGTTGGTTGTGGATGGAATTGGCCACCAACGGTGGTTGTAGGCTGGTGGTGGCTAGTTTTTTTATTGATTTTTTCTTTAATTTTTATTTTATTTGTTTGGACCACTTACGACTTGACGCGTGTCAAGTGACCTAAAATATTAGGTCATTGACTTTTGTTGACTTGTTTGGGATTGAAGAAAAAAAATATGCAGGTGAAAGTTGAGATCATTGTAGAATAATCGAAAGTTGGGATTATTTAAAGTAAATCGAGCAAAGTTGGGATTATTAAAGTGTATTTTCCTTGTTTTTATTGAAATTAAATTATTTTTACGGAAATCAAATCATTTTTAGGAAAATTTCACATTTACTATCAGGAAAAGCACCCGTGTTCACATTTGCTATCCCTTTATTTTTTTATTTTTTATTACTACCACACAAACACACTAACTGTTGAAATCACTACCACTTAACGGAATCCGTTAGGATTTCCGTTAAGTTTATTAAAAAAATTTAAGAAAATTAAAAAAAAAATAATAAAACAAAAAATAAAAGCCAGCCACCCAAAAAACCCTAGCCCTCCCTGTCAGCCACCCTCCCCCCTCCCCCTGCCTGCGGCCAGCTCCCAAAGATGCGGCGGCCGGCGTCGGAATCGAACCCCTCCACTTCCCCACCCAAATCCGACAACCCTAACCCTTATTTCCCTGCCCGAAACCACCACCACCGACACCACCGTAACCCCCAAACCCGGCGACGCCCCATACCACCACCACGACACCACCCTAACCCCCAAACCCAGACCACCACCACCCACGTGCTTTCCCACGAACCCACCCACGAACCCCCTGCCAGACCACCACCACCCATAAACCCACCCACAAACCCACGAACCCAGACCACCACCTGCCAAAACCACCAAACCCAAACCGGTCGGAATGGGTTTGGGATCGGGTTTTCGAGGGGAAGGGGCTGGGATCGGGGCTGGGATCAAGGTTTGAAGGGGAAGGGGATGGAATCGAGGTTTGGGTTGGGTTTTCGAGGTGATCGGGGCTGGGAAAGGGGCCGTTTTCGGCAGCCTTGGTGGTCTGGGCTGGGAAAGGGGCCATTTTCGGCAGCCTTGGTGGTGGAAGAATGGGTGTGCTCTTGGTGGTTGTGTGAAGGTGAGGAGGTGTTGGTGGCGTTTGGGAAGGAGGTGGGCTGCTGGTGGAGTTCGCGGCTGTCGTGGGCTTCTTTGAGCGCCGGCTTAGATGGGAAATGGAGGTTGGATGGTGGCAATAACGGTGGTTGAAGATGTAGCGGTGGCGGTGAGGTGGTTGGATGGTGGTTGGGCTCTACTAACGGAAATAGTAACGACATCAGTGAAATGGTAGTGATATCAAAAATTTTGGTGTTTGTGTGGTAGTAATATAAAATAAAAAATTAAAGGGGTAGCAAATGTGAACACGAATGTTTTCCCTGGTAGCAAATGTGAAATTTTCCTCATTTTTACTAATTATAAATATATTTTTACCGATTTTTATTATTACTGCCTCCGATTTTCTTTTTAAGTTGCAACTTTGGGGTATTATTTGTGAGATATAACATATTTCAAAGTTGCAATTAAAAAAAAAATCGAATGTAGAATTTATTTTTTTTTACTAAATTTAATTTTGCAAAAGGTAGCACACCGTCACGAGTCGTAGGCAACAATTGGAGCTAGGGGGCTTTGGTGCTCATCTAAGCACTTCCGCCTATTCTTCTTCTTCTTCAAAATAAAAAAATAAAAAAAAAGCACTTCCGCCAAAAAAACTTTATATTGTTGTAGCCTTGAAATATCATTGAAGACTGAAGACCCACTTGACAGTAACACAATAATACGTTATTTGTACTATGGGCTCAAATTTGGGGGTTCACCATATTTTGGGCTAAGCTAAGGAAGACCATGGTGGTGCGTGAGTGGTGACGGTTTTCCAAAGGAGGTCCCGAATTAAGAGTTTGGGCAGCAAGGAGTTCGGAAAACGCAAGATGCTTCTAGAAGGATTCGGGCTTCTCTAAAGAGTTCTTTTGAGGGAGTATACTAGAAGGGATGTTCGCTTAAAAAAAATATTAGAAGGGATGTTTCTAAAATATTCAAGGGTCATCTTGTATATAGAAGGAGCTTCTAGGGTCTTCTATATATGTATATAAGTAGTATACATTCTAGAATGTTATAGAGCCTGTTCTGTACACCCGGGTGTACGGTACAACCAAGTAATTTACTCATTAATTTTTGCTCATTCAAAAAAGGAGTAGAATTTTTTTGCTCGTTTATTAAATGAGCAAAATTAATGAGCAAATTACCCGGTTGTAGCGTACACCCGGGTGTATATAACAAATTCTAAGAATGTTATAGGGTGGTCTTGGGCATTCTAGACTTAGGAAGTGTGTAGAACCTCCTTGTATGTAGTTCCTTTGGAGGTGAGAATGTTCTATTGAGTTGTTGAGAGTGGTAGTGTATAATCTTCTATTGGATGCCTATAAATAGGTCCTCATTCATTTGTACACTTAAGCCAATATCTTTTAATTGTAAGTTCTCTCAAGTAATCAAAGTTTTCCTTTGAAATCTTTTGTGAACATTTTTCTTGACTAGGAAACTAACGGATGTTGTCAGCTAGTGGACCGCGTGCAAGGGGACTTAATTAGGCAAATAAGTCAGCATGTGACAACACGCATTTTATTAATATAAATTAGCTTATTTTTACTGAATTAAAGTATTTTTTATTGTAATTAAATGGAGTTAAATAAAATAAGCATAAGTAGTGAAATTTCAAGTGTAAACAATAAGTTTTGTATTTACTGTTCGCCACGTTTTGTTATTTAATCGTTTTTATTTTTATAATACTTGGGATTGGCCCTCGTTAATCAGGAATCAAATTCATATTGTAATTTCATTTTTTTTTTAAATCCTATTGTAATAGACACGTGATGTCATATTAACCAAATAATTAAGGAATTAAGTTTTGCTAAGAAATTTATGTTGCCTGACATGCAACTAAATATGAAATTAGTTTTGGTTGCACAATAATTGATAAGTGAGAAAATTGGTAAGATTAAAGTAGTGTATAATGTATATGACACTGTTATAGCAAATTAAAGTAGTGGCATTTTTATGTCATTCATGATATGAACCTATGAATCAAATTGAATGTAATATCAATCGATCAAAATGAAGAATATGAAGAATTTCAAAGGAATGAAGAAAGTATTATGATATAATACCCATGCTAGTTTTAAACCCATGCATCAATAAAGGAGTCGCTTTGAACTGAGGTACTGATTTTAAACATAATTAAAGTACAAATAAGATATAAAATCAAATTAAGTTCTCATGGACCCATTTAGAGAGTTTGGTATCTCATCTAGTCTAGTTCAAAAGTAGATGAGAAATTCTCAATCTCTAATAATTTTAGTAGTCAAATAACAATTGTTGATATTAAGTTATATTTAAATGGTATCATCTTAATATTAACAAAGTATTTAATTGATACCAACAAACCTTACATTTAATTATAATTATGCGTTTTTTTTTTAAGTACAATATAAAGTATTTTTATAATACGGTGATATCAGTTATTCACATTTAATATTAACGGACATTATTACGGGCTTTAGCTAGTTTCACTATGAATTTATTCGAATGGACAAGCAACATATTCCTCAAAACTGGATGCCTAATCTTTATTGGGAGTAAAATTGAACTTTATAATCCAACATGCTCCTCAACTAAAGTTTGCAAAAGACAAACATGACTTTCATTTAGGAACAAAAGATGTGTAATTTAATTCTGTAATCTGTAACTACACATCATAATACAACAAATTAACAACATATTATATAACTTATTATTGTAGATATTGAATTAAACACAAGTTCTAAACTCCTAATGTCTCTAAGAACTTTATTGCAGTGCTATGCAGAGGTCAAATATGTCATATGATAAAACAACTGATTGTATGCTAATCCAATCCTTAATGAAGCCATCTTTATCTCTAAATCTAATAAACAATGTGAAGTTTAAATGTACTCACTTTTCTGTTCATTATATATTTCCATCAGGGCTTTTGCAATTCTTGTAGAAATGCAGTAAGCTGTTGATTCAATAGTAATCATAGGATTAACTCCTAAAGCAGTTGGCAGAACACTTCCATCACATACATACAGTCCCTTGGCCTCCCAAGTTTCTCCATTTTCATCCACTGCCCCTTCCTCCTCGGACGCCCCCATTCTGCAACTGCTCATCTGATGAGCATTCCCATATATTGTCCACTTCTCGGTCCTAGACCTTGCACCCCCTGGTGCAATAACCGAGTCCAGAAACTCTTCCACCTCCTCGTCTTTCACCCCATCACATTTTAACCTCTGCCCATCACTTCTATATGTTCCAACTTCAACAGCTCCTGCTGCTATTAGAATCCTGATGCACTGTTTTAATCCTATCTTCAGATTTTCCTTGTCAAATTCGTTTAAGCGATACTTAACTCTACCTTCTTTTTTAACTTCACCTGTACTCTGATCTCTGACTAATGAGAAAAGTGTAGCTGTTCTTCCATATTTTACCATCCTCTCTTTAAAATCAAGCCCTGAGACCCATGGCACTAAGGCGGAAAATGCTGCAGGACCTAGTGCAGACGCTTCTATGATAGCATGAACGTTGGAATTTTCAGAAACTACCTTATGTAGTGAAGTAATGATTCCTCCTTCATAGCATTTTCCTTTAAAATCCGGAGTAGATTCAGGAAAGTAACCCCAGGCTAACAGTGTAGGATGCAGGTGGAGGTTTGTGCCAATGTTCGAGTTCTGCAGACCACTACGTATCAATAGAGGGGGTGTTGAGAGAGATCCACAAGCTGAAATTGAGATTTTGGCCTCGATAATAAGCTTCTTTGATACAATATTGCTCAATGGAGTTGCTAGGACTCCAACACATTTCTTTCTTCCTCCATTTTCATCCTGTTTTAATATGAACTTCTCTGCTTTGCATCCTGTCAAAATTATAGCACCTTGATTAACTGCATCCACAAGCCAAGTAGTATCGGTTCCTTTCTTGTCTCCGGTTCTACATCCATAACAGCATGAACCACAATAATGATCCTTAGATGAATTCCTCGGCACTCTCTCAGCTTTCAAGCCTAGACCTTCACACCCTTTTCGAAGAATTTGATTCTGAAATCCTTCTTCTGAACAATCTACTGTGACTCCTATTCTATTCCACACCTCATTCATGGCTGATTTGTAATCAGGGCTGCCAAAAACAGGTAACTTGTGATTCACTGACCATTCTCTGAGGACATTATCCGGTGTTCTTATGGAAGCTGACCAATTCACAGCAGACCCCCCACCAACCGTTGATCCAGCAAAGATTGTCATTTTCCCATCAAGAGTCGTAAGCAATCCTCCTGACATGTATAGTTCATCGAATGATGGTCCCTCCAAAGACGAGTAATCACCTGGAGCAAAGTAGTTCCCTCTCTCAAGGACTAATACTTTATGGCCTTGACTTGCAAGAATGGCAGCTGCAACTCCTCCTCCGCAACCAGAACCAACTATTACAGCGTCACATTGTATCTTTAAAACTCTCTGGCCTACATCCTCTTCAACTTTTAGGCCTTTTTCTTCGAGAGCTTTAACAAGAGTAGAGTCATTCATCTTCCTACACTCAACAATTCCCTTCTGAAGTGGTCTTCGTTCTTGGGAGTTCACCAGTGGCTCTCTAGAGTCCACCTTGTAACCGATGGCTTCCCATGTTGGATTTTCAGCCTTTTCATCAGCCTACAAAATTACAAGAGAGTTCAGATACGACTTCTAAACCAGCAGAGTATATGTACACAAGGTATTAGAAAGATTAATATAGTTTCATGCCAATAAACACAATCAAACTAGTGATTTATCCAAAACTTAACAAGAAAATCGCTTGAATCCTCAAAAGAAAAATACATTAATGAGAAGTTAATCATTATTTACATTTGTTCATTTTTCTACAATATGAATATAGTCCGAGGTTCAGATGAATAGGCTGTCAGAGGATGTGATCGGAGCTTACAAGTTGCAAAGACTGCTCTAACAATGTACTATATTTCGGATACTAATATATCATGAGAAAAATACTTCACTCTATCTGCATTTCCAACAATCATCATTATGGTTAGCATACCACATCTAAGACGTACCAAGCCCAAAGATCTGAAGATACTATCTCCTGTTGTTATATACTATGTTACTCGGACTCTTCATTTTACCTCAAGTACCCGTGTCGGACCCTTGACCCTTGGACATGGGTATGACACATGGACACTTCATTTCAGTTGAAAATCATAAAAAAAATTCACAAAATAGCCGAGTCGGACACTTGGGTACGTACCCGTGCCGGACATGGGTACCCGAGTCCGAGTAACATAGGTTATATATTGGTTAATCTTTTCATTAGTGAGTAGTGACCTTCAGTTTGTGTAAAATAACAACAAAGTAAAAGGTTGATATAGTGTGACAACTAATTACTTCAAATGGTGGAAGATTAGGCATATAGAGGTATATAACTCGGGATTAAGTTGGCTATAAGGTAAAATTCAATGATTGCTAAAGACAGCCCAATGATGCAGATGATATTTCACCCCAGTTTCTTAAGTCTCGGATATCACTCTCCAAAACTTTAACCACAGAATTGCGTAGCATTGAATCAATCATCCAAAACTAATTAGAATATACCAAGGTATGAAAAGACAATTAAAAAGGACAATGAACCAAGAGTATAAGGAACATGGTGGCATGAAACTGTCAGTCTGTTGTTTTTATCTCTTCAGAGCACAAAATAACAGAAGGTCCTTCCTTTATCATTCCAAACCTTCATCTTATCTTCCCAAACCCATACCCCATTGTTAATTTGTAACGATTATCAATCTTATAAACAAGCGTAATATGAACTATAGGTTCATGAATTTGGCATAACAATCCTTCTTTTAGAAATATAATGGTAATGATCTAAAGTACATTAGAGGTATCTAAACTTATAATCAATAAAATTAAAAAGTCGAAATATTGTTGTTTTACACTCTTTCTCAACAAAGTTCACAATATTTTTCACTTGCATTGCTTGTTTTCATCATCTTTAAAATTCAGCAAAGAGACATAATGTTAGGTAAAATGTTTCCATTTTACAAGTTTTTAATAAATGTATACTCTTTTATTGAACATGTATTAAAACACCCAATGACAGTAGCATAAAACCATTGATTTTCAAAACGTAATGCCACATACAAAGAGTACTAATTCTTATGACAGTAGTCATTTTGGTTCATTACTTAAAATAGCAATTACACTTCACTTAAATTTATTTGTGCCAAATCGTTTTCGTGTGATTTATAAAGAAGCATAAAAACTTCATAGGAAAAAAATATACAAGTTATACAAAATAAGAAAGCATAAATTAATCTCACTTCAACATATAGACATGTTCAAACCCACATCTTTCGTACAAAATTAAGACTTTACTTGTTCAAAATCTAGTTGTTTATTGTGTTTGAGTAGACTTGCGTACTAAGTTATAATTAAACTAACAATTTCCCCTCTTTCAGAAAACATATTATGCCTACTATCAAGGGGTAATAAACTAAAAACTATCAAATCAAATCAGTATTTACTAACTACTTTAGGTCTTTAGGCCTTTCTTTCGGGCTACCATTTGCTTATTCTCTAATCTCTAGACTAATGGTATGATGGTTAGAGTTGGTTTTGCTAATTTAGCTCCATTACCTAACTACTACTCCATATGTCTCCAATAATACGCACTTATCAGCCCATCTTGTGTACCACTTATAAATAAACAACGTAACTCCTATAACACTGACCATTTAACCACAGTGAAACTGACAAAGTAACGGTTATAACATTGACCAAGTAACCCTATAACACTAACAAAGTAACTTCTTTAACACTGATCAAGTAACCCTTATTACACTAACAAGGTACCCCTATAACAGTTGGCCACATAATATGGCTAGTCACATATAAGAATTTGTGTTCATATACTATCTCCGTTTCTTTTTAGTTGACAAATATTCATTTTTAGGAATTTTTTTTTTTAGTTGACATGTTTCCTTTTAGGGTAACTTTTTTACCTTATATTTACAAGATACCCACTTGATTTTACATTCTCTCTCACTCTCTCTCCTCTCCTTAATATATGTGCCTAAATCAAACGCGTCAATTAAATAGAAACGGAGAAAGTATATGTTTCTATCGTGCTCCCATCATGTATGAGTACTATCAATACTATGTGGTAACATATGAGAAATTGATCATATGACATACGAAGTAATTTGTATTTTGTAACACATTACAACAATACTCGTACTATATTAGGAAAAAAACAACTAGTTACATAAAGACTTAGTGACATACGTCCAAAAACAACAGCTGTAGATGTAATTATCTGCTCCAAAATATCAGTAGCAATTTCACTCTTTCATTGTTTATACATTAACTGATTTAACTCTGATCACATTCATCACTAATTATGCATAAAAAAAACTACTCCTTAATCGTTATTGTTTACAGTAATATATTATTGAATTAGTTTTAATGTCTATATTTCAACTGTTATATATTTATGGTCAAACTTATGCGCACCAGCATATGTATTAATCACACTGTTATTTCGAAACAGGGGATTGATTAATTTCAAATATATGACATTTTTTAACTAGAAAAATGCAGTATAAAATTGCAAGTAAGAATAAGGAGCATTACCCGGGAGAAGAAGACGAAGCAACAAGCAACTTTGAGGAAAAGAAATACAACTTTTAAGGAAGTCCAATAACTTTCTTTAGACCAAGTTTGTAGCAATTTCTCTCTTTTCTCCAAACTCATTTCAGCTAATTTGTGAATAAAAGGCCACTTCCATTCCAAACAAAGCCTCCCACAAATCAAAAGTGTTCCTAATCTTGTTGATAGTAGTTTCATCACCAATTTCATTAGAAGTACTGCTTCTTTTACTCCTCTTTTGGTTATCAACTCAGCCACCTGCAAATTTGATTTACATGAATTCATTATTACCTCTTTGACATACTATTCACTTATCTAAAGATACTATCGCAAATTCACTATCCTTTATGTTCTTTTATGTTCTTCCCACTTCGTGGTATCAGAGCATACTTGTTAGCATAAATATTACTCCCTCCGTCCCTTTATTTACCCCATTGTTATTTTTTGGGTCAAACTTTGTAAAATTTAACCGTAAATTACCGTTATTGCATATTTTATAAATATCAAATTTTTATAATTTTTACGTGTATGGAAATGAAGATATATGCGTTTTAACACGTGTCTTGAAGACTGAAAAAATCAAATAGGACAATAAAATAGGGACAGAAAGAGTAGATAGTTTACATTTGAAAGTGTAAAGTTGGATTCCACTACCATTGCACCAATCTTTATTAGAGGTAGATAAACCAGATATTTTTCGTTTTTCCTATTAATGAAATTTTTTAAAAGGCAATCAATAACTAATAGTTGTATAATCTAAACCACTAAAAATATATGGCTCATAGGTTATCAAAGGTCAATGTTTTCTAAAAGTTGATGATTAAAGTCTAAGAACAAAGTATATGTGAAATAATAAACAAGATTCAATCTATGTCAAATTAAAATTCAAACTTTGGTACTAAGGTGCTCCAATTTCAATTTCACCACATATATTGTCTTTATATTCCACTATACGGTGGTTAGTAGGGCGGGGCGAGCACCGGAGTAGCACTACATCGTAGTAACACAAATACACAATGTATGTCAAGGTTGGACCCCGGGGATAAAGCCTAACGGCAAAAAACTGAATGTACATATTGTACAATAAATTTCTTAAACCAACTGGCTACTAGCTAGCATGAAAGAGACATGGACCTATACATTCTTCAAATAAATTATTCAACCATTATTATTTACTTTGTACTTATATATTTTGCTGAAATTAAAATGGGAGGGTCCAAAGTCAAATTATACGGGTTAATCATTGCAAAAAAAAAAACTAATTTGATACCCCTAAATTAATATTATTCCGATAAAATTATACAAAGTACTATTTGTTTTTGCTATTTTTATTTTTGTTAGAGGGTTACACTAACACGGCAATCGTTCTACTATAGAACTTCTATTATTTCTTGACGCGATATATAATAATTACGAAATCAAAAGTCATCCACCAAGATAACGAAAGAAGTGGACACTTTTGTGATCTTTAATGTTTAATGTTCCAATTCCAATAGAAAAATTGGTGGTCAATAGTCAATACACTCAATACTTTCGCAAGCAGCATCACAAACATACAATTAAATTAAAATATCTAAACAGTACATAATCATTAAAAAAATCCCAGAAAATATCATGCTCCCTCTTTTTAGAGGTGATCAAGATTAGTCTGACCCGTTGACCCGGCCTGACCTGGTACGATTTTGGGCAAGTTTAGGCAGAATTTTTCGATTATCGAGTTGGGTACGGCTTGAAAATTTGTTTTTTTTGGACGGGTTTGAGAATGCGTTTTTATGTATATTTAGTTGATTTTTTAAGCTTCGCCCGAAATGACCCGAAAAGTCCGCACAACCCGTCCAAAATGGACGGGTTTAGGCACAAATTTCCGACCCGAAGCTTGACCCGACCCAGACCGAAAACTGGGCTTAATTTTTTAGCTCCAGTCCGCCCTGCCCAATGATCACCTCAATATTTTCACAATTTTCAACATACATATTTGAGTATTTGACCATTACTCTGTAATTTCTTAACTTATACAGTTATACCCCATATATAATATTAATAAAAAAAATTAACAATTTGGATATTTGCAAAGTAAATATAAAAACAAATTCACCTGACAAGCGATGAACTATACGAGTATAAGTGAGAAGAACAGTATAAAACGGAGGGAGATATATTACCTCATCAGGCACAGTAGGCTGAGAAGCAGAGGCAGTAAAAAAGGTAAAAACTGCTTCTTCAGAATTAACAGACCGAATTTCACCAGTAACAGCAGTAGGTGGGAGTGAAGGGATAAGAGCTTCAAGCAAAGCACCCAATGTTTGGATTTCAGAAGCTGTGAAACCATGCTTAAACCCACCACCACCACTGCTGCTGTTGTCGTCGTTGTTGTCGCCGCCTCGCTTCCTCCCTCCTTTCAACAAAGGATGAGAATCCATGGCAGCAATGGTGGGTGCTCAGATTTGATAATTAACAAAAACGAGTAATTATGCAACAGATTTGATAATTATTAGTAAACAGGGTTTGAATGCAGAAATTGTAGGAAAGTTTGACTAGTTATGATTTTGTGTGTTTTTTTGGTGTGAGAGTTTGTTTAATTGGTTGGTTTTCCCTCGTTTAAATAGAAAAAAGTTTGTTCCTAAGAAAAAAAAAAAAAAGATTTTGGAGATTTGAAGGTGACGTGGCCGTTAAATAGCAGAAATCATATTCCAACTGCATATTCACTGCACTGTATGACTACTAAATAGATTAACTACTTCCCTACCCAACATTGAGATAGTGTGTTCAATTTAAAGAGCCTATTTGTAACTTGTAAATGAATAATTAAAAACCTGACTTTTATTTAAAGTAGTTTTTTTAAAAAAAAAAAAAATTTAAAAAAAAAATAATTAATTTTGAGGAGTATATATAGTTTGTACTGTATTGCAGAGTAACAGAAATAGTTGGTTGAAATTAATTAGCATATGGACAAAAAAAAAACAGTATATTTTAGTTTTTGAGTTGTGATGGAATTTGGAGTTTTTGGATAATATTTTGTAATTAAGAGATAATAAATAAAATAGAGTTTCTTTCAAAAAAATAAAAAAAATAAAAAATAAAATAGAGTTTTAAAATAATGAAACAATTGACTACAGAGTAATTATATTGGAGTGTATAAGATAACACATCAACAATGTTACTGTAATATGCATAATTTCTTTGTTGTTTGGATTTTGAAGAGATAACACATCAACAATGTTACTGTAATATGCAGTTGGGATTGAATCTCAGCAATGAAGGCCAGCAAAATTCAAATTTTAAGATGACTTTTTGATTTCTTTTACGGCCAACAAGGGTAACTCACTAAATCTCCAAAATCTAGAAAGATGACTCAAGATCTACATCAAATACTCCAGAAATTGTTAGGCTAACCATAATATCAATGAAAACTTTCCAGGGAAGGTAATATCTTTTTTATGCTGTATGTACAAGCTCTCATTAGTCTGTGCGTGTGGATCATATGCATCGGTGTGTGCAGTTATGACGCAATACAAGTATGCCACATAGATTGACTTACTTGACAGAGCACGAGTTGCGTTTGCAAGCAGCCAAGCAGGAGCACATAAGGGAGCGAGGGTGTAGCCGTATAGCTGCTCTTCTAAGCATGAAGAACCTCAATGTAACATCAGCAATTGAAAAGTGCATGAGCAACCTCAATCAAGAGCCACCATCTCAATAAGATAAATAATTCTACGCGCCTTAAAATTCTCATAAAGCTAGAGTTATATTACATAATGCAGATTCAACTATTCAAGGAACTCGGTTTTAAAAAAAGTAACAATTGGTAAAGATTCAGAAATCGAACCCAAAGATGTTCATGAAAACATAACAATTGTAAAAGATACGAGTGAATGAGTGATTATTGATTTAACAAATGCAGTGGCTTTCAATTTCCATAATTTCACTTATTTCACACAGATTTTTTCTGAATCCCTGTTATTATTATATGTTCATACATATCAATGACTTCACAAGTAAAAACGTCATCAAGTATCTTCTTTTCAAGCAAGGCAGAAAGTTAACAGCTACTATATAGATGGAAGTTCAAACAGAAGCACCAGTAGTTATCAGTCTTATCATACTATGTCGAAGAAGAACAGACATCAGCCACAAGGTAATGCAGCTGTTTTCGCACGTGCAGAATCTGCAACAAATCAAAAGCGCACAAAATTGCTGAGGCTGCCTTAGAGGATCTTGGAGAAGGAACATACTAAATAGCAGGGTCCATAAACAACACTAACAGTAATAACTGAAATATATCAAGTTAAAAGGCTTCTACACTGTTTAAGGAGATAAGAGGCAAATGACTTTTACAGCACAAATTGCCAAAATGGTAGCAAAAATGTCCTAACACAAAATATTTGTCATTTCTTATCATATATCAGTAACTAACGTGAACCTTAAACAAACAAGACATTGACATAAATTTTCAAATAGGGGTAGGGAGAGGGGAGGAAGAAGATGGATGGTGGATACATAATATTTATTTCAGGTGCAGATTTATATTTGTTTTTGTTTTCCATTTGACAATGATAGATTGATAGTTGTACCCTTCTACTTAGTGGAGAATCTAATTTTATGCAAACAGCCTGATCCTGCTTTCTTAAACCATAAACTTCAATTGTATTACATACTTTCTTCATCTTCCTTCAGAACCTACAACAGAACACTACAGAAGATATGTTTTTTCGACATAGCATTACATATTTGCATGTGTTTGTGTCATGATAATGTCCTCCTTAATACTCCCTATAATACCATGTAAACAAGCTTAAATATCCAACTCACAATTTTCATTAATTTTACTTCTAAAAGTAAAAAGTTAAAATCTTATGGGTTTTCCAAGTTCCTCAAGCCCTATACCAACTCTATATTCTCTTTTTGCATCAATAAGTCTACAGTCTACACAAGTTCCAGCAACTTCGAAGTTAAAAGAGAACACAAAATACATTTATCTAGTAACATTAACTAACCTCGTGTTGGAGTAAGTCCGGGAGATTGTTGGTGAGCACTATACTACAAAATTCTTCTCGCAGCTTTGGATTTTTAAGATGATACCATGTATCAGGAGGCAGGGTCAAAATTAAAATGGTTAGAGCATCAACCACTGATGGATGGTGCCTATTACAACAACCAGAACTTCTTTGACAGTACGGGACCAGCACTTCTACTCCACATTCAGAATTTTCCACAATCACTTTGCCAGAAATTACAGTGGTAGACTCAACAATGTCACAGTCTGAGGAACTCAATTCTGTTGTTCTACAGCAAATTGCATTGCAAGAGCCAACCTTGCCACGGAAAACCTTAGCATCGTGACAGCACACTTCGGAAGCAACTTTATCTATAGAATTATGACCATCCAAATTTGCATTGCACACGAATTCTGCTCCAGATGAAAGCCATACTATGATGTGTTTAAAAAGTTCTGTTTCCTGTAGTTGTTTCAACACCTCTTCCTGAAACCAATAAAAATCATAGAAGAAAATTGATAGACAGTGAAAGAGAGTGAAAAAGGGCAAAGGTTTAAAAAAGTTCTACCTTGATGCTTAACCTTCCCCGTTCCTCTTCACTAATAAAATTACTCTCATCCTCTTTTCTTCGAACTTCAGCAACCCAATGTATGATATGACTCAGATATGAAGGAGATGATGTAAATATAACTGATAGTATATCTTGAATGCTATTGATTTCTTCAGAAGTTACAAGCTGTGGGACCTCTTTAGTCAAGTACATAGCTGTAATGTCCCAGCCATCATGACGACAACTCTGCCAAAAATCTAGATGTTTAGCGCCTCCAATGCTATGATAGACCAGCAGAACACCAATTTATGATAATTTGCCAAAAGATAACATATTTCCGCTCAAATTAATCATTTTTTACACAAAATAATTACATTCTGTTGTGATGGAAACAATGAATTAGGCCATATTCGGTTTTCCTTTTTTCCACTTGTTTCAACAAATGTAAGCTAGAGTTAGAGAAAAATAAGTTCAGTTAAGTACAGGAACAATAAGGACTGCCCAATTTCAAATTAAAACTATAGTAAGTTCAAATAAAAGAAAAACAGGTGAAATAAATGCACCCTTAAAGCTCATGTTGAAACAATTACATGTAATTTTCACAAAGTTCATTTATTATATTATACATATGCAAAGAAAGTATTATAAGTTTCATGAAACAAAAATAGGATATCAAGGATGAAAAAAAACAAAAAAAAAACAAAAAACAAAATACCAGAGTATACAGAATTGATGATGCTCTCTCAGGCCTTGATAGAAGCATGAACCTGACAACAGTGTAAGCTAAATTTTAAAAAAGGCCAAAGTAATCAATCAAAATTCAATCAAAATTTCAACAATGGTGACATAACTAAATATGAACTAGATATCCTCTTCCTTTACTAGGTACTCGTTTCCTTTCCATTCATTTTGTTTTTTGGCTTGTGTTGAGGGGCCAATGAGGATATTGAGAAGGGTAAAGTGTGAGGATAGAGGAAGATACCAGCACATAGAGGTGAATTACCTAAATATAGGAAATGGGAAATAAATCCCCGAGACTGTTGAAACTATATACTTTGATTCAATCTCCCCTACTCCTCATAGGTATCTACCCCACACCAATATATGATTATATGTTTCTCCATTAAGACTGACATCATACATGCAATTGGAACAAGCAGGTTATAAAGCAAATGAATGGTTGATATTCATTATTAATGAATGAGTCAGCAGGATTAAAGACTACAGGTTTGACAATATGACTGCTGAATCTTGCTATTGAACGAACAGAAGCAAGCTGAAAACTAAGTACCTCTTCCAAGAAGACTGCATATGAGAAGCAATGTAATTTCATGGCTTACTATGAATTAATTGTTTAATGAAGAACTAGCATCTCAAAACAAAGTATCAGACCTACAGCCAACTCGTTGCTTGGATGAACATTGGATTTGTGAAGCCTTTAGTGACATTCAATCAGAAAAAGATGGCTTCTTAAAGAGAAAGCCCACTGATAAAGAGATTCAGTGAAGAATGTCAAATGACATTGCCCCCTCATATCAGCAAGCAACTAGTAATATAACATATGTGTTCACACTTCACATACCCCCTATAAAATCCAGTAGCTTCATCAACTGTGTTCATAGCATCCCATAAAAGTGTGAGGGGAACCCAATGAGGAGGGTACTTGAATCGAGCAACATCTAAAATAAGAACCATATCCTTTCCAGCATGGTAACCACCAATTGGAGAAAAATGACCACTTCCTGTCTGCCAAACAAAATTAAGAAATGCCATTCTTTACCAAGTTCAGCATGACATCACAAGTAAACTATAAAAACATGGCCAAACATGTGATAGTGAATTTTCTCCTCAAAATTCAAACCTCTACTGGAAGTGATCTGCTTTGTTACAATCCCAATAACCCAAACAGTTTGAATAACCTTCCATTTGGTGTACTAGAGAGTGTAAACAATAGTGATTTATACACAAGGTCAGATGTACACTTGATGTACATTAGATTCCCTTTCTCATTATTCTATTTATACACTAAAATACTATTATCTGGCAGGGAAGCATATACTATTTCAAGGTGACATTCAAAACAGCACAGGTTCAGAAAGAATTACTTCAGTTAACTAATTTAGTACTGCTTAGGGAATCTAATAATAAACATTTATATTTTATCACGGAATAATCACTTTAAGTTCATGTAGCCGACCCTACTTATGGGATTAAGGTTTTGATTGATTGATTGATTTTTTTTCAGCTATCTCAAAGAGGGTCCAAATTCAGCATTTTTCTTCAATTGTTAGATAAAATTGGAGAATATTAATTAGTAAGATATTCAGCACAGAGTATGAACATTAATAATAATACTTTTAGGATTAAGCCCAGAATTTTGACAATTTTATACAAGAGGGTGCTTATGATTATGCTGCAGTATTCTATGGGAAATGACAATAAACAATAAAAGAGACTTGCAGTTTATGATAGGTCAGTTAATTCGGAAAAGCTACGCTGCTACTATAGTTTTTGAACTTATTATATCTTACAAGATGGTATCTAACAACCAAATTTGATAAATAAGCTGTAATGAACCCGGTACAAGGAGCAACAACAGGAGACAAAATTAATTAAAGAAGCACTAGGGACTGTGGCGACATAGGACTGAATTCTGATCTCTTGAGCAGTAGAGGACAAACGATATTAATGTTAGGTTACTTTGTAGTTTTGCTTGGTTATATAAGGGTAGTAGTATAGCAGTAGAGGGCATGAGATTTGTATTGAGGAATATGAGAGAGAATGGTAACTTCAAGTTACTAGGAGAGTGATAACCTAAAGTTATCAAGGAGAGTAATAGCCTAAAGCTATTAACCTATCACCTTTGTATCAAATTCTGCCATTGTCTGTCAAAATTCCAAGCTTTCATCTTATTATCCATATAATATACAAATCAGATTAACAGTCTAGCTTTAATCATTAGCTACATGTGTTTCAAGGCTTTAATCAAGATAGTAAGGAGTGACTATTAAATACCTGCTTCAGAATTGTTCTGTTGTAAGAGACGATCATGTGAAAATTTCCAGAAGAAGAACTAGAAATCACATAGCTCCGGAAGTTGTCTATTGCACTATCATTTGTGTGGAATGCTTCTACTTCTGCTCCATTACAATGAGCCAGGCATGCAACTTTGCTAAAAGTGATACCATTAGCCTTAATTTTCTCCACAGGCTCACAACAATCTAACATAGAATCATCAAACCATCTCCATGGACCTAAGAACATATAACCCATCTGTGAAGTAATTTAATTATATTAAAAATAAAAAATAAATAATTTTTTTTTTGAGAAGTTCACATCAAGAAAAAGCAAAAAAAAAAAGAAAAAAAAACTGAAAGATGATTCACGAAAAGCAGCATCTATCTTCTTAGAAACTTATGTTGGTTATCACTTATCAGATACTGAGAATCTGAGATACAACAGGATCATTAGCAAAGCAACATAATGTAGTACAGTCAATGACATAGCAGATGTATTATACGAAGTATCGTGTTTTTAAAAAGTGTACAGGTTGTCGATTATTTGCTTTTGGGGAATTAATCCAAAAACTCCTTATGAAAGAACAATGTTAGAAAGAACTAGTGAACATAGATCATCTCAGAATGCCCTTAGCGCCACAAGTGGCCAATAATTATGTCGAGAGTCGAACAAGCCTTTAATTGGAAAGGGAAAAATAATTCAAATTCAGTGCAGTGAGTGAGTGTAGCTGAAAAGTTGAACGGAGCAGATTTAGAACATTCTCTAAGCCCACAAATTCTACTCCAAACCAGTTTTAGAATGTAAAGTTCACCTTTCCACTTCCTCCTGGGGTCAATTGCAAGGGCATTTAAAACCATAGCAAGGGTAGCCAGCCCACAATATGCAGGTTCTGATTGAGTCTGGTAATATGACACCAACTTAAAAAATCCTTCCATATTTCTTTCCAGGAGAGCTTCTGAAAAGAGAATCTGCAATTTTGAATAACTCAATAAAGACAAAAATGAGAGGGGAAAAAAAAGACAAAACTTAACTAATACAGGTATATGAGGAATTTCATGTAGGGATAGCCAACATTTCTACAATTGCACAAGTTCTTACCAATCAATGCAGTGAAAGAACGACTATTGACATGAATGATAGCATAGATGATATACATCACAAACTCAAGCACCACCCACAGTGAGAGGCTATGAGCTATTTCCCAGGACAATCTTCAGCACAATGAAGGTTAATGGATAGCAAATATATGATTACTATCTAATTTTACCCTTAAATGATCAACCAGTAAGGAGTTTATACATTGTATGAATTTTATACATATTGTACATTTGCAAAGAATATGGGGACAAGTTTGCTAAGTTAACAATAATTTATTTTAGAGCTTTGCAAGCTGTATATCAAATTTGTACTGATGAAACTATAAGACATGCTTTAATGAAATTTAGCTTACATGTTCAGCACCAGTGGCGGACCCAATTAAGTGACATGGGGGGACAGCTGTCCCCCCATTTTTTAAAAAAAAATAATTAAAAAAAAAGTGAAAAAAAAACAAAAAAAAAGCAAAACGCGACACTGCTACAGAATGAAGAACAGCCAACAACACTCAGTCTTCACTCCTCCAATTCGCCATTGCATCCACTGAGATCGACCGTCGAGGCGTGCGTCGCTGCTCCACCAACCAGGCAACCACCGCCCTGCTGCATCGCTGCTCTCAGTTCCTCACCACTCACCAGTTCACCAAGTCACCACAGCACCACTTCGGTCTTCGGCAAATCGGCAGTTCGGCAACCTCTTCACTAGCTGCGTGCACCGGCACCGCCTGCGTGCAACCAGGCAACCACCGTCTGACCGTCGAGCCTCGGCCGTCTTCGCTTCATCAACATCAATGGTATGTCTTGCTATTTGCTAACCCTAATTCGAAATTCCCAATTTGAAATCTCCAATTGACAATTGTTAACCCTAATTTCCAGATTTTTCTTTAATTATTGTTAATTTTAATTGCAATCTTTGTTGAATTTTAATTTTAATTGCAATTTTAATCTTAGGTTTTACCGTTTTATTAGTATGCAATGATGTGAATTGTGGAAATTGATATATATTTTTCAATTTAATTAGGAAATGTCAAATGATTCACCTAATTCAAACAAATCCAAGGCTACTAGAAAACAACCCGATCTTCGACAATTCATGTTTAAAAGAAAGAAACTCCATGAAAATGAGTCCAATAACTCCCCTTCATTAAGCTCCCCTCAAAGTCAAGAAGATGATATGGAAATGGGTGGTTCAAGTACTTGTAATGTACCATTTGAAATTTTAATACTAAGTATTAACCAATTTGTGTGTTTGAGTTTTTTTTTGTTTTTATTTTTTGTTAAGCTTTTTGTAAGTTAAGCATTTTGTCCCCCCGAATTGAAAATCCTGGATCCGCCACTGTTCAGCACTAAACTCTACACAGGAAACAAGGAGAGATCCTCTCAATTCAGCAATTGCACAAAATGAAGGTGTAGGAAACAATGCAATCAAGCATTAAAAATGATATGCAGTCTCTAGTCCACTTACTTCCCAATTTCACCTATCTCCCAACTCACTTTCTGCTTAATAGCTAACATAATCAAGCAAATATCTTACAACATATTAGTGTTTGTAACATCATATAAGACCTTCAAAGTCAACATCATAGCGATTTGGAGAGCTCATTCTCACCTATGGGTTTTTCCATTTACTCCATACAAATCTTTTTTGTGCAGAAAAATATCATGTCCACTCCCTCTTACAATTGCTCCATTTATTTTACAAGTCAATTTGTATATAGATGTCTACGCCCAAATCGAATTGTTCAAAGGACCACGAGCAGTACCAATATGAACAAAATAGGTTCATTTTATTCACCTTTCTACATACTCTCTTTATGAGTTGAACATCAAGACCCTCAACAACTTGTTATTATTCAAACCCTAGCCAAATTTAGCATGTAACTTTTGAAGACCTAGGGCCTCTTTTGATATACTGAATTGAGCTAAACTAAACTGAACTGAATGAAGCTGAACTGAATTGAACTAAACTGAATAGAGCTTAAATGAATTGTTTATGAAAGAAGGAAATTAGGAACTGAACTGATTAGAGCTAAGCTGAGTAGAACTGAACTAAACTGAACCGAAGAGAACAGGCCCCTAGACCCATCTGTTGGAGCAAATGGTTAATAATTGAAGTAATTAGCAAGAACAATTAAGAAATTTGATAGTAAAAGAGACAAGAAATTGGGAGGTGGGAAAATCCTTCAAGCAATTACTTGAAGACTATAAAACCCACCCAAGAACAAGGAGAATGATTGTATTGATTATAATTAGTGTTTACAAGAGTAATCTGTCACTAATTTCCACTCTAAAGCACAAGGGTTTCAAGAACAAGAACCCTAACTCTAATTGTTTTTCACTCAATTTGGGGATAATGAACAAAATAACCCCAAATGGGTATTTATATCCCGACAAATCGGGACAGAGCATCAGGTAGGCACGGGCGTGCCAAGAATGGCACAGACGTGCTAGCCCAGATAAATCAGACCAGAAGGTCAGGAACTGCAGCTGCACGGACGTGCATCCCCTGTTTAGGTCAGCACAGATAGCTTATAGTAAAACAGCTGTAACTTCCTCGTTTCTCATCGGAATTAAGCTTATGACCTTTCACCTCCAACTTGAATCACCTCAAAACTCCAATTAGTTTGAGATATGCCCAGTTGAAGTTGACCCATCCAATGCTTCCTTGCTTAACACAAGTAATTCATCCCATTAGCTTATATGCCAAGCCTTGATTGATTCTCGAGTCATATTCCAACACCATCTAACTAATTAACTATAAATCTATAATTATAAACTAGTTTTCATTCTCCCCTTAAATATTTATGATGTACGAAGTACAAAGTTATACCACAATTAGGAAACTATCCTAAAGATTATTAGAAAGACTATTCACAAAATTAATCTACATGGATGACAACTAGCTTAGTTGCTTAAAAAGTCTTAGGGTTATATACAAAACCCAAGATCAAATCACAATTGACCAAAAATTTCATAAATGAGGGAGAAACTAGTTGTGATAAAACTATAAAAGTGATCATTTACATAATTTCAGAGTCACTCAATCAAAGCAAATTCCACAAATAATGATAAAAATTAACGAGAAATTGTATAGAGGAGAGAGAATTAAACCTTGCCTTCTGAAGAAGCAAATTCAATGGCAGGTGAAGGAAGCGATCTTCTGTAAAATCCAGCCACTGCCGCCATTAATTATCAATTTTTAATCGGCAATTGCAGTCCTCACTATTAGTTTCTAACTGATTGAATTAGAAATTTGAAACAATTTTGAATTTAGGGTTTTTAAATTGGGGGATTTGATCAGCTTTTGAATGGAAGCTTGTTCAATGTTCACTTTAAAATGGCGGGTAAATGTTGACTTTTTATATATTTTTTCCTTTTATATATTTATTTTTTTTTTTACTGATTTTTTTGAAGTAAAACTTACCAAGTTGATCAATTATGGGGTGATTGAATCAACTCCAACAACAATTAGGGCACAAAACTTAATTTTACTTGTAGGACTCTATCCAATGGTGAGAGTCCATGAGACTCTAGTTAGTATTTTTATGGGAGGAGTATTTTTTGCAATGTATACCAATAAGTTGGTATCTAAAATTTAGCAACTCCAAAAGAAAGTTGCTAAGTTTGGATACTCAACTTTGAGTCTGTTTTTACAAAAAATGTGGGCCCTTGTCAATATTTTAATATATTTTATAATTTATTTAAGTTTACCTTTTTTTATTATATTCTAAATCTTACAATACTTGATACTGTATTTAAAAAAATGGATTTAGGCCCTGTTCTGTTCACCTTAAAAAAATAATATTAAGTAAAAATAATTTCAGTTTAGTAAAAATAAGTTCAGTTCAGTAAAATTAATTTCAGTTCAGTAAAAATAATTTCAGTTCAGTAAAAACAAGTTCAGTTCAGTAAAATTCAGTTTTCTTAAAGAAGAATTATAATAGAAATCAGTAAAAATAATTTCAGTTCAGTAAAAACAAGTTCAGTTCAGTAAAATTCAGTTTTCTTAAAGAAGAATTATAATAGAAAATCAGTAAAAATAATTTAAGTTTAGTAAAAATAATTTAAGTTCAGTAAAATTAAATTCAGTTCAATAAAAATAAGTTCAGTTCAGTAAAAATAATTTCAGTTCAGCAAAATTAAGGTGAATCAAACAGGGCCTTAGTGGGCTGTGAATTGAAAGTGACATTTGTATATTTTAGAGAGTCTCACCATTGAGAAATTAGACTTCACATGAGTTGCTAAATTGAGAAGTGGGTATGGTATCACCATTAAAGGTAAAAAAACAACTCATTGTGTATTTCAGTACTCAAACTTGAGTCTCACCATTAGAGATGGTCTAAGAGCATTCTCACTATTAGACTTTCCTAACTTTTCTCTCTTCTAACCTCCTTTCTCGACATTATTTTTCACTGGTGTCTAAAATTGTCATAACACTATTTTTTCTGCATTATACACCACTAAATATAAAAACTATTACTACTTAGACCCGCCTTGTAAAATTAATTTAATAATAATTCACTAAACATGTAAATACAAAATAAACAGTTTCAATGCAGTAGAATCAGTTGAAAAAAGCGTTAATAATATGTGAATAACATTGAAGTGAGGTTGAGATAGTGGAGGAGTGATATCTATATTATTATTAAAACTCTAAGACAAGGAGTGTCATTTTGCCATTTGTCAATTCTTTTTTGTCATTTCGCCACATCACTTTAAATTTTTTGCCACGTCACTTTTGCAATTGTAGTATTGTATCTAAATAATGTGTTTGATAATAATGATCACTTTAAATTTTTTGCCACGTCACCTTATAATAATGATCAATCAAATATTGATTCTAAATTTAAAGAAAGAGAAGATGTTACTTGCAAACCAATAGGCTAGCCATTATTAGTATTTAGTTTGGTCACAATTGATAAGATGAATAATTAAAATGTTTTAAAATTGCTTTGACCCATTTAATTTGTAAAATATGTAACCGATATGTATTCAATATATTTATCCCTATAAATTAACTATCTAAGGAAATGATATACTAAATGGTCTAAACCTCTTGGAGAAACATTTTACTAGGCCAGTATTGAGCTAGGTAAGTATTTGTTTACTCTACCTACCTTGGAATGCAATGGATATATTTTGCATACTTAACTCATATTTTTACACTTTTAATAAATCACCCCAAATTAATTATGGGCTATATATGTTTTAGGCAATAAGTAGCATTTTGGTTCGATGATTGTGTAATATGTAAGAATTGCTATATTTTAATATGAGATTTCATTGGTTGATTTTCTTTATAGTTCACTCAAAGCTCTAAAAGTTAGTGCGTGTAAAATTTTTCATTATTCACTACCTATGCTCGGTGGTTGAATATTGGTTTGATGATCCGTTCGTGCATCCAATTTGAAAACAATACTACGGAGTACATTTTTTTAAAAAAGATATAATCCATGTAATTATTTGTCATATGAAGAAGATAAACAAGCACAGGGCATTGCCCGGGTCACTAACTAGTTGTTATACAATTGAGAAATCAAATCTTTATTGCCCAATAAGATATGACAAAGCACTAGGGAAGTGATTGGACAACAACAAAGAGTATGCTATAAAGTGAAGGACATTTTTGTTAATCAATCCCCCTTCTTCCTTCATCTATTTATTGCAAATAAAAATAATTTTTTTTTAAAATAAAAAAGGAAAGTATGTCCTACTTTCATTTCACATACCCCCTTCATTTTGCTTTTCATTTTGCTCTAATTTCTAATTTTCTCCACCCATTTCTAATTTTCACTCAATTACTCCGTTTTCTATCCCAATTCGGAGTTACAAAGTTTCACTTACCATCTGTTTCATAGTAATGGTTACACTTTTACAAGTTTTAAAGTATTCTGTATAAATAAAAAATAAATAAATAAAATCAACCTGATTTGCCTCATATCCTAGAATGATTAACACTTTTTGTTTTTTTGTACAAAATAAAATAACATTGAGGTTGTATTCTCTTTTATTCACAAAGTCGCTTTGGTTATATATTGTGATTTTATACATAATGAAAACATATTAGATTCGTTTTAATTTATACTTTCAAAATATCAATTGTAATATACTGATCGAGAATTACACATGCATATAATTAAAGTTATACGTTGAGAAGCTTAAAAGTCTCCATGGTGCAATATTTGTGGAACAAAGGAATAGAGGAGGAAGTATAAATTTATGGAAAAGTATTGTGTAGAACGGACTCACGTGAGCCCAATCATACCCAAAAAATAATGTTAGAAATTAGATAATAATGGTAGATAGTAGATAATAAGTGTCAGATTTTAGATAATATTGGTCAGATATTAGATAATAAGTATCAGAAAGTAGATAATATTCGTCAGATATTAGATAATAAATGTCATAAATTAGATAATATTGGTCCGGTATTAGATAATGTATCAGAAATCTATTAACTATTACTAAAACAGAAATTGCTGGCGTTACCATTGCCCACGTGTCGCTTTCTCAATAAAAAACTTCCCGCCTAAATGCAATGATGATGTCATCCTTTTTTTTAGAGCTATCATATTTAACATTTTTGAAATTTAAGTATTGAAAGCTTCTACGTTACAATTAAAACCTATCAATTTATCGTAGAAAATTGAAACAATTTTAAATAGCACACTAATAAATGATCTCCTACATTAAACTGTGAATTAGACAACGTTGAACAAATACTATATCATAATTTTGATGAAAATAAAAAATTTAAAATTACAAAATATACGTAATTCTTATTTATACTCATATATATTTTTAAAATGTACAAATTAAAAAAGTGTTTTATATAAACCGTGCATCGTACGGGTTCTAACCTAGTTAGATTATAATATTGATCAGATATTACATAATATTCGGAAGCAACACCACGCGATTAACTTTATGTTGCTTTGGATGATCCCAAATCGTCCAAAGATTTTTTTGATAATTAATATAAGCCTATTATCACCCACTCAATTAGATGGTTCTGATTTTTCGCTAATACATACATAATCTGTTTAATTGTTTTGTTCTTTGATGGATGTGGAAACTGAAACATCTGCATTTAATTAGCTGGTGAGTACTTGGCGTTATGTTAGCAGGATATGATTTCACACTAATCAATCAATTGGTTGCGAAGAGGCTGGTATCAGTGGTGGCAGCGGTCGTCGAGGTTTGCGTTCAACAGAGTCTGCCATATTGAAGAAAGAAGCTTATACGATGAGGTAAGGATCCGAATGAGGAGGAGAGAGAAAATGTGAAAAAAAAATGGTGATTAATGAAGGATTGTAAAAATGGAGGAGAGAAAAAAGGGAGGTGGTGTGGTTCGAAGGGATAGTAAACTAGACTCACGTGAGTCCGTTCTACGCAAAACATTCTCAAGTTTTATTATTCTATATTGAAAGTAGGGTTTAATGGTTTATGCGAGGATAACAAATCACTAACGCTTCACTTTTAAAGTGCCACATCAACAGTAGCGTTATACCATATAAGAAACAATTATGTTTATTACACTTTGAGTAACATACCAATTAACAAGAATCAAATAACAATCATCTTCAATCAAGTAACAAGATTTCAATATTTTTCCTTATGCAAATTGGTACATTTCGTGCATTGACACATATGTAATCTAGTATTCAAGACCAAATTGACAAGTGAAATTTGAATATTTTGATACTCCGTATCAATTATGCTAGAATGGAGGTAGCAGAAAATGAGGCAGTGATCAAACCACTTGTCAGCAAATGAATGGACAGTAAGTAAAAGGGGAAAAAAAACATAACTAGTTGGGGGGCTTTTGTTCTGGAAGGGTGCCCCATAAATTCGTAATCTCAACCTCCCCAATCATTGGAACAGTTTTTGAGTATACTCTTAATGAGTAACTGACTAACTGCACCTGTTTTACAAAATTTATGTCATTATGAATTTGTTACCAATTATAAATAATTGAATATAAATACATTCCACAAAAAATTGTTACAAAAATAATGTTGAAATAGCATATTCAAGAAGCAGTTAAAGTCAAGATATCCATTGATGGCTTGTTAAACCATTTAATTGTATCACTATACTAGCTGCCCCCCCCCCCTTTTATTACATCATCGCACTTCGTATTATGTTAATTGTTATGGTTTTAATTTGTAACACGATAACAATTACATGTTCGAAAGAAAATTTGGAAATAGACAATTTTCCATTGTTATTTTCTTAGAATAATTAAAGACATTAGAAAGATCAAAGGGAGAAAAACGAATGATCGAGGACCAGGGTATAGGTGTTCTCGTATTAATGAACAAATTTCATACTTTAGTTCAAAATATTTGTATTTGTTTAGAGAAAAACCCTATTTTATTGCGAGGAATTGTAAGGAAAATCAGATGAAAATATCCCTCCACATTTTACAGCTACACCAATTTCAAAACCTCAATTTATTGCGAGGTATTGACAGGACAATCAGATGGGCATTGCACCAGCAACTTCAATACATTTTGGAGCAGATGAGTATCTGTATACAAAGAGTATGCTTCTTGATGTAACAGTGCTTCTGAAGTTCTAATTCTTATTATGTCCTGCACTTCACACAAAATGTATACAGATGCTTCTCCATGTGATTTAATGTGCAGCGATATCAGTATCTCCAAAAGCAAACTTCATCAACTCTCAGTTTCTATCATGCTAATTGCCGACTTAGATGCCAAGTTTATGAAATCCCCAAAACTCATCATATCACGTCGAAGAACAGCAGACATCAGTCACAAGGAAATACAGCTGCTTTCGCAAATGCAGTATCTGCAACAAATCACAATCACATAAACACTGTTGATACTGCTTAAAAATGAACCTGAAACCTTAAGAAATCAGAAGTTCCAATTACTGAAAATTTTTAAAGGAAAATATAAAGCAGCCATCTTGCAAGATCGTAGTTACCTCCTGTTTGAGTAAGTCGGGAAGATTTTTGGGGGATATTATACCACAAAATTCTTTTAGGAGCTTTGCATCTTTAAGACAAGACCATGTATCAGGAGGCAAGGCCAATAGTAGTACAGTTAGACCATCAACCACCGATGGATGTTCCCTATCAGAAGTATTCAAACCACATTCACAAGGATTACCAGGGCTCTTTTGGCAGCTTGGGACCAGTATTTCTGCTCCACACACTGAATCTTCCACAACAACATTGGCAGATACTACCGTGACAGACTTAGCATTGTCACAGTCAGAGGATCTTAATTGTGTTGTTTTAGAGCTTATTGCACCGCAAGAACCAACCTTGCCGCAAAACAGTTGAGCACCTTGACAACATACTTCAGAAGCAATTTTTTCTAGTGAATCTGTACCATCCAGAATAGCTTTGGGCATGCAAGATGATCCAGATAAAAACCATCTGGTTAGGTGTTTGAAGAGCTCAGTCTCTCGCACTTGCTGCAACACCTCTTCCTGGAACGAAAATAAATATATAAAAACAATTTTTAAAATTAAGGAAGAATGTAAGGGAAAAGCACAAAACTACAGAGGAGTGAGCAAGGGAAAAGGTAAGAGAAATTATCCAACCTTGGTAACCAACCTTCCCTGTTCCTCTTCACTCACAAGATTACTCCCATTCTCCTGTTTTCGAACTTCAGCAACCCAATTGATGAAATTACTCAGATCAGCAGGAGCTGATGCCAGAATAACAGATAATATATCCTGAATATTGTGAATTTCTTCAGAAGATAGGAGTTGTTGAAGTTTTTTACTCAAGTACTTAGCAATAGTGTCCCAGCCATCATGACGACAACTCTGCAACAAATTGAGATGTTCAGCTCCTCCAATGCTACAATAGGCCAGCAGAGCACCACAAAATACAATAGACTAAAGTCACAACATAAGGATAACAGTGACTTTAGACTGTTAGAGAAGCTATGATGATTTTCAATATACTATATTCATTGGCTTGAGCCTGAGCAGAAAAATTAAACAATTATACCTAGTGTGAATGTGTGATGGACAGTGAATTAGAGTTTCTGTTGAGCTAACTACACAAATTTTGCACAATATCCATAGTTTGTAGTTTAACAAACAAGAAAGTTGTAAGAGATTCATGAAATATTAAGGGAGATAGATTATAGAGACAAGATTAAAAAAATATATACCAGAGTATATAGGATTGATGATGATGCCTGAAACCTTGTTAGAAGCATAAACCTGAAACAATAATATAATATTCATAAGGTTTCAAGCCTTTGAAATCAAGATGAATTAATTATATTTCTATAGTGATAAACATTGAAGATATCCACTCTTTTACTCTTTTTGCTTATACTTGGCATGGAATGAGGGACAGGGTGGGTAATTAAGAAGGCAGAGTTTGAGGGTTAAAACATGGTACAATCAATAATCTGGGAAGAAAAGGGAAAGAAAAACCCCCAAAGACTAAGTATTCAAAGGGTGATCTAATCAAATCAAACAAATTTAATACATCCAGTTAGAAACTTCCATCCATAGATAATGAACATGGGTATGACAGCTAAAACCTTGCTATTGACCAAACGAGAAACATTCCGCCTAAAGAAAACCTCTTACAAAGGACATTGTGTATGACCAGTAATGAGCTACGCCTTTTCATTTCAAGCATAATCAAGATTCTGAGAACATAAGCATAAGTCCTATGTCAACTCATCAGTAGGATGAGGATTGGTTTGTGAAAAAATTAGCAATAGACAATTACAGCAAGAGGACTACTTACAGAAACAGCCCACTGGTACAGTATGTATTTGAATAAATAATATCCAACAACACTGATGTATGCAAGTGTAATATATTAGAGCAATAAATATAGTGAATTGAAGAAGAAGAATATTTAGGAGAGGGTATATATTTGGTTGCAATTTAACGCAGTTAATATCATATTGGGTATAAAATCCCAGATCTTCAATTGCTGGCCACTACCAACTTACCAAGAGTACCAACTAGAGCTAAAACAAAGTGAATTCACTCAACAGTTTTCTGATAAAATTTTCTCTCCCCAATCCCTCTATATATAGATTCCTGCATTTAAGCCATTAAAAAACTTAAAGAGCAGGCATTGCACATACCCCCTGTAAAATCCAGTATCTTTATCAACCGTGTTCATGGCATCCCATAGAAGTGTGAGGGGTACCCAGTGAGGAGGATACTTGAATCGAGCAACATCCAAAATAAGAACCATATCCTTTCCAGCATGGTAACCACCAATTGGAGAAAAATGACCACCTCCTGTCTGCCAAAAGAAAAGTATGAATTGTTATTATTATTATTTTTTTTCAACAGGTTCAGATGAAATCACAATTAAACTGTACAAAGATGGCAAAACAACTGAATATTCTTAGTTTTCTTACTCCAGGCACAAACCTACCTTAGCAACAATCTGATCCATCATAATTCCAATACCCTACTACACTCGACAAATGGTGCTTCACAAAATATATTATGCACACAAGAAATTGGAGCATACAAAAGAAAGCCATGACTCAAGCATGCTCTTGGGTGCATAAAATCAGTAAATAAAAAAAAAGGTGGGTCCAAAGTAATGTCAACTACATGTGCATCAAAATGTGTAATAGAGACAGTACGGATTGAGTACCTGCTTCAGAAATGATCTGTGGTATGAGACGATCATGTGACAATTTTCTGAGGAAGTACATGAGATTACATAGTTTCGGAAGTTGTCCAGGGTACTTTCATTTGTATGATATGTGTCAACTTCTGCTCCATTACAATGAGCCAAGCATGCAACTTTGTTAAATGAGATCCCGCTGACCTTAACCTTCTCAAGGGGCTCACAGCAGTCCAACATAGAATCATCAAACCATCTCCATGGACCTATTAATAGTTTAATATGTACCCACATGATTTGGTTTATAGTAATTATACAAAGCAGGAAATACATATCATCTTATAAACTTCAGTAAATTATCAGATATGACAAGAACATCAACAAATAGTTACAAAAAATGTGACGTGGAAAGAAAATTTCACAAAGCAGCAATGCATAACCACTGACATAACAGCCGTATCATTTCATATTTCTTTAAAATAATAAAGGTTGCCAATAAACCAATAGCATCCTTTGCTTTGTGGGTTACATTCCAAAATACCTTGTGAGACGACAAAAAAAAAAAAAATAAAAAAAAAATGAAACAACCAGTGAGCGTAGGTTATTTTCAAATGCCCTTAGCATCACTAGCAGTAAATTGATCATGTCAAAGGTCAAGAGTCTTGAGCAAATTAGCACCAAGTAACTATATTTCTTTCAATGGAGTGTATTGAAGTAGTTCAAGTAGAAAGAGCATTAAACAACATTTAAGCATTCGGTCTTTCATAATTTCACTTCTGGAATACAAAGGTCACCTTTCCACTTTCTTCCAGGGTCAATTGCAAGGGCATTTAAGACCACAGCAAGGGTAGCCAACCCACAGTATGCAGGTTCGGATTGAGTCTTGTAGTATGAAACCAACTTGAAAAAGCCTTCCATATATCCTTCCAGGAGAGCTTCAGAAAAGAGTTGCTGCAAATTTGAACTACTGATGAAAGATATACCAAATTTCTTATAAAAGCAGCATAAGAAATTCCAGATAAAGACAACCATGACTTTGCTGTACATTGCACTTAAATCTTAACTGTCACTAGTCACTACAATGACTAGTGAACCCCATAATCAAATGAAATATGTCAGACTCATACAGCATCTCACAGATTCAGATATATAAAACACACAATTGACTAGCAAAAATAAAATAATAAAATAAAATTACTAGTTTTGAACCATATAATCAAATGCTTCATTAGTAATTCAGCTTTTCTCTAGTAAAATTTTAATTTCTTCCACCATTGATAAACAAGGCACTTAGGGTAGGTTGCACATCTATTAAGGCAATCATGGCATTGCTCAAGATGCCATGAACCCCTTTTTAAACTTTGTACTTGTAGGCGCCATTATTTGTGAATGCTCCCTCCAATATTGTGCTCCTTAAGTTACACCTATATGAATGGAAGTAGTAGATTCTAGAAGCCATGGGATGACTCAATAAAGTCAAGTACGCTTCCTCCACCACATAATCATTCATCTTCATCATTGATTTGCTTAAATCAACATCAAAGATGTCCAAGCATAATGTATCTAATGTTAATAGCATATCTAAAGATAATGTTGGTAATGTCTATTGTGATATGTGTTATGCATATTATCATCCCCTCTTCTCAATGCTAATTGTTAGAAAATGTCCCTCCTAGATCCATGAACCATGTAAAAGCTTTAACAATAGACATCATGACCTTTATTCCAACACTCTATATCAGGGTAGGAGACACCACCCCCACCTCGGTCATAAAATAAATCATCCTCAAAAGTATGGGGATTCGCAAAACCAAGGGAGTTTCTTAGGAAACACCCGGAATCATGCAACTTTCCATAACACAGGAACTTTCAAGCTCAAATTGGGCAAGTTAATTATGAAAGTCAAGCCAATCTTAATGGCCAAGGCTACCACAATAACCAAGGCCTATTTATTCTTTAATCAAGAATTCCATAGTCACAAGAATTTAGAGACCAAATTTGCCCAACAAAGCACATCTCATTCAAAGCAACCCGGATTGTATTGTAAATAAATAACATTCATATATTAAGACTCGATTTGTTAGTACCCTTGTTGAAAATTCACCAAGGCTTTGTTCTCCTCTACTAATCTAGATAAGTTTTAGCATAAATAAGTTAAGTATCATAAAATTAAGTTTAGTTCAACAAAAACAAGTTAAATTAAACCAAAAACATCAAATTTAAGTTAACTTCAACAAAAACAAGCTCAAATTAGCAAGTATCAGGTCATGGATTCATGGTGACATGGTAACAAGACCAATTGCCAATTCAAGTATAATTTTTTAATGATGGTGGAGTAATGAATATTATGATGACACTAACAGTAATAAGCAGTGATAATCATAATACTGTAATATTAATACAAAGTAGAAAATTACTCCCCATCATTTTCACATTTTTTTTTAATAACTTTTATTATTAATTAAAAAAAAGAACAAATTTGATGAGTTCTGAGGTAGCTCAACCCTCATTTTATATAATTAAAGATATTGATGATCAAAGCATGTATCGGGATTATGGAAAACCCGCAAATCAGAAACGGATTGCAGAATTAGTGATGAAAATGAAGGAGAGAGAAAATCAAACCTTGCCATCCTTAGAAGCAAATTCAATACAAGGTGGCGAAGGAAGCGCCCTTCTGTAGAGTCCAGCCACTGCTGCCATTGTTGTTTTAGCCAGATAAAAGTGTCGCAGTCGATCGAATACTATTAATTCAAACCGAAGATGAAAAAAGAGAAGGAATATGTACGATCTTGACTTTCTGGTAAATGCTTTTTTATAAGCGGACTTGTAGACTTGGCTCCACTTGCACCATGGAAAATAATTAAAAACAAAAAACATGTGTTTTTTTTTTATTTTTTGGCGGAAAAAATAATATTCATATTGTGTATTCGTAAGTTTGAAAGTATGAAGAATAATCTTGTTGGATCAAAACTCGTGACTTTAAGGTATAAGGTGAAATCCCTATCAGTTCAGTTCAGTTCATTTCAGTTATGTTCAGCTCTCAATTTTCTTCTATTCAGTTCAGTTAAGTTCAGTGTGTGAGATTAGGCCCTAAATAATAAATCCGTAGATGTATGAATACAGTAGACAGTAGGATTCAAACTTTCAAAGCAAGAGGCAGGGGTAAAGACTAGAATAGACCCGGTCTACAATAACTTATTGTAGACCCAATCTTCTATTATACCATACGAATGTGATTATATTACCACAAAAGTGATTATATTATCCTGAAACTGTTATGTAAATGTATCACTCAAAAAGTGAATTTATCATTATAAAAGGTATCATAGTAAATTACATCAGTCAAAAGATGATTTTTAAATTTTATCATCCTAAAGATAATTATATAATTTCATTAAATGATTTACTACGAGATTTTATAATTTAAAATATGACTCACAAAAAAGATAACTATATCATCTAAAAATGTGATTATATCATCCAGAATGTGATTATATTATTTGAAAGTGTCAAACTTTGAGTCTACAATAATATATTGTAGACCGGGTCCATACAAGACCAACTAAGAGGCAGGAACATTGAAATTTGAAAGGTAGTTTAGGTGTTGAACAAATTGTATAATCCCAAGTAGTATTAGACAAGCAGTTGCGAAAATGCGTCTATATATGTTCATCAGAAAGCTTGCCTTACTTTGTGGCATGATTGGATTCATCATACATGAAATCTTCCTGCTTGTCATATTTGTCATAGGACCCCTGGAAATGCTTTATGGGAATGTATCTAGTTGGTTTTGGCAATCAGCATGAGGGTTTTGATGAAGAAGTTTAGTCAGTTAATAGTCTCAGCACACAAATTCAACTCAGATATGCGCGTCTTGTTACAATTAGTACCTGCTTACTGATAAGTAGTTTTTGCATCCTACTAATTATTGTGCAGAGCTTTACAGCATTAGCACTGTAAAGGAAAAAATAACAAAGAGACAAAGGCAGCAAATCAATATTACTCTCCTCGTTTCAAAGCATCAAAAAGTAAAAGTTTTGTTGCTCTCTTTGATGCTATACACCACCACACCCAGTAACAGGTATAGCAGATTCTATGATACAGCGAGTTACTGCAGGTGTGAACCCATTTCACTGAAAATAAAACAACAATGTGCATGGCCTTTCAAATATCATCTCTTTCTCATTAATCAACACAAAGTACTTTACAAAGTTTCAATCAGCACTATGACTTTTCAGCTACCTGTGCTTAATCTCATATAATGATCATTATGAAAGGGATTTCAACCCATAGAGACCACCTAACTTTAAGAGTCAGATGAATAAATAGCTATTCCCAAGTTCAATCAATTTGTAGACGTGGTTTGTTTTCCAAAGTAAATGTGAGATGTTAGAGAAGAATATACATTACACGGTAGATACACTAAGTTGGCCATCCACCTCATTATCTTGACATTGCTTGAGAAGAATTAGCTGATGTCGCAAGTGCAATACCTAACATACCAGATAGCAAGGATGAGATTCTTTTATTAACTGAAGCAATTATACTTGCAAACTTGCAAGGAACAGATAAAAAGGGTAACTGGTCTTTTTCATGAATTTACCTTCATTTCAAAATAATAGGCTATTAGAATTCTGTTAAAACTCGTTAATTTTGACCACTAAAGGAATACATAATGTATGGAGTAAAAATGTAAAGGTGTCATTGATGCAATAATCAGAAAAATGTGTTCATAAGATTGTCATTAATTTATACTCTGTAGTTTTTACTATAAAATACTGCAGTCACAATTGACCAAGTTTTCACCATAAAATCAGATGTTGCGCAATTTTTTGAAACCTAGGGGTGATATTAAAACAAATCGAAGTAGCTATAAATTTCATTGTACATACAGGGATGCAATCTTGCATCATCAGATACCTCAAGTAAGTCTTAAGTACAGCTCTTCTACAAGAACAGCACAAAACATAGACATGTAGTATAGCCGATATTGTTTAAATATAAGAAAATATACTCCGAATGGGTAATATCAAATTTGCAAAGTTAAACAGCGTTGGCATGGAATTGCACAAAAATTAAGGTTATGGGTTTGGAGACATTCGCATTTATATAGGATGTCCCCAGCTCATGTGCGATTGCTGGATAAACAGATTTGGAGATGTGTCTCCAGACTATGTGAGACCGACCATAAAACCATGAAGTTAGAAATTTGCTAAGAGCCTAGGATAACACTTCGATGTTGACCTTCATAGTATGAGAAGACACATATAATACCAGCACTCCAATGAATAGTGGTGATTGGTGAATCAAATGGTTGCTCACATGACTCATCATTAAGAAAAGTAGTAGAATTAAAAGATTATATTTCTTACCTCCTCCTTGAGTAAAGTGGGAAGATGTTCAGTAGAAACCAGCCTTGTCAAATCTTGGACAAGCATTTTATCCTTGATACCAGACCATGTTTGCATTGGCAGTGCAAGCAAAAGTACAGTTAGAACATCATTTCCAGCAGGGTGCATTCCAGAACAGTTTGGGTCAGAGCAGCAATTGGATTGTTGTTGAGTTACAGGGACCAAAATTTGCAATCCTTGCTTGCTTGCACCATCCTTTACTGTTCCTGAGACAAGAGTCACAGGCTTGCCACCATCACCCCTTATCTGTTTCACACATGTTTTCTCACAACAAAATCCACCAGAAGATCCAGGCTGACCAGTTAAAAGCTCTGCTCCCTCGCAACAAACAGCCGCTGCAACATCAGATAAACTGTGCTCATGACCCAACATGTCACTTTTTCTGGAACACATAAATAGTGAGGCTAGAAATTTAGTCACTTGCTTATATAGACCAGTATCGTGAACTTGTTTGAGTAGCTCTTCCTGCAAAACGAATTTTCAGGTCTGCAGTAATGCAATATGAAATGGGATGTAAATTACATTTTAATGCTGCAGCTACAAAGTACAAACCTTTAGCAAATGCCTTTTCATTTCCTCCTGGCTTAGACTTTGACCACCATCTTCATGCCTTCGAACTTCAGCTACCCACTTAATAAAGTCCCTAAAGTTTGAAGGTAAAGACATGCAAACAGCAGAGATGGCACTCTCTATGTCCTTCACATTCTCTAACTTTAAAAGAAGAGGTACATCCTCCATTAAGTACTTCGCTATACTAGCTCTGTTTTCATGCTTACAGCTCTACAAAGAGATAATCTGAGTAAAATTTCTATATTGGCAAATGATATGGTAAAAGAATTAAATTCTATGCAGTGTCACATTGTGTTTACCACATCTGGAATATTTTTGTGATAAACAAAATCTGTACAAAAAAACTATATTTCATGCTATCTAGAGTTCTAGGAAGAGGTATCAATAACTAGTGTTGTTACTTTTTACACGTTTCACAGCACAATTTACGAGCAGGTTAATGAATTAAGCAACAATGTCACAAAGCTTTTTATCGAAGTGGTTGTTTAAGAGGGCATGAATGTAATGTCTAATAAGCTTGTAAGAAGATCACATTTAAACTTGTAATACTAGACACCATAAAGGAATTCTCCAGTGCTTTCTTAGTCAGATGTCCTCTAAAACTCTTGTATATTGTAAAGTTAATATATCAGTAATGTGTGGTGTTGTCTAAGAACAAGACATGAAATTAGTGCTAAAAAGTGTAATAATCTGAAACAAATTATCATTCAGCAGATCAGACATGGAAAGACAAAGGGGCATTTAACATTAAACAGCATTTAGCCATTAACTATCAGGCAACTAAAAAAAATACCACACGTGGTCTACAAACCCCACTTCACTATAGGTATATCTGGTCAATTGTCTCTATACAGAACCTAACAATCTCATGCTGAAAGAGTTCCTTATCTTCACTATATACAAGGACAAAGGGTGCAAAAGATTTATTAGCACAGAGCTAATTTGTTATATCCTAGTGCATAATATTGTTAGCTTAGACCATCATACGCATAATATCAGAAGACAATTTTCAACATAATTCTAGGAAAGAGAGTTTTCCTATAAATCATCTTTCACAAGAAATACTCACTGATGTGAATACAGGCATCACGAAGTCAAAACCCATGGTTCATAGTATATGCAGCCAGCATATCATACCAAGGTATAAAGAAGTCCTGGCTCATGCTGTTGTCTTGATACGAGTACATACCTGGAAAACAAACACTTCAATAGTAAGAAGAAAAGGTTACTCAAGGGTTAGGGGATGAAAAAAGACAAATGCGCCAAATTACATCTTGATAATTATATTTTAACAAAAAAAAAAAAAAAATCCTGTTGAAAAATGACTGTTGGTAGATAAAACATTATCATCCTCCATATCAAATGATTAAGATACATGTCACATTAGAGAAGGATTTGATATGGAGGATGACAATGTATCAACTACCAACAAAATTTCAGTAGGAAATCCAACGTGAACAACAGGCAGTGCATTTCCAGTCAACTATCTCTAGCTTTCTTTCCCAAATCAAGTATTAGAATAACCTTAAATTGGTTTGCCCCTTAAAACTACCCAGCATAAGGAGTCTTATTTCCTAGGTCATTAACCAAGCCTACTCATATATGTTGTATTTCCTTAAGATCAATAAAAACAGACTCTGCATGTGCTCAAAGCTAACACATTTTTAGTGAACCACATAAATCTGTGTGTATTGTGCGTCTTCTTTGTTGTTCTTCGTCAGTCCTTTGCATCTGCTACAACATCAAAATTAGACACTAGCAATACAAAACCAGCAACATTATATTTGCTGCTTTAATTTCATAAGCCTATTTTTATTTTAGTAGTGGCTTTTTAACAATAACTATGTCTATATTGAAGAGAGATCAACAACCTTAAAGTCTCCTCCTATATAGTTACTAAGAATATATTATGAGACCCCTTAAAAATACATTAATGGATCGAATTGTAGAATGTCATACATTGATCAGTCTCAATGTATATGATTCATTCTAAAAAAACAACCTAGTGCACATATTGTTCACCTTTGTAGGCTATTTCCACTATATTCTATTTTCTTAATATATTCGTTTCTTTCTTACTTGTGTCAAATCCTTTATCTTTCTGCATGAGTATACAACTAAGAGTGTGTTCTTTTCGCCTCAAATTTACTCAAATTGAAGTTATTTGAACTTATTGGAACTCATCTTAACTAATCTGGACTTATTTGGACTTTGGCAGCCCTTTTTAGAATTTATATAAACTTTATTGGCCCTCATCTGAATAATGTCTTCTATAATCAGTTTTTGAAGGTAAAAAGAACAGAGCCTAAACTATAGACAAAATCAATAGTACCTTATCTGTGGAAAGCAGAATGAGTACAAGAATGCAATTTGTTAATCGATAATCTAATCTGAAAGCTTTAGGCCTTTAGCACTGTGACAAAAATAATGATTTATATTGAATCATATTTTGAGAGGGGACAGAGAGTTGGGTATAAAGTATTTGATAAACAAGTAGATTGTGGGGAAGGAGGGAAGTACAGACAAATTCCTACCCTCTGCGTTGGCCACTTGCTTCAACAACCGTATCCATGGCTTCCCAAAGAAGAGATAAAGGGACCCAGTGAGGGGGGTACTTAAAACGTGCAACATCCAGAATCAGTGCCATGTCCCTTCCACCATTATAACCACCAATAGGAGAGAAGTGACCAGTTCCAGTCTGAGATTGTTGAGTAGTATGATCAATTACAATTTATACATTAGAGAAAAAAGAACACATAAATCTGTACAAGTCATATCATATATTCTTATATAAAGAGAAATAAAAAAAATCCTACTTCATCGCTATGCTGACATAGTGACATGAACAAAGTCAGTAAGTAAAAAAACTGAAAATTGGTAAGAAAAATTAGAGGCCATAATTCTTACTGTTTATGCAATTATGCCACTGAGCTAATTTTAAATACTTGGTTTTTACTTAGCTTCTTATGCTTCTTTTATTTTTATTTTTTATTTGTGATGATCAGTTTGTTAACAGATTGGTTTAAATTGCAGAAGATTTCATAAGTAAATAGGCATTCTTCTCTTTTAGGGGAGGATTAAGAGTTGGCTATCAAGATCATCCCTAGAAAGCCATGCAATGTTGAAAGACACATTCTACAACAATTAAATAAAAAGTTTTATAATAATCATAAAGTGACATAAAGTCAGATAAACACACACGCACGCACAAGCACACCAAAAAAGAAAAAAGCAAATAACAACTCCTTGATATGAATCCTGCACCAATAGAAAAAATAAGCCATCAATAATTGCAAAATATGTAGAGAAGCACACTTTGAGTTTATTATTTTATTAATACCTGTTTGAAAATCCCCCTATGGTAGGATGAGATGACATGACACTCATCTGAGATGGAGCATGCCTTGACGTAATTTCTAAACTCACTAATTGAACTCTCACTCGTACGAAAAGCTTGAACATTTGCACCAGCACACTGAGCCAGACAAGTGAGTTTCCCAAAGGGAATCCCTTTAGATTTAACTTTTTCTAGAGGCTCGCAACAGTCTAGCATTGATTCATCAAACCATCTCCATGGTCCTATAGAAAGAAGAAATAAAAATAGATTTGGAAGTTAATAAGAAGTGAAAAGTTTAAGTGTCAAAGCTTCATTAAATTTTAGAAAAATATGGATTCCTTATGTTGAAACCTATGACAGAAAATCTATCTTTTCATATATGATTTTATATTAAAAGGAAATGAGAAGCACACTTTCTTTCTATCCAATAGTTCATCAAAAATTCAGGGGAGACACATGAGTTCATAACAATATCATACCTCATTACATAATACTGAATCATATGTACAAGTTAGAACAATAGAGAAACTAAAGACAAACTACCATGTAGCGGTAAAGTAATAACTTTGGTTCAGCTTCTACAACTGTGCCCAGTTCTAAATAACAAGACACATATTTATTTCAAGACATCCTGAAATAATACAAACTAGGCCACTGATTTTTTAAGTTGAATTTGACAATTTTCTCATAATAGTATAATACCCAAGAATATATAATTCATCATGAATATAAATGGGAACTTCAAAGAGTGAAGGATTACCATATTCAAATTATTAAAACTAGCCCTAGATCAAATGTGGCCTGATTAGAGACATTCCATATTTACATCTGATTTTAAGACCTCCTTCCGAGTTCCAATTTCCATATTTCACATTTATGCTACTCAGATAAGCCTTATGTATTTATTCTAAGATAGTCTGATATCATAAAGCTACTGCCTGTCTGACTTTGAAATGTTCAGCTTACTTTAAGGAATGTATTCATCTTACTTTAAGGAATGTATTCTAAGAAATGTTCAGATAATCCTCATTCAGCAAACAATATAATGCTTAAACAAATTAACCTTGTAATTTCCCTTGTGGGTTAATGAACCCTTATAAGATGTTGCCTTCAATCATGCTTCAGATTTACAAAATTCTACAGTATATTTGTATTCACCACGAATGACAAAAACCTTAAAATCTAAATTAAACATCAACTGCAAGGCAACTACAAAGACAAAGAGGAAACGAGGGTTGTAGAAAATGTATCTACTATAAGTTCAAGCAAGTATGCAAAATGTAATTCTAGTAATAGTTTTGCACCTTTCCAAGTCCTCCCAGGATCGATAGCCAACGCATTTAAGACCATCGAAAGGCTAGCTAATCCACAATAAGCAGGCTCGGACTGCGTTTGGAAGTAAGAAATCAATTTGAAAAAACCTTCCATTGTTCCATCTTGAACAGCTTCTATGAAAAGTTTCTGCATTACCATATAAATTATAAGGACAAGCTGAATATACAAAGGCCCAAAAATCCTATTAACATTCAAAACTAACAATCATATCCACTCGAGTAATCTAACACGACGAAACAGCAAAACTTTAGAGAAAGGCAAGCCCTTGTTTCTAATTATGCACTTCAAATCACTAAAGAAAAACATGTAAACAATTTCTTTCTGATTTTCTGAATTTAGGGCACAAAAATTTGCAAAAAAATTAATCAAACTTACACATTGACTACAATTTCAGGAATAAAGGGCTTCAATTACAGGATCATGACCCAATAAATTGACAAAAACTTAGAATTACATAAAAATCAAGCATCAATTTAGCCAAATCAAACACAATTTAACTGTGATTGCAACTAAAAATAAGAATTTAGAAGATGAAATATGGAGCACAGAATTAGTGAAAAACCTAACCTTGCCTTCAGTAGAAGCAAAATCAATGGCGGGAGGTGATGGAAGAACACGACGATATAATCCAGCCGTCGCCATTGTTGTTGCTTGTGAAATCTCTCCCTAGTTAGGGTTTAATGCGGGTTTAAGAAAGATCCCCGCCAAATCTTTTGTTTCGAAAAATACTGACTTTTTTTTCCCCCCAATTTAAGATTTTAGCCATTCTTACATTACTTGCTTTTAGTTACTTACCATAGTTTGATAGTTGTGTCAATAGGATTTTCGGAGAAAATAAGTACGGATTTTAATTTAAGTTGAAAGGTAACTGATTGGTAATGTAAGATATGCAACGGTTGCATTAGATATTTTCTATTATATAGGCCTTGTTTGGCAATTAGCTTGTAGCTGTTAGTTATTTGGTTGTTTGTATGACTTTTTTTTATTAGTTGATTGTAATTAGTTGCTTGTAATTAGTTGTTTTGTATAATACTTCGTAGTGTTTTACAATTAGTTATTAGATGTTTTACCACTAATAGCTTTTAAAATGGTTACCCCTCTTGTTACTTTAGAAACTATTTTTTCCGAAAAAAACTCCTAACTAAACACTCCATAATCTTATTTTAGTTTGATGGTGTCGAATTGTCGACATTATCACTTTAATCGTCTTAATATATATGACCAACCACGTCAGTTGGTCTGATGTAAAACATATTCCGTGAAACCGTCTCATTATCTTTTAAAAAAAAAATTTGTCAGAGTAGCAACAATATTATTGTTACCTTGTTGCTTAAATCCCTTTAATACCAACCCAAACTCCATTGTATACCATAAGCAACAAGCCAAAAGTAGTGAGCAAAGATCCATCCTAATTCCCAAAGGATACCTAACTAGCAACATTTATTGAAGTCTCACATCTTCACCACAGAAAAATAGCACCTAAACCATGTAACACTAAACCAAGCTAATTTGCAGAACAACAGTTATGAATCCAGTAACTTTTACAAAAACAAAATAATTAAATTTTACTCCATTTTATTAATATGGTAAAAAAACAAAAAGAGAAAAAACAACCAAAAATTACCCGCAGAAGGTAGACACTGTAACCTGTACTCATAACATCCTCATTATTCTCTTTTCCACTTTAGTCGATTACTTCCAACATTCACCAAAAAGTTAAAAATAAAATCAGAAATCCTACTATAAATATAATATAAAATGATAGATAATTTAATAAATAAATTCTTTAGAAATGGGCCCCACTAAACTTGTTTGGTTGGTTGGAATTTTTTTTCAAGTTTTATGTAAAAATGAGAAATTCCTAAGTCACATGCTGTTGAGATTTGGATGTAAAAAAAAAAACAGATATCTTTGCCAAAATGTACGTTAAGATTTTTTAAACCAGGTGAATATCCAATTAATGAATTACACATTTATTATAATTTTATTTAGCATTATATTTTTTATTTTGTTTTTTAAATTTTATTATTTGTGTGTGTATGTAGGTTGGTCGCTTTCAAGGAGAGTAGACAGAGTGACAAACCGACGGCGATGGAAGTTTTGTGATTGGGGTTAAAGGTGTTGCTTTTTCTTTTATTACAAGGTTGTCTTATCACCGATGAGAGTTGGCTCAAATAGTAAGCAACTTGATGTCGTTTAAGGGAAGTTTTGGGTTCGAGCCTCACCGTATGTAAAAATTCTTGTTGGGAGACTTACCCACCATTAGCCAGGTGTGTTACCCGAGTCGGATCCGGATGTAGTCGGGGCTAAGCTCTGGTGAACCGGGTGGGCATCCTAAAAAAAAAGGTTGTCTCATCAATATGGTTAACCTTAGGTGTTCCAATTTGATCTGCATATATTTGTTAATGTACAATTTTAATTAATGATATTATTAATTATCAATACTCATTATTTATATTTTATCTTACATAAGCACAAACATTGGTCAAAGCAGTGTATATAAATAGTACCAAAGTCAAACCAAAACACTTAAATAAAAACAAAGTAAATACTATAAATATAGTTTGTTTTAAAATAATTGTACCATCTCTCTTTTTAAATGTATGGTACTAGTATGATTTTGTTAAATTTTCCTTACACTTTTTGTTTTATTTTATGGAGTACTTTGTAGTTGATAAGTTTTTACTTTTGTGATTTTTTTAGGGCGGTAAAATATACAAGTATCTTATTAAAATTGTTTTAATACACATATTCATAACTAACTTTTATTCAAAGTAATTTTTACTTATTAAGGATAATTACAAATTAAGAATAGTTGAACTTGTGTGTTTACAAATGTTATAAAAAGACCTGTGTCAACTAAAAATATATGGAGGAAGTATATTTTGTAGAGTCAAATTAATATATTATTGGAACACACACATCAAAAACAAATCTTTGGTAGACTACGTACAATTATGTCACAAGTCAACTCGACTCGAGTTAACTAATAAGCATATATCTCTTCAAGTTTTGTCATTTTTAATTGTCTGATTTGAAAGCAATTTAATTTGTACTAAATCATAATAAAGAAGATGCTTGAATTTAATACGTGAGAATTATGTCATGAAGTCACTCAAGTCAGTTATGATGTTGTTATAAATTGGAATTGGTGACGTATAGGAATAAAATTTAGATGTAAGCCTATAATATGGGACTTCCATGAGTTCCATCATGTAAAGCGATTACCCTTCACAAATTTCACAATTCAAACGCACTACTCACAAAGGAAGGACTTGAATTACTAGTAGATCAGATCAATTAATGTTTAAAGTAGGTTAAAACACATGGCAACAATTATGCATGCTCCTAATAATAAACTTACTTAGGCCACTTCAAAGTTTTACTTTATTAAAATTTTATATTAATCGGATATGTAGTTTTTTTTAAGTATGTAAACAACTGCTCAAAAAAATAAAAATATGGATCAATCATTAAGAGGCGAAGGAGTTGTCAAATACGAGTATATGACCATCAACAAATAATAAAATAGTACTCCGTAATGGAATTAAAGTCTTAAATTTTTTAACCAAGAGTTATCCAATTATATACTATCCTTTAATTATTTATTTTTTTGTGGGCAATTCACTTTAGTTATTTGTTACCAAAAACCCAAAGAAAGAGCTTAAAAAAAAAAGGACAAGGTAATGGCAACTAATGTATACATCATGCATGCGTGAAATGTGCAGTGGTTAATAATGCACAAGACATGTAACTACGTACCCTAAGTTTATTACAGATAAATCCAGTAACTAGTTTCTTGGTAACTTGATAAGAGCTCTAAAAGGAGGAATTGAGGAGACAAGAAGTAACTAGGAGCAATAACTATGCTTGCATCAATGGCCATGCTTAGATTAGCTAGCTTAGGCCTGTGTATTAGTTTCTTACTTTACCTTGTTTTTCCTCATTGCAACAAGGTAAATGCTACTTGCATACTGATGATACATTGATGCCCACTTCCTAGAAAACTCCTTTTGTTTCTTTTTGTTGTTTTGAATTTTGTTGTCTCGCATACTCGTTCAAAGGGGGACAAGGTCGGGAGTTTTAATTTAGGGCATGTTCTCTTCAGCTTATTTTCAGTTCAGTTTAGTTTAGCTCAGCTCAGCTCAGCTCCATCCAGTTCAGTTCAGTTCAGTTCCTAATTTTCTTCTCTCATAAATATTCAATTTAGTTCCAATCAGTTCAGTAAATCAGAACAGACCCTAAGAGAAATTTGTTAAGGAAAATGAATAGATAAATAAAAAAATAAAGGAAATAATAGGGAGTAATTCTGCAATTGGATTAGGTGAACCGAATTTAAAATTAACTTAAGGAGTAAGATCGTCCCTAAGAAGAATGAGGGACCATTAAATATATGTAAAAAACAAAACTTCTTCAAGAGTACACTGATTATTCTAGTCAAAAGCCATGCGATGTAATCATAATTAAAACTCAGCTCCACTTAGCTAGAATCAACCACAGTCTCAAATAATATGTTGATTATATATATCTAACAGTAATTAAGGTTAACCTAATGATTACCATTTGAACACACAAAAGACGTTGAATTTTGGAGTGCTAGATTATGTAGAAGAGAGTAGCAAGCAACAAAAGAAATGTAGATTAAATTTGATTTCATATCTTGCATTCAACCAATATTAATGGTCTTACCAAACACATTTTGGTTAGATCAAGTAACTTTTAATTTTTACTTTTCACCTCCTCTTTTTACTTATGAGTAATTTTAACTTTGATTTTTTTATTTTTTTATTTTTTTTTTACTTCGTAATTCATAAGATCAGATGAAATGTTAACATAAACTCGTCAATCTATCTTTATTACTCACTTAATAAGCTGTTAATCACATACTCTGAAAATAGTCTTTCAGGGCCCGTTCTCATTGGCTGAACTCGGCTAAACTGAACTGAACTGAACTGAGCTGAGCTGAACTGAACTAAACTGAACTAAACTGAAATGAATACTTGATAACAGAAGGATATTAGGAGCTGAACTTAACTGAAAATAAACGTATAAGAACAAACCCTCATTTTTTATTCTTCCCACATTGATGCATATTTTAGAGGTAAGTAACATAGGCCTGGCCCAATCCGGCCTGAAAATAGGGCGGATATGAACAAGCCTAAAAACGCAATTTTAGTTAAAAAGTCTGAACCCGACATGAAAAAGCCTGCTACTTTTTGCGGATTTGGACATGCGAAATTATGATAAAGCCGGACCCAATTTATGATAATTCTAGCATATTTCTATCTTTCTCTGATCCTTAAAATTCCTTCCAAAGGTCCCAAACTACACAAACTAAAAAGAAAAATTTCCTTACCTCATTGATGAGACTAACCAAAAAACCTTCGGACAATCCCCTCCCATCTCATCTTCCTTTCCCTTTTCCCAATAACCTCCAAAATTTAGGTCAAATCATCAACTCAAATCAACATCTCACCCCAACCTTACATATTTTGTATTAAAATATTTATTTTTACTTCTTATGTAAACTATCAATTGTTACATTTTTAAAAAAAAAACAACAAAAAAAAGAAAAGAAAAGAAAAGAAAAAATTATGTACTGTATTTGTTAACTACCAGTAGTAATTTAAACCCTATCCAAGTAATTTTTAATTGTAACGTTTTAATTTCCAAATTTGCTGCATAATATCAAATGTTGTGGCCCAAAATAAACAAAGAAAGTACTTGTATCTATGTTATTATAAAAAATAAATCATAAATAAAAAATAAATAAATAATAAAAACAAAAAACAAACTAGCTATTACTCATATGGAAATAGTTAGAGCTTCTCCTCCGATTTTAAGGTACCCTCGATTCTCATTATTTGCCATTGTGGCTCTAAAAAAAGAAAATTACTCGTACAGAAGTATACTTGTATCTATGTTATTTTAAATTCAATCTAAAAATTTGATATTTCAAACATAGTTATCAAGATAAATCAAATAAAACACCACTTGATTATGATTTTCTTAAGATACTCTCTATAAAGTTATACTCACTCTATTTAGAATAATCAACATGTTTGACTTTTTTTCACCATTTATTTGTTAACTTGACTATATATTGTTAAATACTACTCCGTAATATTAATATAAAATTTAATGATGCGATTATTTTTATAACTTTCATTAATATTTAATTAAATAAAAATCTATAAGGTTAAATTAGTACAACAGCTAGAGTTGTCAATTCGGGTAAACATGTCGGGTTTGGGTCGGATAAATGTGAGTCGGGACAACTCGGGTCGGGTCAATTCAGGTTAATGTTGTAACCTACGCGTGTCGGGTTCGGGTTAGGTCATGCTTGAGTCAGGTCACGTCGGGTCATACATTATATCGGGTTTGGGTCGGGTTAATAACAGGTCGACTTACATTCAGCTTAGGTGTATAATAGGTCGGGTTTACTTCGGGTTAAAATGGTTTAGGGTCATTCTCGGGTTCGAGTCGGGTTTGGTTCAAGTCAATAATTTGCGGGTTATAATCAGGTCGGGTCATTCACGGGTTTGAGTCGGGTTCAAGTCAATAGTTTGCGAGTTATAATCAAGTTGGGTAATTTCCAAGTCAGGTCATTCTCGGGTTCAAGTCGGGTTCAGTTCAAGTCAATAAATTGCGAGTTACAATCAAGTCGGGTCATGTTCTGGTTCAAGGCGGGTTTTATTCAAGTCAATAATTCGTGGGTTATAATCAGGTTGGTCATTTCTAGGTTGGGTCATGTTCGGTTTCGGGTCTCAAATATTGGGTTAATTTGGGTTTCAGGTTGATTTCAGGTCGGGTCATATTGGGTTTAGGTACATTTTTAGGGTCAGTTTGTTAACAACTCATGATGTAATGCAATGACGTTCACATTTAATCATTATCAATTATTTCATTTATTGTAAGATAAGTTTAAATTCGAGCTAAAAAGTTCTAATAAGTTTAGATAAGTTCTACATAATAAGTTCATATTAATTCCAATAAGATAGGTTTATTCTAATCTATTCAGTATTCACATTGATTCCACTCATTTTAGGGATAACAATTTCAAATAAGTTCATATTCGAGATGACAGGTTCAAGTAAGTTTAGATAAAATACAATAAGTTCATATTACTTCGGGTTAAGAACAATTTGGGTTGAATTTAGGTCGGGTCAATAACAAGTCGTGTTCATTTCGGGTCGAGTAAGTAACAGATTGGGTTGAATTTAGGTCGGGTCAATAACAAGTCGTGTTCATTTCGGGTCGAGTAAGTAACAGATTGGGTTGAATTCGGGTCGGGGTTAGTAATATGTTGGGTAAAATTTGGGTCAGGTCAATAACTAGTTGGGTTGAATTTGGGTTGGGTCAATAATAGGTCGGGTTGATTTCGAGTCGGATTAGTAACAGGTCGGGTTGAATTTCGAGTCGGGTTAGGAACAGGTCTGGTTAAATTTGGGTCGGGTTAGGAACACGTCGGATTGAATTCAGGTAGGGTTAAATTCGAGTTTTGACGTGTTAAAACAGGTTTGGGTCAATTTCGGTTCAGGTAGGGATCGGTTCAGGTTAATAATTTACGGGATACATTCGGGTTGGATCATCTCCAAATCGGTTCATGTTCGGGTATCCAATACTCGGGTTACTTCGAGTTTAGGGTTGATTTCATATCGAGTTTGGGTCACCATTTTCTCGGATTCAGACGGGTCGGTATTTTGAGTCGGATCTTTTGACAGCTCTAACAATAAAACCCCTGCAATTTTTTTTTTGGATCAACGTAGTAGATAGTGCTTTTAAAAACAAAAGTTGTAACGAGTATAAAAACAAAACCAAAAACCCAACTGTATTACTGTGCACCCTTCTCTTCTTCAACAAACCTCCTCACGGTCCTCAGTCCTCCCTCTTTAAAAACCCTCTCTAAACCCCACTTTCTCTCTCCTCCTCCATTTTCCACAACAATGGCGTTTTCTCTCTCCTCTTCTTCTTCAACCCTCTTCCTCACTCTCACACTCACCCTCTTCTCTCTCCTCCTCCTCTCCCACCAACAACAACTCCCACCACTCAACTCAGCAGAGCAGGAATCCGTCTACCTCGCTCTCGAATCGATCAACCCAGAAATTCAATGGCGAACTCTCTACCCAGATGACCTCTGTCTCTCCGCCCCACACGGCGTCGTTTGCGGCTATCTCCCCAACCCCAACTCAAACGACACCGTTTTCACTCCCCACATTGTCGAGCTCAATTTCGGGTATGTTCTAGATTCTTCTGATAATCCTCCTTGTTCTTCCAATTCCTCTTTCCCGCTTTCTCTCTCCTCTTTCTCTCACCTCCGTAAACTGTTCTTCTACCGTTGTTTTACGGGTTCCCCTGTTTTGCTCCCTTCTCTTGAAACGGTGTCGTCTGAGCTTGAGGAGCTCGTTTTCATGGAGAATCCCGCGCTTTTTGGGTCACTCAGTGGCATTTTTGGTAATTTTACTTCGTTGAGGAGGTTTATTTTGACTGGTAGTAACGTCTCTGGTGGGGTACCTGATGAAATTACGAAATTACCCTCGCTTGAGCAACTTACTATTTCTGGAAATGGGAATTTGGGAATGGTGGAAAAGGGAATGATTCCAAATGATTTGGGATTTTTGGAGAAATTAAGGGTGCTTGATTTGAGCAGAAATGGGTTAACGGGTACAATCCCAAATTCTTTGGGTAATCTCAAATTACTGCTTAAACTTGATTTGAGTTGCAATAATTTTGTGGGTAAAATTCCAGAAGATTTGAAGAATTTGCAAAACCTTGAATTTCTTGATTTAGGGTTTAACAAATTTGGGAATTTTGGGATTCCTTTGTTTTTGGGTAACATGCCCAGATTAAGGGAAGTTTACTTGAGTGGGAATCCACTGGGAGGGGCAATTCCGGAGATATGGAAAAATCTCAGGGGTATTTTAGGAATTGGACTTTCTGGGGTCGGTCTTGTTGGTAATATACCTTCTTCTATGGGGGTATTTTTGACAAATGTGAGCTACATTGGGCTAGACAATAACAAACTTGAAGGAACAATACCAAAAGAATTGGGGTTGTTGGAACATGTAAATGAGATGAATTTGCAAAATAACCAATTAAGTGGTGGAATTCCCTTTTCTACCCCTTTTGTTGCTAGAATTGGTGGGAAGCTTAAACTTGAGGGTAATTCTGGAATTTGCTTGGATAAGAGTATGAAATGGTCTGTTGATCAAGTTAAGGGTAGTTTGAGAAATTTGAAAATTTGCAGTCCTACAACTGAAAATCCCAATGCTGCCCTTTTCGTCGATGGCAATGGCAATGGCAATGGCAATGGCGGTGTCTCTCTCCGTTGCAATTGGTATTTGGTTGTCGTATTGGGGGTATTTTGGTCATTTAATCTTGTGGGATGTTAGTGTACGTGACTGACACTTTACTATGTTGGTGCACACAAAAATTTTGTGAAGAGGGGAAGACTTAGGTAATCTTCTGTTTTAGGCTAACCTTGGGTAGAAATGAAAAATGTACATTTTCAGATTTGCATTTTGCTGTAATTAGAGGGCTAACTAAGCTGCAAATCTTTGTAATTATCGAATTTTGCAATATAATCGAATTATCATGTGTTTGAAAATCATTTGCAACAATTAAATTTCTAATTATTCCAAACGTGATAATATGGAAAGGTGCTTCATTTTCATGTACGGGTGCTAACACTTTGGATGGGTTATGACGAGCTATATAGCACTATGCATAAATTAATACTTTGGATCGAACTAGGACGTATTTTGTATGAGGATAGAGTAGGGGTGGCTTTGCCACGTTTAATTTCTGTTTAGTTTGCTTTATTTCCCGGAGCTTTGCTCCTCATTCACATCAAAAAAAAAAATATAGCACTATGCATAAATTAATACTACTAGCCGCTAATTGTGGTGTAATATCGACCATTTATATGATCATAATCATAAAAGCTTTTACGTGTCTTAACAATTACAAGTACGTAATACTTATTCATATGTCGGAAATTAGTTATCATATTAGTAAGACTCCACGAGTAGTACTCCATTAACAGTAAAAAAATTTCAATGGGAGGAATTAGGAAATTACATGTTGACGATCTTGTTTGTGGGTTGTGCAAATGAAAAAGAAAGGAGATGTAGCATGAATTTCAATTGTCATGAAAATCAGATAACAGGACTCTAGGTTGCCTAAGAAGGTATATAGCTGTAAGAGTAGGTCTGCTGTAGGCTGGATTATGTCGATTAAAGTTTGTAAGGCTAGACTAAAGTCCAAAGTTATAAATGTTGGGGGCAAACAGCAAAATGTGTGTGTTCTTTTCTGCCCACTTTTTCTTTTTGTTGGGAGTGTGGTGTTTCTGTGAATAGAGATGGCTTTTATTACTACTGTCAAACATCAATTTTGCACTTAACATTATTTAATTTTTAGCTTACATAAAGTGGAAAGGTTACATTTTTTTTTTTTTTTTTTGGAAAAAAGAGTGATTATATACATAAAATGATTTAGAAAAAGATTTCACAATTTTTTTTGGATGATCTACCCTAATATAAAGGGTTTCAAAAAAGAGCTTTTACAAATTTGCATTATCTGACATATTTTGTCATAATAATTGGTCTTGTATGGACCCGGTCTACAATAAATTATTGTAGACCCAAAATTTGACACTTTCAAATAATATAATCACTTTTTTAAATGATATATAATTATCTTTTTGTGAGTCATATTTTGATCTCATATTAAACCATTTGATGAGATTATATAATTATATTTAAGATGATAAAATTTAAAAATCCTCTTTTGAAAGATGTAATTTACTATTTGATACTTTTTAGAATGATAAATTCACTTTTTGAGTGATACATTTACCTAACAGTTTCAAGATAATATAATCACTTTTGTAATAATATAATCACATTTCATATGATATAATCACATTCGTATGGTATACAAGAAGGTTGGGTCTACAATAAGTTATTGTAGATCGGGTCTATTATAGTCTTTACGTTGTCTTAAAGTAAATCATCTAATGGGTAAAAAAAAAAAAAAGATTTCACAATATGCATTATCTGACTAATTTTGTCAGAAACTAAGGGCCTATTCACATTTACTTAATTTCAGGGCCTGTTCTCTTACATTGAAATTCAGTTCAGTTCAGCTCAGTTCAACTCCTAATTTCCTTCTCTTATAAAATATTCAGTTCAGTCCAGTTCAGCTGAGTTCAGTCAATGAGAACAGACCCTCAGTTCAGTTCAGCTCCAATCAGTTCAGTTTAACTTCAATCAGTTCAATTCAGTTCAATTCAGCTCTAATAAGTTCTGTTCAGTTAAGCTCCAATCAGTTCAGTTCAGCTCAGTAAATATAAACAAGCCCTAAATTGTCTAAATTTATTTTTACTGGAATATTATCTAAACGACTAATCTTGTTTTCACTAATACATCAACTAACCACTGTCTAAACTTGTATTATATTTTGTTAATAAAGGTGAAATGTCAATAAACATAATATAAGCCCTACTTCAGAGTTCTTACTTGAGCTCCATTGTCGATTCATCAACTACTACAGCATGGCCTTACAAGTTCTCCCACCACCGAAAAAGACAGGCTGTTTGACATCTCTAAACCAAATTCAGACAGACTTCACTCAGTTAATTATCATCAATCATAGATGTGGAGTACAAAAGGTTTAGTTAGTCCATTCAAATTGGCACAAACTAAGCTCTATTTGAAACTGAATTTTAAAAATTAAATTCAGCTAGGAACGAACGCAGTATACACAAAACACTATATACAATACGAAGTATAATATTACTGGTCCACTGAATACAAGTTTTGTTGTTAAATAATAACGAACTCAAATCAGAAAGATGGCTCAGGAAAACAACTGCTTGGTCATTAAAATGCATATGAATTATACAAATGACAACTAACGAGAAGAAAATCAGCTCGTTAAGCTTCCTCCCTCACCGTAAGGTATATCCGTAGCACATCGGAGTAAGTACTAGTAAGCATCAATTTGCAATAACCAATGAAGGCTTGCACTGAAAGGTTCATGTACCCCTAAGCGCAGCCAGTCTCTCCTCTAGATCATCAATGCCGGACCTGAAGAAAGAGAGAAGGAAAATGCCACACAATTGATAGATATAGTTAATCAATGTAATGTTCCACAAGAAATTAAATGAGATATAAGAACAGGTCACACAGAACTAGCACCAAAATGCCCCAAATAATAGTGAATCCCTAGCAAGAAACTAAAACCATACATTGCTATATAAAATGATGAGAGGGTGATGACTGACAAGAACTAAATAATCAGTTGCTTGAAATTCACGGGTAATGAAAAGATACCCAGAGACAAATATAAGGACATAAGGTCTTTTTCTTCCTGGTCATTTCAACATTTCACTATATGTATGTCCGACATTAAAACCCTTTTTTCCAGTAATCTTCCACAACATAAATAGTTCAGCCAGCAAATAAAGCAAGCCATAGTTTAGGATCAATTGCTTCCATGTAAATGAAGATACCAGATTCTTGAACACGGAAGGAATGTTCACGTAGAGCAAAGTCAGCCAGGACATCTATGATTCATCAGCTACATTAAAAACTAAAAAGCTCAGAGACATGAGCATACATACATATAAGAGAAACTCAAGGGCCAACTTTCAGATGATCAACAATGATGCTACTAAAAATTTAGGCCCATAGGCTTACAATCGTCAACTTTGCCATCTCATCACCTTAATAATAAAACACTTCAGCTCAATTTCTAAAGTAAAGTTCACCAAAGAGAACAGCATTAAAAGGGAAAGGAAAGCCTGTGAACAAAGTTGGTATAGCCAATGATTACGGTAGGCCTGTAGTAAGTAGTGATTGTAAAAACGGCCAAAGTGAAAGTGATGAAAATCTTAAGCCAGATGCAGCAAATTATCAAGATGGTCAAGGCTAAAGAGCGGTCACAAACTCATTGGAATTGTCCACACATCAGTAGCAATCAAAGAAACATAGAATGGCAGTATCAAGTAATAAAACAGCATTTGCTTTATACAAGGAGCTAAAAGTTTGTTTGATGCACTACCTAAAGCAAATTTTTAACAAGGAAAAACACCACTGCTAGATTGCTACAACAGACGGAATTTTTTCTTAAGGTATTGTCAAGTCTAAACATAACATGCAGAAATTGTTTTTAAGGGAGGGGAAAAAATGATGTTTTGTATTGCCGAAATGAGGATACAATTATAAGGATATTATTACCCTCAATACAGTAATTTTGTTTCCCAGCTCCCCCTCCCCTACAAAGTAATTTTTCCCCTTGAACAAATTACCCTCTTATCCTATTTTTTCCCCAATATATCTCACCCCTCCCCAACCTTACTCTCCTCCACCCACCACCACTACCACTACCTCTGCTTTTGTCTTCCTCTTACTCCATTTATCTCTTATTCACTCAGTTCTTGATGATCTTGCCTCTGCCGTGATTTATGTGGGTTAAATTTTAAGCCTAAGGTAGCTGAAATTGACCGGAGATGATAAAAAATCTCCATTGCCAATTTTAACCACCATGGATTTGGATTAAGCCCAAAGTGGTTATAATTGGATCTCTGTCTTATTTACTCTTTCCTTTTGGACAACTTTGTAACTTAAGGGGGGGAAAAAAAACTTTAGTTGATCCTTCTAGTGAAAGTTACCCTATCAAATTTTGCCCCTTTATTTTAGGGAAAGCAGGCATGCCCTGAATAAGAAAGATCAATAAAACAAGTGTACGCATTTTGAATGATCGAAAGGAACACATTGCTCTCTATGTTGAAAATATTTATCCAGGTACAGTTATAGTTGAACACAATTGACAGAATGTCAGTAAATCTAAAAATTTCGTCATGTAAAACCATAATAAACGCATGATATGAAGTCAAGGCAACTCGAGAAATCTAACTGTTGCCCCAAAAGTATGAGTCGAAGAGGTATAAAACCAGACGAAAGGCTAAAAGAAGAGTGAATATTTTGTGAGAATATAATGTACCATAATTTTTATACATAAAAAAAAAATAGTTCCATTAGGTTGGTGTCCTGGGGTGCAAGAAAAGTAGGAAGTATATCATGGAGGGATGAAATGAGAGAATTTGATTTTAGTACAAGAGTAAGCCTCTAGAGAAAATGGTACATAGTACCAGCCAACCATGGGAGCACACACTTCTATGTCCCAGTCCCACCAATTTGCCTAAAGAAGACCATATCTTCCCATCCTCTACAACTACTACGACTCTACGAGACAAGTAGGTTGGACTACTCTACATTACAATACACATGATGCTATTCCATCACCATTTTTGGCTTGTTTGTATGGTAGCTAGTTATAAAAAAGCAAAAATGAAATGAATATAAGTGTAATTTGACAAGCAAAATAACCCCCTAATATCCACATATTTGCAATCTTATCCCCAAACTTGTGTTTTTCTTCATAAATATCCCTTGCTATCCACACCACCCCCAAATGGTAATGGATGTTAATGAAATTTTGCGAAGAAAAAGTATAGTTTTGGGGGTGAACTAGCATTACTATGGGAATGAGCATTAATTTTCTTACAAATTTATTCAAAAAATCCATTTTCTTTACCACTATTAACAATTACTTAACAGATGGGTAGTTCTAACTTCTGAAAATTTTCATGTTTTAAATCTCCCCTTCTGATATCATTATCATTTGCTGCCATTATCCACCATCTTACCACATCCATCACACAATCCGTATATGTTGTTTAGCCACGCCTCAACACATGAAACAAACACCTCTAGGTCCTCAACTCTTCAGCGAGCCAAAAAATTACACTTCGTACCAATTTTTTCTAAAGTAAATAAGGAACCTATATAAGTAATGTAAGGAAACCCTAGTTTATCATCATGATAAGCAAAGATCGTTTATCTAGTGGCATTTTGGTAAATAAATCAACAAAAAATCCAAGTTATGGCATTTTCGTAATAAATCAACATTTGTGGGCCCACATGTAATAAAAAGTTGTTCATTTATTTACAAAAATGCCACTAAATAAACAATTTTTTTTTGTTTATCATGATGATAAAGTTGTATTTTCCCGTAATGTATAAGCAGGCACAAGATTCCATATTTCCATCTGAGTGGAAATTGGCAATGCTGATTGTTACATGAAAACCAGTAAAAAGGGGAAGATCAAGAGTCTCATAGATAGATTTTTGAAAAACTGAAAGATAGACACAAGGCTAAAATAGGATAATACTTCTTAGCAAGTTAGCAATGGCAGTATGTCAAAGCAGAGAAAGAGTGACACTGCGACAGGCAAGTTTTGTTTATGCTGCCAGATTGAGCTTGGGTTGTGTGCCGAAAGTTGGGATACGTGACTGAAATTAAATTCAACAATCTGATAAAAAAAATAAAGAAGTAACCTATGCAGTTCTTGTGAGGGTGATTGAAAAGTAAACTAAGTGCGAGTATCTGATCTCAGCTCTATGTGAGGCTAAATAGTTAGCAGAAGCTAACCAACTACTAAAATTGACTTGTTGAAAACAAAGCGAGAAAAGGAAGCATATTATATCAATCTAATGAAAGTATAGTTGAAATGTGTGAATTTGATGAACCAAGAGCAGTCATGGTTGATTTTCAACTTTTCAAGTTATGTAAAACACGAACAAGACAAAACTTGTGTTAGAATGTCCCAAGGGACGACAAATTCTTTTCTAAAGATATTAATTTAAATCCTTTCACTTTAAAGTTCTAAGTGGTTTTCAATATGTTCAGGCCATTAGTTAAATCTTGATGAGTGCTCTGGAGCATTGCTTGCAATTGTTTCAAAGTTTATAGGGGAGGAGGGGCTGGGGTTGTGTGTGCCAACATTAGGTTACACAAAAGTACCATCTAAAGTTGGTTGGGTAAAAACCCAATATGGAAGTTGTTAGGGTATAAATAATGGATCTCGATCAAAGAGTTGGACCTGTTAGGCTTGAGGGGAGAATTTTATGGATATGGCAAGTTCAACAAGGTTAGTGGGGTGACTGTTGTCAGAAGACACATAGGTTAAAAATTCTTTTGCAAAAGAGGTCAAAGAACATAGCAAGTGAAACAAGAAACTGAAGCAAAAGCATTACGAGTACAATCATGGTGCCACAACTGAGACCATGGCCCATGTCAATGAGTGGAGAAAGGAAGAGTTGGTTATGCAGGTTTTGCTTGCGGACTTAATTAGTTTCCTTAGCTTGGTTGTTTTAGGATTCTCTAATATTTATGTTCCTATTTCATTATTAGGAAGATAATATTTAGTATCCTGATATCCTTCTAATATTCTAAACGTAGGATAAATTTTAGAATATTGTTTACTTAGAAGAGTAATTCTATTTAAAGAGGTTTTGAGGTTATTGGATATTTGGGTGTATAATAAAACAGTGAGAGAATTTGTAAACACTCTTAGGATACAAGATATAGTCTTGAAAGAGGGGCTGTAATGTTTGGGATTGGTTTTGGGGTCATTGGATGTTTGGGATGGGTGTCAAACACTCGAACATGCATAAGAAACTGGATTAGAGTTCTTGAGATGCGAATGGATAAATACGGGGTATTGAGAGGGGGTTACAAATATTCGTTGAAGGATTAGTGACATTGTGTAATGGACTAGATAATCTGCTAACTAGTGAACTATATAAACTGATTTTAGTAAATTGATTGAATATGAAGAAATAATAAAGATGGAAGCTTGAATACTGATTGATAGGTTAATAGCTTTAGGATATTACTCTCACAATAGCTTGAGGCTATCACTCTCACAAGTCACAATCACTTGACGCTATCACTCTAAGAAAAACTTGAGGCTATCACTCTCTAACAATGGTTTATGCCATGACTCTCTAAGATTTCCCTTCAATACAAATTTCTGCCTATCCTTCTCAATATCTATCTTCCAATATATATTTACATGCCAATGTTTGAAAAAGTGCGCCTAGGCACTGAGGTGTTAGAGGTCATGCGCTTTTTATGGTCAAGGCGAGACGACTTCGAAGAGTCGCAGCTAAGGCGCGCCCCTGAGGCGCACAAAGAGTTTTTTTCAGAATTTTTTTATTGCTCATTATACGCGCCTCGCTTCAATGAGGCGCGCCTCACTCTAAAACGCCTTGGTGCGCCTTGAGCCTTTTTATACATAGTTACATGCTCCATCCCAAGGATGATTCTAGAACAAGTTTTTGTCTCATGTGCACACCAGACATCTTTGATTCATTGCCAATTTTCCCTTATTATGTACTACATTTGATGACTACTAACATACTAATTACCTGTAATACCCTCCCCTAAGTCAGTTCATTACACAGTTGATTTTTCCCAACTAGCCATGGATGGTTTACCACGTACTGATAGCGTTTTTCATTTTTATCTTTTGCACCTTTGTTTTGTTCATTGATCTTGTTTACTTATCGTGTTTTGCTTCTGTTAAGCCTAACAAAGTTTAGATTGAAATCAAACTCAAAATCGGGATGCAAAACATAGTAAATAATGGGTTATTTAGATACCATGGATGAATCATTGAACCAATTGAAAAATAGAGAAAATTATTAAAGACTAAATATTTTTTCAACTATTATTATTCTGTTAGTGCTAACTAATACAGAATACTATTAAGACTACCGCTATTAATTTTTCTACAGCTGTGTACTATGATGATGAACATTAACTTTTTTTAATCTCATCAGGGTAACTAATAGCTAATGCTACCAGCTATTGATGAACATGTTAGCCTAACCTAGCTTCCAAAAGAATTTTAAGCATAAGCTCAGAGCTGGGAACAGGGCCATCAAGTCATCAACCCTAAACCATTTTTTTTTTTAAATAAGCATTTTTGAAGCACATTAATAATTAAAAATTAGCCCTATTGCAATTTTGTCTTCATTTGTTGTTAGGATACAAGGAGAATCTAGCTGATCTGCAAGAAACCCTACATATTAGAGGATCACATGACAGTGTTTCTGATACCCACATAATCAAGCAAATAAGCAATCAACCAATCAAATAAGGTAGCTAGAGAATCAGTATAAGGCCAGCCTAGAACTACCTACTCCGGTATAAGATACATGCCATGTACAAACCCTTTGCGGTAGTTACATAATTCGTAAATAGTTAAAAGTAGCTAATGCTACCAGCTATTGATCTTCTGCTATGCTGGAATTACAAAATAAATAATGCAAGTTCCTGATACAAATGAATTTTGATATAAAGGGGGGGGGGGGGCAGAGAGGTTTACTTACGTGCTGACTTCTTCAGTTTTCTTTCCAGCAATTTTCCCCTTTGGAGCTGCTGACAACTGCAATAAAATCAAGGGAGATAGCCATCAATATTGTCTCAACATAGCTTGAGAATTTCAAAAAAAATTGGACCAATACTAACCTGTGAAGCAACATCAACTCCAATTTCATCAAGCACCTGAACAGTGATGAACACGTTATTAAATCAATATACCTATACTAAAGGCGAAACCAGAAATGACACTTGTCATAACCTGGTTAAAAAATTTCCCTCCAAAAGATGTTTTTTTTTTTCCCCCCAAAGCTTCTTAGAGAAGTATTTAATTTAATACTTACTTTACAATAATATTTCTTTTCTATTTGGCAAGTATATTCATTTTTACACATTCAACAAAGATTTATTTATTTATTTTATGACGGGAACAAAGTCATATAATACAATAATGTAATCTTATCTCTAACTTTGTAATGTAATCCATAGTTATTTTGTATTAGTCGTGCATGCATTTCTTCCTCCGTTTTCTTTAATGATTTAAATAAATCGTAATTACAAAACTTTCATCCTATTTTGCAATTTGATACTTCCTCCGTTCTTTTATTATTGCACCACTTGCCTTTTTAGGAAGTTTCACAAATATTGCACCATTTCCTTTTTAGGAAAAAAATTATTTGTGTTCACACTACAAATACACAACATACCCTTACTTTTTACACTTACTTTTTAGTTTATCTATATGTCACATGGGCAATTTTGTATTTTTACCTTTCTCTCTCTTACTTTTTTCCACAATCAAAATATTTGCACCCAACCCTTGTGGTGCAATAATAAAAAAACGGAGGAAGTATTATTTTTTATAGTAAAATAATTGTATTAAACTAATGATAAATATTGAAATTACCGTGCATGGCACGGGATCTAACCTAGTTAATGTATAAATGAGAAGATGAGGCACTTTTAAGTCTGTTTCATCTATATATCACTAACTCGCATGAAAATCAACAAATTCAGTGTTCCCATGATAGTAGAATGCAGATTATTTGAAGCATTTTCTACAATGAATTCTAATTTTTGAAGTTTAAACTCATGTTCCCTTAATATAGCAACTAACATAAACCAAACAATGAACAAAACATTTACCATACATATCATGTTTATCAGTGTTTTCAAGATGATGGACGAGGATACTTGAGAAGGTTAAACCATAAACTATAAGCAATCTGATACACTGTAATAATTATTTATTTGGCACAAGATCAAAATGAGTTAAAAGAACAAAGCACACTCCCAGTTGTCAGATGATGATATAAACCTGATTTGTTAACTCGTCTGTTTCCTCTTCAGCTTCATCATTGTCTAAAGCATCGTCAATTGCATCAGACATCATTTCAGTCTGCAAAGAAGATTGAAAATCAAGGTCCATACTTCCCTGTCAAAAAAAGGATGCATACTTCACAGAGGAATGCAGCAGCATTGGTAAAACTTACTGTCATGTCCATCTGGGCGGATTGTTTCTGAAAATCTTGCAATATTTTCATTTGTTTTGCAGGTGCCATTTGCTGACAAAATAGAAAACCATTAATCAATTTAATCAATTCTGATGTAAGCGCACTTTTTTTTTTTTTGGGGGGGGGAAGGGAAGGGGGGAGGGGGACACAATAATTACTTATCAGTAATATTTATAAGAGTTTAAACAGATATATACAATTGAACATGAAAATATATCCACTGTACATAAAATTGTAAATGGTGTGTGTTCAAACCTTATTCATTGCTGACATTGCTTTGGTGGCACCCTTCAAGCCAGTAGCAACAGAGGATTGGGCATGCATGGCCTGTAGAGGGGCAATACAATGTCAAGGTCAGAGATTTGCATTAACGGAAATTTTAATTACCGACTCTCAGATAATAGAAGGGAGTTCGAGAGTGCACCTGTGTGTGTGTCGCTATACCCCTCATTTGTGCTCGACTGCCTTGCAGATTAGCAATTTGTTTTCTAAGTCTAACCAGCTGACGGGCAAGAATTTTAGTTGCAGCCTGCAGATTAGATACTTTTAAGTAAAGTTATCAATTTTAAGGCCAAAAGTTGGAACATGGAGATGGATGTATTCCAAGATAAGTGTTAGCAACCGGAATACACACACTTCCGACATTCCCATATACAATTACCATTGAGAGACTTTTTCCTTCCATTTTAAAGTGTTATTTTTTTTTGGATGGGGGGTGGAGTATGCCCTACCTCATTGCCTGTTTTTGCAGTTTTTTTAATTTCAGCTACCAGCCTCTTTTCCTGTCATCATAGCATATTACATCAGACATATATACTCAAGCAGTCGAGCCTAATAAAAAAAGTTAGAACCATAACACAATTGACATACTTCCACTTGTAGTGCAGAAATTTCCTTTTCGATGCCTGAAATAAGGGCAAGTACACCACACAAATCAGCATAGATTATTACATGACAACGCCAGCACAATATATTGGGTGATCAAACCTAACAATTGAATTATAATCATTAGCAGTTTAACCCAATAGCTTAATTAAACAAATCAAGTATCAAAATCGCGCAAATAATAATTCAAAAATCTAGTCGATCAAATTTCAAAGTCTGTAATAATTAAGAAGTTTTGTCCAATGAAACCCCCCAATTCAACAATTACCCACTTATGAAGACTTCCCTAGGTAAAGTGATGAGCTTCAAATGAAGTTTAAGTACTACAATTGAAAGTCCAAACTTAAAACTCATAACTTCATCAGAAATATACAATAATATATTCAACTGAAGTATGATTACTAATGTATGAGAACTAATGTATTCCCATTTCACGTACAATAATATATTAAACTGAAGTATGATTACTATAATAATCACTTGATAATTTACTAGTAAAAATTAAACTCCAAAGTAGTATATAACATCAATAAATAAACAATTCAAGAAAATCAATTGAGTAAAACTAAAAATCAAACAATACCTCGGGTAGCATTTGCCATTTCTCTCTTACTTTCCCGAAGTGCCTCTGTAATTAAAGATCACAACAATTCCATAAACTTAGTAAAATTAAAATAATTGATCAAATATCAAATTTAGCTTAATTAAATAAAAACCCAGAAATTGCAGTAATTCAAGCTTTAGAAAAGTGAGGAAATCAATCAAAACATAAGAAAATTAGGGCAAAAATTAAGTACCTTTGGCAGTAGGTTTCTTCTTAAAGATGTTCATGGTGGGTGAAACCTGTAAAATTGGGAATTTTTGAAATTTGAATCCCTTTTAAGGGTTATTGGGGAGGAGAGAGAAAGAGTGGAAATCGAACCGTTGGAAGACTTTTTGATGAGTTTGGGAAGAAGAGGTTTTTTACTGGGTAGTTTACACGCTCTTCTCTCTAGTTTTCTTCCTATCAAGGATTGTTGCTTCCTCGGTCGTTTCTCTTTTTCCGGTTCCCTGTTTTTAACAATTATGTTTCGATTACGAGTACTCGCTCCGGAGTTGGAACTAAACTCCAGTGAATCGGGTGTGCAAACACAATTAGTATTTGCTCCATTTTTTGAAGTGTTATTTCTTCGTGTTTAAAAGAGTGAATTATTTTTGAGTTTTTACACTATTTATCTAATAAAATTTGATTAATGTTTGTAATTTATACACATTAATATACTTGATGTATTTCTATTTAATTGACGCGTTCAAGTTAGACACACATGTACATGTTAAAAAAAAGGAGAGAGAATGCGATGAATGATAAAGCAAGTAGGATAGACTAGTAAATGCAAATTATTAAATTTTGCAACTTTAGCTATGCTGGAAGAGCGGTACTATTCAATGCTATTCTGGTGACTCTTGCTATGCACATACTGTCTATTTATCTGTGCCCTTCCATAGTGGCACAAAAGATAAAGTCAGCCATGCTAAGGTTTTGGGTGGAGTTCCAAACATGGATGCAAACCAATATACTAGAGGAAGAAAGAGTTGTTGTTGAGAGTTGAGGAATAGCTCAAGTGGTTTGAGCTTCTCTCTCGATTTTAGGAGATCTTGGGATTGTTTCTCACCCCGCCCTTGTGGCTCTCTAAACACCAGAAAAAAGGAAAAATAGTTGTTGTTCACCCGCAAGCATGCAGGGGGTCTCAGATTGCGTAATCTAACCTCTCTCAACACAGCTTTGGTGGCTAGGTAAGCATGGAGATTTCACTAAAACCGAACTCGCTGGCTAGCAAAATGTTCCAAGTAAAGTATGGAGCTTCTCCGGTGACTCTTGGCTATGCAGGTGGCACACTTATTAAAAGCTGGATTGTCCTGGCAGCCAAAAGCATGGTAAGAAGTATTAGTACCTTGAAGGCTGGCATCAGAAGAACTTTAGGCAATGGCTCTTCAATAAGAATTGATCGGGACATTTGGGTAGGAACAAAACCTATTTCTTTCAAACAAGAAATCCCCAACACATTTGCTCTACCTATTTAGGTTGGAGAACTGTGGAATGATGACAGGACTTGGAATGTTCCTTTAGTCAAAAGCTTATTCAATGTTGATACAGCTCAAAATATTCTATCTATGCCCATTCTTGTAGAAAATAAGGAAGATGGGTATGAATGGATGCACACCCAATCTGCTTCTTATTATGTGAAAACCGGATACTAGTTGCAAGAGATAACAGAGGAGCTAAATAAAGATTTGGAAGACTTCTGGAAGACACTTTGGAAATCCAAACTCCGTCCGACGTGGAAACTGTTTATATGGAAGATTTTCACAATGCAATTCCGACAGCAGACAACCTGAAAAAGAGAGGCATTATTGTGGACCAACTATGTAACCTATGTAATCATGCAGAAGTATTAGGAAATTAGGGTGTAATTGTGTTTGATTAATGCGGAACAAGTCAATGAAATTAAGAACGAGAAAAGCAATAAAGAAGATAAACAAAGAACACAAGGATTTACGTGGTTCGGTCAAAATAGACCTACATCCACGGGTGGGGGATTCGAGAGCTTCTTCACTATAATGGAGAAAGAAACAAGAGAATAATCAGGAGTCCTAAATCTAATGGCTCAAGAAAGGTATGATCTAATTGATCAACTAAAGGGTCCTTTTATAACACAAGGAAACCCTAATAAAACCCTAAGATTGTTCCCCAAGTATACTCAAATAGCCGTCATAGAAAAGATATAATTTTAGGAAATATTCCATAAATTATCCTAGAATAACCTAACTACCGAGCTATAGCTCGGCAGCTAGCTCATACCTTCCGCAAGTCTTCATAGGGCCGAGCTATAGCTCACTCGCATAGAGCTATAGCTCGCAGCCTCGTTGCAAATTTCCAGCTTCGTCAGGTTTTTGTAAAACGGTCATAACTTTCTCGTTTCTTATCGGAATTGGGCATATGACCTATCGTTGGAAAAATCTTGAACCAAGCTATCACCTTCAATTTGAATCACCTCAAAATCAGTTGTAGTTTGAGAGATATAAGTGTTCAAAGTCAGCCCTACTAGATTTCGAGTCACAATTTAACAAGAAGAAACTCAACAACATTTTTTCAAGGAATGCGCATTCTCTGCTAGAATATGGGCAGCTAGTTCATTGGGCTTAATTTCTAACCAATTCCAGGATCATAGCCTACAATCGTGGGTGGTCTATCTCATTACCACTCTAGGAAAGCAAAATGGACAATTAGGGACAACTATGGTGGAGGTTTTTTTTTTTTTTTTTTTTTTTTTTTTTTTTTTTTGCTGACAAAACTATGGTGGAGTTTGTCATATGGTTGTGGTCAATTTGGATACATAGAAATCATATCAGGTTCAAGGGAGCTTGCCCAAACCCAGAAGCACTAATCTAGTAAAAGCAGAAAGAAAAAGAAGAACAAAGGGGAGCACTGATGAGGCAAAAGAACTAGAATTGGAGAAGAGGACACTTGATTTCCACCTCAATTCTTCATATTTAGGTTGATGCAGCATGGAATAGAATGAAGAATGCACTTGAAAGGACAAGGATAGCTGTTGAATGGTAAGCAAATCAACCTACCCATCGTCAAAGTGCAGGTGCGAGCTCAGTGGCAACAATGGATGCTTTACAGGCTGAATGCAGGGCTATTGGGTACGTGCTAGTTTTATCCAAGGGTATGTTTCAACAGGTTATTGTTAAAACAGACTCCTAAGAAGCCGTTCGCCTGATCAAGGATCCAGACCTAGCACCAGCATACATTAGGCCAATTATTGATCAAATTAGAGATCTTGCTTATGAGTTCTTTTTTTTTTTATTTTTTTTTTTTTTTTTTTTTTTTGTATTAAGGTTAACAGGAAGTGGGTACAACAGGCCCATATCCTAGCAAAAAGGGCTTGTAGGCAATGATTTGTGTTTGTTTCCCTGCTACCAAAAAAAAAAAAAAACCTTACCCATAAAGGGTCAACTAAAAATAAACGAGTTGTACCCAGTTAATTCCCCAGTTAAACAAAATTTGTTTATCTGGGGGTATAATCGTCTTTTCAAGTACTAATGGAGGGGTAAATGCGTCTTTTCATGTACTAGTTGAGGGGCACATGTGTAATTTCCTCACCAAACAGTAAAAGCAAGTTGCAAACAATAATTGGACAGCTCACCAAAAGTACTGAATAAATGACCACGTTTTTTCAACATATTTACAAAATTACCATCAGATTAACAAAAATTCGTTTATGTGGCAGATAAACTTGTATTTACCCAAAATAAACATCCCAAAAAGAATATATACTCCTTAGAGCAACTCCAATGATTGTAGCTAGGGACTTGCTTGCAATTTTCAAAAGTCTAAGCTAATTTGTTTGACAAAGAAGTTTCCAAAGTTATTGGAGATTAATATAATAAAATAATTAATTTTTAGGGCTAATTGAAAAAGTCAAGCTTATTTAATTCGCAAGCTAGTAGCTAACTATTAGAGCACAAAATAGTTATAATGAAAGTTCGCTTGAAATCATGTGTGGCATGACAAGCTAATTTAACATTAGTTTACAATTGAAGTTGTTCTTTCGACCCACATTAAAGTTCCCGTTTTCCTATTTTAAAGGCCCAAAATGTTACTCCCTTTGTTTTAAAATACTTGCTCCATTTTTCATTTGCAGCCGTTTTTAAATACTTGCTCCATTTCCTTATTTGGAAAGTTGTTACAATATTTAAGTTATTTTTCTCAACTAATGGACTCAATATAAATTATAGGAAAATTGTCAAAAAAAAAACCCTTTTAAATGCACCATTTTGCAAAAAAAAGAAATTTTTTTTTAAAACCTTTATCATAAAAGAAAACCCAAAGTTGAAATTTTTTTTGTGTAAAACAACCTAATCCCACTAATTCACTGAATTAACCTCTAATTTCTTCTAATCAACCTCTAATTCTCATTTTACTACATAATTAATAATTAAATTAATTTATAGATTAAAACAATAAAAAAAATTAATTCATGCTTGAATTTAAGAGGATGGTAAGGATAGTGAAAATAAATATTGTTGATTATATTTGTCCATGATTTATGCTTGAATTGACTTGATAATTGATTGAGATTATTGAATTTTTCGAAAATAGCCCAAAAAATCAATTTAGGGCTTTCTTTGATTGTTCTATGTGATTGTATGTTGAATTGTGAGCGTTTTGATAACAAATGCATGTATTTTGGTTGAAAAATGAGCATGTTATGTTAATAGCCATGAGCTTAGTACGGGACCTTCAATGGTGATTCCACCATTGTTTTTAATTATTTTTATAAAATAAATTCTATTTTCTTGATTATATCATCTATAATAAGTTGGATGGTATCCTCTATAAGTTGGATGATATCATCCATTGTCCAGATGATATCATCTATAAGCTGGATGATGAATCTATTGCCTAGATGATATCATCTATTGCCTAGATTATATCATTTATAGGTTGCATGATATATATCCTCTAATGGCTATGTAATATTATTTGTAGGCTGGATGATATCCTCTATTAATTATATAATATCATCTATTGTATATATAAGAATCCTCTATTGATTCCATGATATCTTTTATTGGTTCCATGATATTATCCTAGATGATATCATCTACTGTGTATATGTATGATATCATCTTGCCTATAGATGATATCATGTACAAGCTTGATGATATCCTCTATTGGTTATATGATATAATTTATAAAGTGGGATTATTGTTTTAAGATTTGACTCACCAAACTATTGGTTATATGATACGGAGTATCATTTATAAAGTGGGATTATTGTTTTAAGACTTGACTCACCAAACTATCGGAGTTTTTTTTTTTTTTTTTTTTTTTTTTAACTAAAAACTAATACTATCTTCGTTTTTTTAGTTGACACCATTTGACTTTTACAATATTCACTAACTAAGGCCCTGTTTAGTTCACCTGATTTAAGCTGATCTGATCTGGTTTGATCTTATCTTATCTTATCTTATCTGTTCATCTGATATGAACTTATATTTTCTGATCTGATCTGATCAGAACTTATTTTTTCTGATCTGATTTGAACTTATTTTTTCTGATCTGATCTGATCTGAACTTATCTTTT